TGCTGTGTGGGGTTATGCAAGTTGGCTCTCTGTTTGCATTATGTTATGTTGGTAGAAAAGTATTTTCAGTGATGTCGCAGATGTTGGCTTTTGCGGGCCATCATTTGCGTCATTAAATTTAGATGGGTGTGTTTTAAGAGGAAATGAAAATGTTGACGAACTATTATTTTTCATTTGGTTTTTCTAAAAAGAAATAATATATGAACTATTTTCCTTTTATTCGGAATAGAGGATCAGCTTGTACAGTTATAATCTGAACGTTTTTCATTGAAAAGAAAAGAACTACTTCTTATAAAATGTCATGTGCCTACGCATACCATTTTCAGACATTAAGTTGTTTGTTTTTTTTCTGTATGAAACCGTGTCAAAACCACAGCATTGATGCTAGCCCACTTTCATAAAACCGTATTCTAATAATTTTTCAGTTTTTTATTTTAAATCATATTCCTTTTACAGAGCGAAGATCGTATCAAAATCGATCCAGGAGCTAGGGTCAATCAGATAATTTCATTTGTAAAAAGCAAAAATTGTGGTTGTTTCTCTATGATATACTATTTATCAGAGAAGATGCTAGCACCAGATGTCTCACAGGCGTTAGCATCAGCTGTCTCACAGGCTTTAGCACCAAATGTCTCACGGGCGTAAACACAAGATGCCTCACGGGCGTAAGCACCGGATGCCTTACAGGCGTTAGCACCAGATGTCTCATATGCGTTAGCACCAGATGTCTCACATGCGTTAGCACCAGATGTCTCACATGCGTTAGCACCAGATGTCTCACATGCGTTAGCATCAGATTTCTCACTGGCGTTTGCACCAGATGCCTCACTGGCGTTAGCACCAGATGCCTCACTGGCGTTAGCACCAGATGCCTCACTGGCGTTAGCACCAGATGCCTCACTGGCGTTAGCACCAGATGCCTCACTGGCGTTTGCACCAGATGCCTCACTGGCGTTTGCACCAGATGCCTCACTGGCGTTAGCATCATTTGCCTCCCGTCATCTCACATTATTTTTTTAAAACGTTATCTAAAATTCGAGCCTTATATCTAAGCTTATTTGGCATATTATTAGTAGGTTCGGGTACATTTTTTTCTCAGACTTAACAAATTGCATATAATGTTCATCAACTAAGGTTGAAATATTAAAAAAAAAAAAATTACATCAAGTCATCAAGAACACCTACATAATTAAAACAGTTTTGAGAAACGTCTGCCACCATTATGTTATCATAAGACCCAAATGTCAAATATTTTCTAATAAATTCTCATTTTCTATCGTTTCAGGACTCGTCCCTGGCCTCCACCCCAGACATCTCCCCCATGACGTCACCTATGAGTAAAGAGTTTCACCACGACTTCCCCAGCCCCCCCACCTCCCCGGGCCCCCTGCGAAAACGCAGTGCAACGATTGACAGTGTCGGGTCGTCCGGCGACATCCACATGGCCCGGAGGCGGGATTTCAATCATAACAAAACTAACAGCCCCTTGAAAACCACGTAAGTCATGGTTCAACAATGGATGTGGTGAAAGCAATCAAGGTGAACTCAAAAGATGGATTTCTTGAACGCTGTGTAGATAATTTGTTCACTTTAAATAGTTTATTTTTTTGCACTTCAGCTTCTCTGCATTTTTTTCTTTCTTTTGCTCCTTAATGTGTAAAGACCATTCACTAAGTCTTTCCTTGTTTCTCCTTAGCTATATTTTTCAATCTCATGCCACTTCTTGCCGTTTCTCTCTTTATTTGTAAGTTAATTTTTGGACGTGCAATATTCCCGTTTTAAATGTGGTTTAAGCTTGTTTTTATAGCGTCGGAGACAGGATTAGCCAGTTCTAAGACCAGAAACGCATTACGCATGTTACTATTTTTAAACAATATTTTCGTAAAACATAGCTTCTAACAAATTTGTTCCGCATATATATGCTCTATATATATATTAGTAACAATTTGCTTTTAAATTCTTTCTTAAAATTGTAAACACGTTTTCATCTAGGTTAAGGCTGTCATTCACATAGAGGTACCGAACACCTGTTGAGAGATTGGCCAAACGGAGTACCCGAATGTTTTATTAATATCTTCTCTTATATATATTAAGGGCCCACGATCAATTAATTGATCATTCTGGCTCCTATTCATGGAGAGGGGATTTTTAATATTTCTGTGCCTGGTGTTGACGAGGATATTTCACTGGTTACAAGTTCTCCTTAGTGAGGGTATTATGCACTGGGGGTTGGATGGCCCTAGGCAATAGAAGCAAATGTGTGAAATGTTGTCGCCTCATCTGTCCTTTTGGAAGCTTGTTCCAGTACCTGATTGTCTTTGGCAGGAATTGGCAATTCCTATACTGGCTTCTCGCTGGTATGAGCTGGAATTGCCTCGTTGCTGTTGATGGGGGAGAGGGACGAGTTTCTGTTTAATGCTGGAGCAGTGGAGCAGCCCATTATTTATCTTGTACATTATGGAGAGCCTGGATAGTCGTTGTCGTTCCTCCAATGGTGACCAGCCCAGTGTTTCCAGCATGCATCCAACGCTAGAGGTATTCCTGTAGCCGTTAAGGAAATGGCGTGCTGCCTGTCACTGGACCGCCTCCAACCTGTTGATGCTCTTCTGGGTAAATGGGTCCCAGACTGAAGATGCATAATCTAAAAGCAGCCGGACAAAGGCTTTATAGGTTCTTTCTTTCACACTGGCGTTGCCGATCTTTAGATTACGCCTTAAGAACCCTAGTTGCTTACATTGTTAATATGCTCGCCCCAGCGGACCTCTCTATGAATGGTAACTCCCAGGTACCTTATGGAGGAAACTGCCTCAAGTATATGGCCATGCAGTTCGTAATGGTGGTGCAGAGGAGTACAACTTCTAGCACTTGGGAGGATGAAATTTCATGTCCCAGCTCATCTTCCACTCAGCTAACCGATTGAGATCCTGTTGTAGCTGGTCCTGGTCAGATCTGTTGGCGATCGTCCTATACACCGCTGTGTCATCTGCGAACAGTCTTCCTTGGGATGTCAGTTTCTCGGGTAGGTCATTGATGTATGCTAGGAACAAACTGGGGCCTAGCACCGAGCCCTGAGCGGCCCCTGACTTAACACCGACAAAGGAGGAGCTTGTACCATTCACCACTACTGCTTGCCATGAGTTGCTGAGGAAGCTAGAGATCCATGTTTTAGTAGTGCCTGGATCCCATATCTCTGAAGTTTGTGTAGAAGCAAACTATGATTGACACGGTCAAAAGCCTTTGAGAAGTCCATCACCAGCACGTCAATTTGCTTGCTATTCTCCAGATTGGTCATTAAGTCTTCTACAAATTCAAGGAGCTTGGTCTCACCTGACCTATTGACTTGGAAGCCATGTTGACAGTCATTGAGTATATAATTTTGGCTTTAAAGATGCTTCTTGACTGAGCTTATGATTATTTGCTCCAACTGTTTGCATACTACGCTGGTGAGAGGTATCGGTTGATAGTTGGCAGGATTGGCCAGACTGTACGCCCCGGATGTTCTATTAATAGATTTCCGCCTTTAAGTGACAAACCCTATTGTGCCATCATATTTGATGAAATTTGAATTAAGACACTCTTCAGATTTTAAAAAAAAAATTTTAAGCTGTTTAAAGAATTACTGACTAGTATTAGTCATCATAATGCTAAATTAGCAACACTATCTGTGAACAAAATGCTACCAGGTATGCCAACAATTATGACATCAACTATAGCAACTAATGTGCTAGCAGTCATAACGACCTTGAGTCTGTCAGCCTTACCTAGTTTAGAACTTTTGTAATATTTCAAAGGGGCTGGTATTCTTGCATATCATTAAACAAAGTCTTAAGACACACCTCACTGAACAATGGATTCATTTTAACATTTGTTTAAAAGATTCATGCTATTGTTGACTAATAGCCCCCCCCCCCCCTCCCTATGCATTGTCTATGAATGTGACATTGCTAATCACAAGGAAACCTAATGTTTTAACTTCTTCTTTTCCTAAGGTTTCTCCTAGCCACCAATGGTGTCCAGCAGTCGGACAGTTTCTCATCATCTACTGTAAGCTCTCCAATGGACGACACAACACTGCTGGCATCTACAAGGAGACCGAGTTCCTCATGGAGAAAAGCCATTTTCAACAGGGTCTGCACACCTCAACACTCACTGGAGTTTGGTGAGCATTTGATACTATTAAAGAAAATCCATTTTTAGCAGACTCTGTACACCTGAAAATTCACTTGAGTTTGGTGAGGTTTGATACTAACAAAGAAAAGTCACGTCCAAGGAAATGAGAGGACTCATGCCCAGCTCTTGGTATTTGACACTGATTTGAAGTTCACTGAATTTCCCACAGGCTGTAGTGGGGATCATGGGGTCTAAACTAGAACTATAAATGCAAACTCCACCCAGACTTGGATTTAAGTTCCATAAAGTTCATTTGGAGTTGTGTTTGGTGAACTCCGTTGTGAGACTCCTGGGCATAGTGCCACCTGTATCAGTGTGTGTTGTACGCTGTACTGTGTGAGTGTGTGTTGTACCGGTAGATTCGTTAGCTGCCACTACCTGTACTTATCCTGTCACTACCTGTACTTACTTATGCTGCCTTTACTTGTATTTATGCTGCCGCTACCTGCACTTATTTATGCTACCACTACCTGTAATTATGCATGCTGCCACTGCCTGTACTTAAGCTCTAATTACCAGTTCTTACTTATGCTGCCACTACTTGTACTTATTTATGCTGCCACTACCTCTACTTCTTTATGCTGCAGTTGTTGGCTCCTTACTTGCAATCAAATGGGACCGCATTAATAAAAGAACTTGTTAACCGCTAAGAGAATCAATACAAATAATGAAATGTTAAAACTTAAACAGTTTATCAATCATTATGTCTGAATTGATTTATGGTTTTCTGTGATAATGACCTGAGCGAGCGTCTGTGTATTATCTCAGGGGAAGATACCTCCACGGATAGTGTTGACGGAAAGCTTCATAACACCGTAGAGATACGAGCCATGTGGAAAAAGGCCATATTGGAGACTTTACTCTTGATAAGAATGGAAAAGGAAAATCATGACATACGAGGTAGGCCTTCTAACGTCCTTAACTTTGGTTTCATCACTGATGATCCCAACACATATATTTCAATCAATAAGTAATCAAAAATATTTTTGTCCCCATAATTGGACCAACCTTATTCCCCAGTGGTCCCCCATGTAAACCAACATTCCTGTCTATAAAATAGAAAATTGATTTACAAACAGTTGATAAAATTTCAGATGGAGATCATTTTGAAATGTTGATCATGCAAGTCCTTGACTGTGGGATGGAATAAAAATATATATATATGGGACCCTTCCGGTTTCGTGAGACGATGGAGTAGCGATAGACTTCATCAAATGGCTTACGAGGCCGATTCTGGAATGACAGTCTTGGCTACACTTATCGCAGGAGAACATTGACTCCTGCTTTAATTTGGCCTTTTAAAATGCTCTTTTTGTTGCAGGGGCTTTGTTTCAAGCATCTTCTTCCTTTTTGACTCTATCAAACACTGCTGTTTGCCAGCTGGATTGATGCTCAACAATGATCTCCCACTCGTTGATTTCTGTCCAGGCTTTCCTCATGCTCCTTTTGCCAATGTCCTTAAAGCAAAGATATCTAATAAGTCTTGCCCCTTCTGCCTACTCTCCATACAGCACATCTTTAACATCTTTGGAATACAACCTTCCACCATTCTTCTTACATGGCCTAACCAATGATGGCTGCTCTTGCTAAGAGAGGAGAATATGCTACACATTTTGGCCTGCTTAAAAACCTGTGTAAGGCACCTTGACCTGCCATCGAATGCGCAAAATGTTACGCAGACATCTTTAGTGGAAGCTGTTGAGTTTTTGCTCAAGACTGGCATAAGTGGCCACACTTCACTGTCATAAGCACACATGCCTAATAGATGCTTAGTTTTGTACTTTCTGTGAGTTTAAGATTTTTTCACACCCACTTATTCAATTTAGCAATAGTTGCTGCTGCTTTTGCGATCCTGATGTTCAGCTCTTTGTCTGCTGACAGTGAACTAGAGATATTGGATCCAAGGTGTTTCAAATTGTCAGCTACCGACAGATTATGGCTCTCAATAGTTGTGTTTGGACTGTGACATTTGTTTTCTGTAGACTGATGGTCAGTCCTAGCTCTTCACATGTTCTTCTGTGTGCTATGTTAAGTCAGCATTGTCAGCTAACAGCAACTCAGAAATAAGCACCTTTTTTACCTTGGTCTTTGCATGAAGCTGGGCGATATTGAACGGCCTACCATTAGATCTGGTATGGATGTACACTCCATCTTCACAGTCCCTGAAGGCAAACTGGAGAAGCATTGAAAAGAAAATGGAGAAGAATGTTTGTGCCAGTATGCAGCCTTTTTTTACTCTGCTTTCAGCTGGGAATGCCTCAGAGACAGTACCATTGATTGTATAACGTTTAGCATTATCAGGGACAACCTGTTTTATGCAAATACTGAACAGGCCATTCCGGCTTGCCAAGTTGAATGCCTTGGTCAGATCTATGAAAGCAATCTAAAGAGGGCTATGCTGTTCAAGACACTTATCCTGAAATTGATGTAACGAGAATATCATATCTCTAGTTGCATGACCACTTCTGAAGCCACTCTGGGTAGATACGGTGAGCTGGACTCTGAAATATTTTACGGGCGACACGGGCAATGTCTTGGCAGCTAAGCCAAGAAGAGAAATTCCTCTGTACTTTTTTTTCAATCACTACAGTCACCTTTTTTTCATACCAAATTACGATGTTGGCTTCTGTCATGTCCTGTGGAATGTGACCTGCTTCCCAACACAGACTGAGGAGATCATGTAAGGGATCAAGTAGTATAGATTTTCCATTTTTGAGGCCTTCCAGGCCTTTGAGGCAAGGTAACCAGTTGCTTTTTTAGAACTCCTGCAAAGTTGGCTCTTCATCTAGTTCTTCTATTATCGAGAAAATGGGCATATGTTCCTGTGGGATCTCATTGACTACATTCATTGTTACTTATCGTTCAACATAATCCTAAACCCAATGCAGATGTTGATTGTTTGGGTTCATGATAACTTGACCTGCCTTGGACTTGAGTGGTGTTATTTTTGAAGTGTGTGGACCTAATGCCCTCTTAAAATATAAATATTAACAATATTCATAGAAATAATTAAAAGAAATCTCTAGCTGCTCTGAGGGTTCTAATAAATTGAGTTGGTCTTTAAGAAATTTCATAATTAATTAGATGATGCATGTCTCAATCTCTGGGTTGGACTCAATATTTAGCTTTACTTGCAACAAAAAAGTGAAAACTTCTTTCTTTTAGTTTTCAATTCTTCACAAGATTAGTCTGTTTTAAAGTTAGCTGGACATTTCAAATTACTCCCTCATCCATACTTTGGCAAAGAAGTATAAATATTTGACATGAATATCCATGTCAGAGTTAGTGTCTAAAGCTATTTAATGTATACATTTATTTTGTTTTCTTTTCTAGTATTTATACTTCATAAGTAGTTTTTCAAGTTTTTTTCCAATGGGTTTTATTTTTAGGTAGCAAAATCTATATATTTATTTTTTTATTTTTTTTTTAGTTTTACCAACAATTAATACTTGATATAATCTCTAACAACTGAAGTAAGTCTTTGATTGACATCAATTGAATTTCACTGCCCTTGGTCCATTGAAACCATTTAGATGGTAAAATAAAACCATTTAGATGGTCCAATAAAACCATGTAGAAGGTCCAATCAAACCATTTAGAATGTCCAATGAAGCCATTTAAATAAAAATTTTAAAATAATTTCTTTGGAAAAAATTGATTTGTGAAGACATTATTTTAAAATATTTACACATGGTGGACAAATACATTCAGTGCGACGCACTTTAAGTGTTGTTTTAAAATGAAATACTCCATTCATTCCTTTAAAATCCAAACACAATTTGTTGGTAATCCACAGACAAAATAAAGCCCTTGACTAATATGACAGAAATAGATATCATACATAAAAAAGAAATTGCTATAATAAAATAGTGAAATAATAACCATTGTTTTTTCATATGATTAATTTAAAAGAGGATAATTTTGTGTTTCCTTTTTTTCCCATGAAAATAGTTTTTTTAAAGCATATTTTAATGTCACAGTTTATGTAGTAGTTTTACCAAAAGAGTGTTGCAAAACTCTTTCCAGTTTTAAATTTAGATAGAGATCTTGTCTCTGCTAGAAGTTTTTCCATTTTGAATTGACAGCAAGCAAAGAATTTTATTTACATCTTGTGTTGTTTCTGTTTTATGTTTTTTTTTTACCTTCCCTGCTGCACCACTAGAAAATTTCATCTTGTACGGAAGTCTTTCTGTGGTAGTATTTCGTGGTAAGATAAATCATATTAGTAGCTATCTTAGATTCACTGTCCCTCTTTTAAAATTCTATTGGTCCAAATAGGAAAACAGAAGATAGGGTTATTAGATTTTATCCAGCAGTGTTTCTCAAACTGTTTGTGGTTTGTGTGTGGGACTTAATGATGAACCTATTAGTGGATATTTTTTAAGGGCACCCTCTTTTAAAATTAAAAAAATTAAAAATTTAATTAGATCTAGTCTAATGATTTAAAATAAAAAATAAAAATTTATCTAAAATAGCACTATCCTGTGCCTTTGTAAATTCCTGCAAGTAAACGCATTGAAGGAGTTGGATCTCAAACCTTTTTTTTTTTTTTAAATCACAATTATTGTGAATTTTATTTCCATTTTATTTTTTTAGCCTTTGATTTTTTTATTTTTTTTTTATTATGGAGCATACAATTGTCTTTTTTTTTTTTTTTTTTTTTTAAATTTTGGGGGTCGCTTTTGTGTCCCAGTAAATAAAAATTTAATTTGTAGAAAATTTTTAAATCACAATTATTGTGAATTTTATTTCCATTTTATTTTTTTAGACTTTGATTTTTTTATTTTTTTTTTATTATGGAGCATACAATTGTCCTTTTTTTTTTCTTTTTTTTTTTTAAATGTTGGGGGTCGCTTTTGGTGCACAGTAAATAAAAAGTTAATTTGTAGAAAAATGAAAAGAAAAATTGTTGAGTAGTATGTAGATGTGAACAACTGCATGTCAAATGAATAGAATGAGAAACACTGCATTGCCGAATCAATCCAATTATTTTATTTTTTTTTTCATTTTTTTGCTTGAATGGAGTTAAGTTTTTTTTAGAATGTTTACTAAAATGTATAGCACCCACAAGCTATTGTACTCAGAGAACCTGAGTTTAGGTGGTAAGCAAAAGTTATGCATGTCACAACCAGGGTCAACTCTGGGTGCTCACATTTTAAAGGAGGGACAACTGCTTTGTTTTTTTTAGTCATTCTCTTTTGTTTATTTCCATTGAATGCTTGGGAATCTAGGAGAGAAATACCGGCAGGGTTGGTTCGGGAAATAGTCCTCAATTTAGGAGAGACTTAGAATAAGCACAATGCTTTAAACTTTAAAACAATATTAAGGGGCATTATTCTTAAATAATCTTATTTTATAACAAAAATGGATATCCCCTTGTCACAAGGAAATTATATTCTAAAATTATCTTCCCTTGTGTGTTGACCTGTAGCCATTTTCCTTGATTATTAGATTAGTGATGTCTTATCAATAAAAACTATCTGCAATAGAATCAATATTAGCCATGTTCCCATTCCTTATTTATCATAATTATTCATAGAATATGAAGTATTTTATTCTCCGTTAAGTTTGTAACAAATACAAGATTGTTCACAATTCTTAACATAGCACCAAGACATGTTGTGTGTGACTGTACAAATTTTAAGAAATAAGTAAGACATTGTCTTATGACAAGATCAGATCTGGGTTATTAAACACTGTAGTCAGAGTCATCAAAGTATGTTGTCAAAATTATTAAAAAGAAAATGAGATTCAGCAACTAAAAAATTTAGTCAAATTATGTTGCCAAAATTATTAAAAGAAAATGAGATTTGGCAACTAAACACTTTAGTCAGAGTCATCAAAGTATGTTGTAAAAGTTATTAAAAGAAAATGAGATTCTGCAACTGTCAAGAAAAATTAGAATTTGTGTTGACCTCAATTGACCATGGGAAATAAATCTTGTGTGCCAGAAGTGTAAACTTGGATTTATGGTTAAAAAAATCTTTATTAATTAATCCTCAGCCAAGATAAAAAATATGAAACAGGATCATCATAATTAAGTAGCCAACAGATGGCACATCTTTCAATACTAGTTCAATGTCAATGAAATAATATCATGTTGATTCATCATTTTGTTTTAAGAACTTGGCTAATGCTCCTTATAGTTTTAAATAGTCTTTTGTTGAAAACGCAATAACATTCTTAAGGACTTTAAGCTCCTTATAACGTATGTTCATTGTCAAAGCTATTTTATCCTTTTTGTTGCCGTGCAGACTTCGTAGATAAAATTGCTTGCGTTGGCTGAACTGAGTTTATCAATGAAAACAATTTTATTTTGATATTCTTTTGATTTGTAAATATTTGTTCACTATCGCTATAAAATTTTTTTATTTATACTTAAAAATTATCAAGAAAATAGACTTAAATCAGTGCTTCTCAAACCATTAGTGATAAGTGTTTCTTTTTGGTTTTTAACATAGGACCTTTCTTTTATTAAGAAAAAAAAATAAAAGACTTATATAAGCAGTGTCCATGATAACAGATGGGTTACTTTTTTTTTTCCACTGATGTCAAGTGGAGTAGCATTGATCTGGGTGAGACTTCATGGCCTCCAGGCACTTGACGATGTCTCATAAACAATTTTAAGAAAGACAAAAATAAACATTGACCTCAAGAAAATTAACCCATGTCATGAATTTTAAAAAATATCACATTGAAACCATGACTTTGAGAATATGAGAAATTGGACTAGACTGTGACAGCTCTAGAAAATTATTTACTGAGACTTGAAAAAACATCTTGGCTTCTATTTTTGTTTTGAATGTCATTAAATAGATCAAAAAGTGTGTATTAAATATTTAAAAAATTGCTTTGTTCTTTCATATTGTCATTTCTCTCTTTGCTTTTCATGTTTAATTTTTACTCTTTATTGCTGCCTCACCGCTGGGAGGTTAAATTTGATCAATATTTTATAGCCCTCATAAGAGAGCATGGTTGGCTAGGATTTATTTTTAGGTAAAAGTTGTTTTAAAAAAAAATAATATAAATTATTATCATATTTTTAAAAAAATAAAAAAAATTGGATCTGAAAAAAAAAACGTGGCTGAAAACCTTCAAATTAAAAGGTAAAAAATAAAAATCTGCGACAAGCTTTTAGATTTTTTGCCTTTATCAAATTTTGTTTTTTTTCCTTTTATTTTGGGGAATTAATGTAACTATTTTTGTTTGGTTTATCATGGAAATGAGGGTAATTGAGTTTACTTTTTTTCCCCCCCATTTTTGAAAATGTTTTTTCTCCATTTCAGCAAGGCAGGAGGAAGGGGGAGCGAACTGTTGTCGTAAACTCGAGTACCAAGAGTTAACGCCCTGTCTCAAGGAAATTACCTCAGTCTGGGAACAAATGTTGGCCATTCAAGGGGACGAGGCCGAAGGCAGAGGGGGTGAGCTGGTCGATGATGGAAAGCCGGTGCCAATGAACAAACTATTAGATTTTGTTAAAAAGGGTACGCTGCTTACTTCTTTATGTCACTCAGACAAGTAACATAGAAGTTACATTAGAGGAGTTAGTTAATGATGATGAAATTACAGGATGGTTTTGGTCCCTAAATGGTTCATCAATTCTTTGTAGAGTTAAATAGAGATTGATTTGTTCTAAAATGCTACCTAAATCAAGCAACACATTTAAACAGCTAAATCTTCAGATGTCAACTTGAACTGTTGAAATTCTTAGCCCACTTAGGATACAGCTCTGTCTGTCCTTGTAAGTGTTAACTAAAATGTATTCAGAATTGAAATGTTGTGTTTCCCTGGAAAATGCAAGCTTCACAAGTGGTCAAGGCATACTCCATCAGTTTGTTTTATCTGGTCTCCTACCATTTATCTGGTCTCCTACCATTTATCTATCTGGTCTCCTACCATTTATCTGGTCTCCTACCATTTATCTGGTCTCCTACCATTTATCTGGTCTCCTACCATTTATCTGGTCTCCTACCATTTATCTGGTCTCCTACCATTTATCTGGTCTCCTTATCTGGTCTCCTACCATTTATCTGGTCTCCTACCATTTATCTGGTCTCCTACCATTTATCTGGTCTCCTACCATTTATCTGGTCTCCTACCATTTATCTGGTCTCCTACCATTTATCTGGTCTCCTACCATTTATCTGGTCTCCTACCATTTATCTTGTCTCCTACCATTTATCTGGTCTCCTACCATTTATCTGGTCTCCTACCATTTATCTGGTCTCCTACCATTTATCTGGTCTCCTACCATTTATCTGGTCTCCTACCATTTATCTGGTCTCCTACCATTTATCTGGTCTCCTACCATTTATCTGGTCTCCTACCATTTATCTGGTCTCCTACCATTTATCTGGTCTCCTACCACAGGTGTGCCGAGAGCTCTGAGGGGCCAAATCTGGTTGTTCTTAATGCAGCAGCACCAGATGAGTAGTACCGTGCCTGAAGGGACGTGTGAGGGGGCCGACTATGAGGACCTGCTCAAACAGCTGACCACTCATCAGCATGCAATACTCATTGATTTAGGTACTGGGTAATGTGCGTTTGTGTGTGTGTTTTCTGTGAGTTACTTTGAAAGTTGGGGTAGAGTGTTGTGTGAGTGTTTTGTTTTCTTTTTGTCACATACATGGGCAGCACCCTCTCCAGGTCAGTAACAACAGATGATTATGATCAACAACGAAATTTCTAAAGCAAATTTTGCTTTCGTAAGGCTCTGCAAGAGTGTCAGAGAGCGAAGGGGTCTCGGTCTTCTCACTAGACTAAAATTATATAGGGCATTTGTATTAACATCTCTCCTATATGCTATCGAGATGTTGATAGATTACAGCAGACATGCTGGACAACTAAACCATCTCCACCAATGCTGTCTACGTAAACTTCTTGTCATAAGGTGGCAGGGCAAAGTCACTGCTACAACAGACTGACTATATCATCATCTACAGGCTTCTACTAAAAGGACAAGCCAGATGGCAGACTAAGGTTCAGGGATTACTCGTACAAGCTAGTGAGGTAGACTTATTGTTGGATGGTACAAGCTAGTGAGGTAGACTTATTGTTGGATGGTACAAGCTAGTGAGGTAGACTTATTGTTGGATGGTACAAGCTAGTGAGGTAGACTTATTGTTGGATGGTACAAGCTAGTGAGGTAGACTAATTGTTGGATGATACAAGCTAGTGAGGTAGACTTATTGTTGGATGGTACAAGCTAGTGAGGTAGACTCATTGTTGGATGATACAAGCTAGTGAGGTAGACTCATTGTTGGATGATACAAGCTAGTTAGGTAGACTAATTGTTGGATGATACAAGCTAGTGAGGTAGACTCATTGTTGGATGATACAAGCTAGTGAGGTAGACTCATTGTTGGATGATACAAGCTAGTGAGGTAGACTCATTGTTGGATGATACAAGCTAGTGAGGTAGACTCATTGTTGGATGATACAAGCTAGTGAGGTAGACTCATTGTTGGATGATACAAGCTAGTGAGGTAGACTCATTGTTGGATGATACAAGCTAGTGAGGTAGACTTATTGTTGGATGATACAAGATAGTGAGGTAGACTCATTGTTGGATGATACAAGCTAGTGAGGTAGACTCATTGTTGGATGATACAAGCTAGTGAGGTAGACTCATTGTTGGATGATACAAGCTAGTGAGGTAGACTTATTGTTGGATGATACAAGCTTGTGAGGTAGACTCATTGTTGGATGGTACAAGCTAGTGAGGTAGACTTATTGTTGGATGATACAAGCTAGTGAGGTAGACTTATTGTTGGATGGTACAAGCTTGTGAGGTAGACTTATTGTTGGATGGTACAAGCTAGTGAGGTAGACTTATTGTTGGATGATACAAGCTAGTGAGGTAGACTCATTGTTGGATGATACAAGCTAGTGAGGTAGACTTATTGTTGGATGATACAAGCTAGTGAGGTAGACTTATTGTTGGATGGTACAAGCTTGTGAGGTAGACTTATTGTTGGATGGTACAAGCTAGTGAGGTAGACTTATTGTTGGATGATACAAGCTAGTGAGGTAGACTCATTGTTGGATGATACAAGCTAGTGAGGTAGACTTATTGTTGGATGATACAAGCTAGTGAGGTAGACTTATTGTTGGATGGTACAAGCTTGTGAGGTAGACTTATTGTTGGATGGTACAAGCTAGTGAGGTAGACTTATTGTTGGATGATACAAGCTAGTGAGGTAGACTCATTGTTGGATGATAGAAGCTAGTGAGGTAGACTTATTGTTGGATGGTACAGGCTTGTGAGGTAGACTTATTGTTGGATGGTACAAGCTAGTGAGGTAGACTTATTGTTGGATGGTACAAGCTAGTGAGGTAGACTTATTGTTGGATGATACAAGCTAGTGAGGTAGACTTATTGTTGGATGATACAAGCTTGTGAGGTAGACTTATTGTTGGATGATACAAGCTTGTGAGGTAGACTTATTGTTGGATGATACAAGCTAGTGAGGTAGACTCATTGTTGGATGATACAAGCTAGTGAGGTAGACTTATTGTTGGATGATACAAGCTAGTGAGGTAGACTCATTGTTGGATGATACAAGCTAGTGAGGTAGACTTATTGATGGAGCACAATCCTCAGAGAAAAAAAAACAGCGCTCACACCCAAAGAAAGCGCGGGGCAAGGAAAATCAACTCCAATCCAACCAGGACCCAAAATAATGTGTGTCCTAAGTGCGCTCAAGCTTTCCAGACACAAATTAGGACCGGCATGCCACCTGTTCACTCTTTAATAGTCTCGGTCATCTTGGCATGTGAAGGACGAACAACAAAAACACTTTGAAAGTTGCATTGGAGCAATGATTGAGGCTGCATTGGAGCAATGATTGTGACGTGTGAGTGTGGTGTTTTCTGTTCTAGTTTGTGTTGTACATTGTGAATAGGAGGAGACTTGCCACTTGAAAAGATTGATTTTTTTCAATAATTTCACTATGTAATGTCCTGATTCAATTGAACCTGTTTCATTTTATCATGTCCTCACTTGACGATCAAGTACATGTAATTATTTTTTTTATAAAGTGTTTATACATTGCATTGTGCATTTATGTCATATCATTTTAAAAAGTCAGGCCATTTTCTATCTGTGAATTCCCTGGGGCTTCAGTGTATATGCTCTCAAGCATAGGGGAACATTTCAATGAAAGCATTCAGATCAGCAGCCTGACTTCATTCCTATCAATTGTTAATCTGTCATTCCCCTTATGTGATGGACCTGTAGTTTTCACACACGTGTCATTCCCCAGGTCGCACATTCCCTTGCCATCCCTACTTCGCCAAAGCCCTGGGACCGGGTCAGCTGGAGCTGTTCAACCTCCTGAAGGCCTACAGCTTGCTGGACCCTGAAGTTGGCTACTGCCAGGGGCTCTCGTTCATCGTCGGCCTTTTGCTGATGCATGTGAGTTCCTTGTGATTGAATAATGGGCTTTCCAACATCCTCGTGACATGACAAGACCTGGGACGGACAGTCTCACTCTTTGAATCAGATGTCTCTACAAGTATTCTAGAACTTCCCTAATCCAGTTGTTATGTGAATTAGTGTCATGACGATATGTAACCCTACAAATATGGTGCTGTAAACGTTTTATCAGACAAAAATTGACTTGTTTTGTTGTTGTATTGTACACATAGTTATTATTTTAAAAAGAGAGAAATGTTATGTTTTATGTAAAAAATATTTAAATGGAAATACAAAATTAATTATGTACATTGGTGTCTATGTGTCATGGATAGAGACTATTTACTGACTTACACTGAATCTGAATTGAATACTTTAGGGTCAAAGAAGATTGATACCAACATGTTTGGAATGGTTGAATGGTTCCAGCTGACCTTATGAAATGTTGTATTGTGAGAACGTTTCAAGAGACAAGGGTGCAACATTGTGATGTCGTAAGATGAAAGACCAATCTGACCAATCTTGTACTTATCTCCACAGATGGAAGAAATCTCAGCATTCCATGTTCTTAAATACATGATGTACGACCTCGGCCTTCGGAAACAGTTTCGGCCTAATATGACAGCCCTTCAAGTGAGTTTGGTGGACATTTCTGCCTGCCTTAAACAAAGTACATGGCATACTATTTAGAAGCACTTTTGACCCAATCATGTTTCTCTTAGTGTACTAGGTGTCAAGTAATGACATGATAAAAATATGAAACAGTAAATAGGCATTTATTTTACAATCGCAGCATGTCTCCAATATGTGGTGACAATTCGTGGTGAATGTGTCATAAAATGTTTCAATATACTGTTCATAAAATGGCCATTGATGTGGTTTTGTTGAAATGTTAATTATGTTCAAAGCTCTATAAAACAAGTAGTTTAATTAATTGATGCCGATCAGAAAAAAATATTTGAAGCAAAAAAAAATCAATGTCTTAAGAGAACTCAATGAGATTTTGTTCATTATAATTCAATAAATCTGTCCATGTTACAGAGGATACCACTTGGTTGTGTCTCTTATGTTACAGGGGATTTTGAAACACTTGGTTGTGTATTTATATTAAAGAGGATTGTGCATCACTTCTCAGTTGTCTGTTATGTTACAGAGCATTGTGCAACACTTTCTTGTGTCTGTTATTTTACAGAGCATTGTGCGACACTTGCTTGTGTCTGTTATTTTACAGAGCATTGCGCAACACTTGCTTGTGTCTGTTATTTTTCAGAGCATTGTATGACACTTGCTTGTGTCTGTTATGTTACAGAGCATTGAGCAAAGCTTGCTTGTGTCTGTTACGTTACAAAGCATTGTGCGACACTTGCTTGCGTCTGTTTATGCAGACATTGTTTATAGTTACCTGTGTTGAGCCCATGCTGGTGTCATCCAATCACAGATCAAGCTGTACCAACTGACCCGCCTCCTCCACGACCACTACAAAGATGTGTACGAGCACTTTGAGACACACGAGATCTCCCCCACACTTTACGCTGCCCCCTGGTTCCTCACACTGTTTGCCTCGCAGTTTCCACTGGGATTTGTGGCCAGAGTTTTTGGTGAGTAAAACAAAAATCTCCACACAACACTGGAATGTACATGGTGATTAAATTTTCTAATTACTTTGAAAAATATTTGGCCCAAGGGTTAGAGAAAACTTGCTCTGAGGTAGAATTGAAAATGAAAATAAAACTATCATAGTTTCATTTAACAAATTTTTAAAGGATTTTATCAACATAATGTTTGATTTCATTTGTACTATATAATACAATACCGTGTTTATACCAATATTTTTTTTAAAAACTGGCTAATAAAGGGTAATAATTTAGTTTTTCTTTAATACTAGGCCCTCTTAAACTTTTCATAGTTGTACAAATATATTTATGGCTCTTGAATACTTTTGTTTCAATTTTGAAGGCCTCATTTGGCTGTACTGTCCAAAAGTTTCCCAATCCCTGATATAGAACTTTTTGGCTCTGTAACCCTCATCTATACTGATATCACTATTATAGCTTGTTAGGACATGAGCCGATATCTTAGTGAATATCAGATTGGGTTAGCTACTAAATTATTTCTCACACGCCCATGTCATAACAGGAAGTCAAAATCTTCACATATCAATTCTTTATTGACATAAACACTACGCAGGATAGTGAAATTCACTTTTGGAATGATGATTGAACACAGTTCACAATGAATCCATTTCTCTTTAGAGAATAACATGTGAAGTCGCTCATACATTGTATCCTCATTTTTTTTTTCTCGTGAGTAAAAATCTTCCCAACTGCTTTTTCATCCATTACAATTTGGCCGCTCAAGTAGTTTCTCACTCATTATAATTAAATGTATTTTGTTACTACACTGACCTGAAATAATGCTTTCTACTCAGCAGAAAATGGACAGCAAATATCATGTTACAGGCTGATACACTCGGCCATCCCTGACATAAAATTTGATCCTTATAATCCATTGAAACTGTCAGATAATGGGATCCCATCATGACCATGTCCTAGATTTACCTCATCTGATGCCTTATCTCTCCACAGACATGATTTTTGTCCAAGGAATTGATGCCCTTTTCAAGGTAGCGCTAATGCTGATAGGCAACCACCGAGCTCTGATACTTCAGTGTGATTCCTTTGAGTCTGTGGTAGACTTCCTTAAGACGACGCTCCCTGAGATGGTGCAGGTGCAGATGGAGAGGATCATTAATCAGGTCCATGCAGTTTAGTGCTTGTTTAGCCAAGAGACTTAATATATACTTGGAGCATAGAGTAGAAACCCAATCCATCCACACGGGCCTTTCCGACAGTACAGTGGGAAAAAAAAAAGGAATAAATTATTTCCCTTTGTCAATTTAAAAACAGGAATGTGTGTTACTACAACTTTTAAACTTTGTTGATGTAATTCTAAAATGTAACACAAGAAATTTAATGTAACCCTAGACTGGCTGGCTTCTTGAATGGCCAAATTCACAGTTTAAAAAAAAAATGCAAATTTACTCGAGTGTCAGTCTAATCAATTTTAATTAGCCAGTCACTGCAGGATAACAGCATGGTTACGGTTATATTTACATAAGACCCTTATGAGACAAACCTCAAATAGATGAATTTAGTTCACTTAGAAAGTTGATATTTCTAATGAATGCAAACATTTACATTAATGAACCTCGATGAGTTCAAATATCCAGAGTTTCCCATGTCTGTAGTCTTATTTATTTTTTTTTATATCAAATTTATGGACCTAAATAATAAATTTTACCATTTTAAAATGATTTAAGAGTGAGAAGTCTTTGAAGTGATGAGAATCATCCATTTTTTCCCCCATAGGCATTTGAGCTTGATATCAGCAAAGAGCTCCAGGCCTACGAGGTTGAGTACCACGTGCTCAGTGAGGAGATGACCTTCTCCCCACACCACAGCAACAGGCACCACCATGTCAAAAACCACTCCCCGTCGGCCGGCAGTGACCGGTCATCACGGCTGGTGGAGCGGAGGAGGTCCTCCATTGACATTGAGATGATGTACCGGGTAGAACATCAGAACCGTGCCCTCAAGAATCAGAACATAGATTTGCTGGAGAAGCTGCAGGTGGGTAGCTGGCCTTAAGCTTTTTATATCTAAAAAAATGACATGTCAGTGACTTATTAGAGTGTCTACAGCAGTTACAAGTTGACATCAGTTATTTTCTACAGCAGTTACAAGTTGACATCAGTTATTTTCTACAGCAGTTACAAGGTGAAATTAATCGTCTTCAAACATTAATTATTAGCTTATTTTATTTTAATTCTTAGTAAACATTTCAAGTTCATCTTTTTTTTTTAGATTAAACAAAAACTGCGGCTGGAATTATAGGGGGAATAATTTTGTTACTGTTAAATGTTCATATAAATTCAGAATATATCTTTTCTGTTGAATTCTCTATTGCACATGTTTAAAAGTTTTGCTGGAAATATGGTTGGCTTAGTATATAATTATACATAATTTATGAAAGAAATTTTCAGTAATCCTGTTCTGACATGTTTCCCCAGCATGCCCAGTCCCAACAGCGCAGTCTAGAACTTAGTGTCCACAGCAATCAAATTGAACAGGAGAAACTGAAGTCACACATCAGAACATTGGAGCTTGAGCGTGGCGCCCTGCTGCAGGCCGTGGCCAAGCTCAGGAAGCTCATCCCCAGGGAGGCATTGCAGCAGCTGAACCTGGCGCTTCCACCGATGCCGGACTGGTCGCCCTCGTCTCCGGCCCTGGTGCGCGCCACTTTCAACACCACCGGCACACAAGCCTCTGACACTGACTTGGGGGGGGTCCTGAAGGATTCCCCACCGCCTGCGGGGACAGACAGTTGTACTAAGGCCGTCACCGCTGTGGCAGAGTCGTCTCCCATCCCCGCACTGCCCCATTCTCACCTGCAACCAACATCCACAAAGCAAACCGTTTCTGTATCCGTATCAAAGGTTCTCAACTTTTCAAGCCAAGCCCAGAAGGAAGCAAATTCAGTGGTGCAGTCTACAAGCACCTCTGGCGTGACGGTGTCCAGCTCTCCACCTGAACCCAACCCCACACCGGCTGTCGCAGAACCCGCTCTTTCTCGTGCCTCTCTTCCAATGCCGCATTTGCAGCTATCCACATCAGCCACCACCAGGAGCATATCCAACTCGGCCGGAAATCTTCCATCCAGCAATCCACTCACACCCGAAGAGAGACGGAGAGCTGTCAAGGTCGTTGTACAGCAGTCTCCGACTACGAACTGTCCGGATCGGCAAAGTTCAAACAGATAATGTTAATCTGAAGTACATTTTATAGCAGGGCCCCAGTCAGTGTGTGAACGTTGCCATCTGAGACTTTAAATTCCCCAGATGTACAGCAGATTTATTATTACTGTGCCAACAGATTGAAAAGCCTACCAATATGTTGAGAATACTAAGAATGTTTAATACATAATGTTTGGGCTGTGTAACTGCTGGTAGCATATTGTGTGGGATCATTCTCTGAACTGTCTTAGAATGACTATTGGAGATAATGGGAAAGAATTCCAGGATTTATGTTGAACTTGACAGTGGGCAATCTAGGAAATTCTCTACTATAATCATAAAGGCATTAACACACACATACCCCAACTCAAATTGGACGATAAGAAATTGGGGCCCTTCTGTTTTACCGGGCATATGAGAGCAGTGGAAGTGGCTGTTGACGTATGACTCCATCTCAAGCAGGTCCACTCACGTCTTTCTCTTAAAGTGACATATAAGATATGAACAAATAAGCAGATCTATATTTAAATGTGGCATTAAGTTCAGAATAAAGTTGTTGGATTATATTTTAGCCATGATGACCTTATGTGTTCATTAGAGGTTGTTGCTTTGAGCCATGATAATTAATCAAGCCATTGTTGCTTTGAGCCATGATGGCTAATCAAGCCATTGTTGCTTTGAGCCATGATAACTAATCAAGCCATTGTTGCTTTGAGCCATAATGGCTAATCAAGCATGTTGTTGCATTGTGTATACTATAAAATGCTTTATTCACATACTGGCTTTTAAGACAATTTTTATCATGATTAGACTGAAGGTGTGTGTTAAAACTAGCCTGTATCCGCCATGTGTTTTACTGCAGTAAAATTGTAGATTGAAATAGAACTGACCTTCAGCATTACCTGCAGTTGTAGTGTTATTTCACTGTGCCATTGTCCAGAGGGGTTTAGGTTTTTATTAACAAGAATGCCATAGATTGGTGGCCAACTATTAAAGGTCTGCCCTTATTTCTGGATTGTTTACCAAAGAATGTTTCAGGGCTAGCAGATCATCATTCCATCATCTAAGTGGACATTCCAGAAAAGGCAATGGCTATATTTGTCTAGGCTGTATATTGGTCTAGGCTGTATGGCTATATTGGTCTACGGTGTACATCAATTAAAGGTTCATTTGAAGCTTTGAGGTGGGGTTGTTCTTTAATTGACCAACGATTTGATTTGACCAGAGGCACCATTGGGATAACTGAAACCTATAGGTTAACTTGTATAAGTATAGATGACTAAAACATATAGATTAAAATGTATTTTTATATATAATTAAAACATAGATTAACATGTAGAAGTATAGATAACCAAAACATTAAAATTTAGATATAAGACATTCGATAATGGTAGGATTTTTTTGTATGTGTCTTTAAATTCTTGCTTAATTAGAAAAGCAGAGTTGTGATATATTTGATAGGTCAGTTAATACACGTGTGGTTGGTATGTTCAGGATTGGTCAGCCCGTGCAAAAATTGGTCACAAACAACCCTGGAAGGGCTGGAAAAGTTCCAGTGGAATACGCTCTTTTTTTATGTGAGGTTAAAAAATAACAAGAATGTTACCTCACATACTTCTAAATAACAAGTAGCAAGTTGTTAATAGCTGGGATACTTAAAGGTGGGTCACATACAAAGAAAGTGAGGATAATACATCATTTATCAGCTGTTCCTGACGAAGTCAAAAAGAACATCTTTTCTCTTCTGTAGTTTGTAATGAAGCCAAAAATAAAATATTTTTTCTTTGCTAGTTTATAATGAAGCCAAATAGAACATCTTTGCTAGTTTGTAATGAAGCCAAATAGAACATCTTTGCTAGTTTATAATGAAGCCAAATAGATCTTTGCTAGTTTATAATGAAGCCAAATAGAACATCTTTGCTAGTTAAAATGAAGCCAAATAGAAAATCTTTGCTAGTTTATAATGAAGCCAAATAGAACATCTTTGCTAGTTTATAATGAAGCCAAATAGAAAATCTTTGCTAGTTTATAATGAAGCCAAATAGAACATCTTTGCTAGTTTGTAATGAAGCCAAAAAGAACATCTTTGCTAGTTTATATCAAAGCCATAAAGAACATATTTTTTTCTTTGTTAGTTTTTTTTTTATTGATGCCATAGGTTTTGAACTCAAACAATAAGGATTTTATGTTCTTATATATTGATGAGTAGGTGTATTTATTTTTAAAATATTTGTCATAAGCTGTATGTGCTCATGTAGCTATGTTTATGTACATGTAGCTATTCATATTTACATGTTAAATGAAGCTTACGAACAAGTTCATGGTATTTCTTTTTTTTTTTTTTTTTTACAAACTTAAAATGAACATTAAGTTTCATAATCTTTCCATTCACTATTAGTAAAAATATCATATAGTTTATTTATTTTTAAAATATTAGTCATAAGTTTTATTTTTTCATTTATTTTTGTTTATGTACATGTAGCTATTCATATTTACATGTTAAATGAAGTTTATGAACAAGTTCATGGTATTTTTTTTTTTTTTTTTTTTTTACAAACTTAAAATGAACATTAAGTTGCATAATCTTTCCATTCACTATTAGTAAAAGTATCATATTGGCACTAGAGTGAATACAACTCAATAGGCAATGATAAAGCAGCTATTATAAACTTAGTGAACCCAAATTTTGAGACAGGTTATTTATTAATAAGCACACTTACGCTTGCCAGATTTATCAAGGGTATTTGTTTTGTCTCTTTGCTACGCCTAATTATGTTTACAGTGTTTGTTTTTTTTCTAGATTTGTTAAGTGTAGGCATGTTGTTGAGGCTGTTTTAACAAGTGTATTTATGTATCAAAAATTTAATGCAGATTTTTATAATTAATGTCTTTGTTAAAAAAAATCTACTCTCAGTTGCCTTCTGCCCCGATGCGCCATCAAAGAATCTCACTGACGATACTCATTTTAAAAAAAAAAAAAAAATTATTCGAGCAAAGATGATGAACTTCTCCAACACTGAAGTTTATGACAAGTTTGTACTTTTATTGACCTCATAAATCTAAACAAAGAACAGACAAAAGACCATTATGGCTAACGAGGGCCTGGAAAATGATGGTGCCAACAGAGGCGCTTGAAAAGTCTGGCCATTGTTTTAATATGAATAGCTGTGAGGGCAAGACTAAGTCTGGCCATTGTTTTAATATGACTAGCTGTGAGGGCAAGACTAAGTCTGGCCATTGTTTTAATATGAATAGCTGTGAGGGCAAGACTAAGTCTGGCCATTGTTTTAATATGAATAGCTGTGAGGGCAAGACTTTTAATGTCTGGCAATGAGAAGGAAGTACACTGATGGCCTTGTGCCCTTGTCTGGGCCCGGCCTTGTGCCCTTGTCTGGGCCCGGCCTTGTGCCCTTGTCTGGGCCCGGCCTTGTGCCCTTGTCTGGGCCCGGCCTTGTGCCCTTGTCTGGGCCCGGCCTTGTGCCCTTGTCTGGGCCCGGCCTTGTGCCCTTGTCTGGGCCCGGCCTTGTGCCCTTGTCTGGGCCCGGCCTTGTGCCCTTGTCGGGGCCCGGCCTTGTGCCCTTGTCTTGGCTCTTCGATGCTCACAAGCTGTACCTTACTTTTTTTATAATAATTTTTTTTCCCTAACTTTTTATGTCGGCTGAATCCCTGATGAATCCCTGGTGCCTCTCTTTGTTTTGGGGAGTTGGTACAAAGTTCACGACAAAAAATTGTTGCCAAACTATCCTAATAATTGTGTTGGAGAGTTGGTAGAACTTTGGATACTATCAAATGATATCTTTAAATGATGATACATTTTCATTGAGTGAATATCTCCTTCTTATATTTGAGAGGTCCACAATCAATTTGTTGATCATTCTAGCTCCTGTTATAAATTCAGAGTTTACCTTCTCTTGGATGGGTTGCCTTCTCTTGGATGGGTTGCCTTCTCTTGGATGGGTTGCCTTCTCTTGGATGGGTTGCCTTCTCTTGGATGGGTTGCCTTCTCTTGGATGGGTTGCCTTCTCTTGGATGGGTTGCCTTCTCTTGGATGGGTTGCCTTCTCTTGGATGGGTTGCCTTCTCTTGGATGGGTTGCCTTCTCTTGGATGGGTTGCCTTCTCTTGGATGGGTTGCCGTCCAAGGCTAACGAGTCCCATCCATGTTGGCTTTGGTGGGGATTGAACTCCAGACCACTAGCTATTTGGTTTGAGATAGTTTAGACCGCTCGGCCACCCAGCACCCAGCAAATGATGAATGACAAATGTATTGCTACTTGGCATCAACTCTCTCAATCATATAAAGAAATATATCTTTTTTAAAATATGAAGCTTGTTCTCCTTGGTGCTCATGAAAAAAAAAAAAAATTTTAAAGTTGATTTAAAACCTACAGTCTTCATCAAGAAAACAAATTTTTTTTTTTTTTTAAATGCAGATCTATCCAAATATAATCATCTCTACTACAACATCCCAAGCTAAATTTTTGTTTAAAAATTATTTTTTTTTAAAAATGAGAAAAATAAATAGGGTGGTCACTTGTCATTGGAGTTGTGTAAATTACTGTATAACAGAAAGGAAACCAAAATTGTTCTGTGTAAAACTTGACCTGGCTCTAAAACTTCTTCACCACTGTCAACCTATGATGAGCCAGGTTTTAAATGTGTGACTTGAAAAACAGGTGTCATGTTATGCAAAATCGTTCATTGATTTATATTTCATTAAAATGTGAGGACTTCGGATACATTTTTTCTTTCTTGTTCATCATTTCATGTTTGATGTCTTGACATGATATGGCTAGATGCCATCAGAATGTTTAGAAATTTTTTTATATAGGTTACATTCTAGTAGTATATGCCAGCCAAATTGTTGTTAGAGATTTCTAAAGGATGAATGCAAACAAAAATTTAACTGTGGTATGTAAGCCATTGGGCCATAAGTCCCACTCTTATATCTAGACAAATACATCTGGGAACAAATTTAAAGTTTAATAGAAACTGGTTTCAAGATGATGTCGGCTTACGTAATGATGGTGGTCCCATGGCTGCTGATGACTTCACTGGATTGTTATAACATGTCATAAAATAATGACATCACTGAATTGTTATGTCATGATTTCCTAAAATGATATATCATAACCGAATTTTGATGCCATAAAATGATGACATCACATTGTGTTCATGACATGTAGCTTGCAAGATCCTGATTTATCCTTTAATATGCCTTTAAACAACTATTCCCTGTTGTGTTACTTACATTTCATTATTGAATTTACTTCAGCTATAAACATGACATTGTTGCATCAAGTTGTTGAGTAGAGCTGTGTGTTAGAAACAACAAGAAGCACATCGGAACTTTAGTGTTGAATAACCTCATTAAGGTTCCTATCACATGCGCTGTGTGAATAGTTCAATTCCCTGGATATCATTATCCAAGCATGTGGCCTTACATGAGCCGCAAGTACAACCCTCATAAGACCTTCTTCTTCACTCACACATTTGGGACTGTCCGGTAGAAGGATGTTATGCACTCCCTGAGACGGAACCACTGTGGACTCTAACAAACGAGTCATTAAGTCTACACCAAAAATTTTAATGTGCAGGTTCTGGCAACAGAGGAAACATTCCATAGATGTTCCTAATTAAAAGTACCTCTCAGGTTTCATCAATGGTTAGAAAAAAAAATACATAAATTACATCACCTTTCTTATATTGAAGTTAAAGATGATCTCCCCATCCCACTCATAAAATCACGTGACCTGTAGGCTAAGGTGGGTGGGTGGCCGCCATTTTCCTACATTCTGATTGGCAGTCTGCATGCACAGTCAGCTGGCTTGCCGGTACAATTGTTGTGTTCTAATCAGTTGAGAATAGTTCCTTCAGAGACTATGTAAATGTTTATTTTTCTTCTATGTCATTCTTGGCACTCTGTTTCCAACACTGAACTACTTAAATGTCACTCTGTCACTGAATCAGTCTGCCCCTGGGTCATTCTGCCACTGGGTCAGTCTGCCACTGGGTCAGTCTGCCCCTGAATCAGTCTGCCCCTGGGTCACTCTGCCACTGGGTCAGTTTGCCCCTGAATCAGTCTGCCCCTGGGTCAGTCTGGCACTGGGTCAGTCTGTCACTGGCTGTTACTCTTATGAAGATTATTGATGAAAACTTGAAAAAAAAATGTCTTATATAAATATCCACATTACTTCCTATGTTATAATATTTCTATAATATTTCTATCTTTTTCTAGATTTATGTAAAAATAGTCTGAGACGGTTGTGAAAAGGTTTTGACATATAGTGATATAGCACATATGAGAAAACTTAAATAAGTGTGTTATGACACAACATGTACCATGTGATCCAAGCTTTGTGAGTTAGACACAACATGTACCATGTGATCCAACCTAATGTGAGTTAGACATAACATGTACCATGTGATCCAACCTAATGTGAGTTAGACATAACATGTACCATGTGATCCAACCTAATGTGAGTTAGACACAACATGTAGCATGTGATCCAACCTAATGTGAGTTAGACATAACATGTACCATGTGATCCAACCTAATGTGAGTTAGACACAACATCTAGCATGTGATCCAACCTAATGTGAGTTAGACAATGTGATCCAACCTAATGTGAGTTAGACATAACATTTACCATGTGATCCAAGCTTTGTGAGTTAGACACAACATGTACCATGTGATCCAAGCTTTGTGAGTTAGACATAACATGTACCATGTGATCCATTGCATCAGGTTAGTGTTTTTTACTTTGATTCTGCTTTCAGATTTTATTAAGCATACCTATAACCTAAATGGTGCTTGCAAATGAACCAAGTTACCAAACATATTTGATCTTGAGGACGAATGTTGTCTTATGATAAAAACATCAGGCCATCTTTCTGTTCAGTTCATTTAATGTTGATTTGTTGATTAAGCATGCATTTTGATTGGTTGATTAAACATGCATTGATTGGTTGACTGAACATGCATTTTGATTGGTTGACTAAAATCAAACATGCATTTTGATTGGATGAAACCTCTGAGACTATCAGGAAACAGTTTTGTATATTAACATGTTTTGTGATTCAAAAATTGTTGACCTCACTTGTGAATATTTCATTGTGTTACTTAATGAATTAATGCTGCTGTTCTATTGGTCACTTTTAAACCATTGTGAGAATATGGAGATATTGATTGGTTGAAAGCCTCAGTCTCACCCCCCCCCCCTTGATTTTATTTTCCTTGAAGTCACAAGTCATCAGAGTGATAAAAAAATTAAACAGAATATTACAAATTAAGCATAGTCTTTCTGTTAAACTTTATGTTGTTCTGTACAGGTTACCTAAGTATACTATGGATTTGTTTTTATATGCCAATTTAATATTTAATATCTAATATTTGACCAAAAGCAATTCTTTGCACCATTCAAAGGACAACACACCAAGCCTAGAGAGCCCTGTCCATGCTTGGAACATTGCAAATATAAATTCCATATATTCTCTACCAGGTGACAAAAAGACGATTTTTAAAAAATAAACAGCAAATTTATTGTAAAAAAATGAAGGTTATAATAAATTCATAATTCATCATCAAATTGATTAAAACTAATTTAAAAAAGAAAGTAAAAGAACAATCCATGAATATTCATGAAAAAAAAAAAAAAGATGATAGTTTACAAGTTAACAAGCTAAGAAAAATGTACTTATAAAATGAGGACGAAATGTGTAAGGAAGGGCTGAAATGAAAGTTAGCCTGTAGTTTGTTGAAATAATAAAATGTATAAATAATGGAGAATGACCAGGACAGTTAGAAAATTAATTTACAGTGATCAGTAATAATATGTAACAAAATTATTTTGCTGAGGCCTAAGAATAGCTCCCACAGTTACTTGTAGCTCATCTGTTTAACACTGAGATCTGTCATTTATGTAGGTCTCTATATATTTGTACCAGTTATCCTTAAAATAGTTCCAATAAGAAACTTGGGGCTAAGTGACCAGAATTTCATGACCTTACTGATCAGGCTAAGTGGCCAGAATTTCATGACCTTACTGATCAGGCTAAGTGGCCAGAATTTCATGACCTTACTGATCAGGTTAATTGGCCAGAGTTATTAAATGACCTAACTGAGCAGGCCTAGTGGACAGAATTTCATGACCTAGCTGAGCACGTTAAGTGGAAAGACTTTCATGACCTTACGGATCAGAGTCCCTGTTCCACCTGGCACTGCAGTCTGGTCTGTTTGCCTTCGAACAGATGTTATAACTTATGACCATATCCACACATTTTGAAAGTTCAGGGGAAAAGCTTGCCTCGTCTTCAACTGAGCTAACATAGAAAAAAGGTTTAATTAATTATTTTTTTTATGATGGGTTCACCAGTATTATTAAAAACCTTAAGTTTGGTTCAGAGTTCAGCCTAAATAAGTACCGTAATGAGAACTTTTTGCCAGTAAACATTGCCAGATTTTACATTTTCAAAAGCTAGATTTCGGAAGGGGAGCATAAAAAAAATGTTCAGAATATTCTTCACATTCACATTATTTTGTGTATTTTTTTCTAGTGACAACTATCTCATAATATCCTGCTCTGTTAATTAATGGTAATTGAAATTATCTTAAAATTAAAATCAATACTCACATGTAGGATTTGCCGATGTCATTTTTTTAGTATAGATGGTGTTAAACAAGCAAAAATTAATAATACAATTCTTTGGAAAAGCTTACAGAATGAAATCATACATTTGTTAAAAGCAAACAGCACCACTCACGGGAAAAGAATCTTCCATTGATTCGGCTTCCTATTAGAAAAACTCAATTGTCATAGGAATAGCGTCTCAGTGTCATAGGAATAGCGTCAGTGTCACAGGAATAGCGTCAGTGACATAGGAATATTGTCAGTGTCATAGAAGTTATAGGAATAGCGTCAGTGTCATAGGATTAGCGTCAGTGTCATAGGATTAGCGTCAGTGTCATAGGAATAGCGTCATGGCATGGCTGTTGTTTGGACGTTCTTAAGCATTGAAAGTCTTTGATTCAAGCTGTTACTGTTTTCACAGTGCAGCTACAGTTACAGACTGGCTGGCTGCTTTTTATTTTGAAAAGCATCTTCACAGTAAGATGCCTTAATTTCACAGCCAGTGTTCAGGCTTAATAAGGCTATGATATAAATCATTTAAAGATACACATTTGCCTCACCAAAACCCTGGCAATTCAGCCTGTGTTAATGTATTTTCGAAACACCCGATTGCTCTATTTTGATTTTTTGTGGCCACCATTTAGTACCCCATCGCCGTATTGTGTCACGTGGTTGAAATCACTTGACTTCGCGTTGGACACTGCGGCGAGACTTGAAGCGTAGTGGCTGGAGCCCTGCGGTGTGAGTTTCTCCCACAGCGAGTACATGACGACCAGCGGCACGATGACCCAGATGATGTTCGGGATGACCACAAGGGCGATCTCTTGCAGGGCCGTGTTGCCCTGTCTGTACTCCCCGCCCGTGCAGAACTCGCTGAACATGAGGAAGTAGAGGACCGTCTTCCAGAAGGTCATCACGCTGACGGTGAAGGCCGTGGTGGCGGTGTGGCGGGAGCACCTGTAGTGCTGAAAGTTTAAACCAAGATAATACGCCGTGAGTTAAGGCAGGCGTCGTGGGATCAGTGGCCTATGTGAGTTATACATTTTGTGGGTTATACATTTTGTGGGTTATACATTTTGTGGGTTATACATTTTGTGGGTTTTTCGTTTTGTGAGTCTATCGCCCCGAGACATGGACACCTACATTGAGAAGTGTCATCCTATATAAACGTGTTAATAAATTCTTAACTTCTTTTTTTTTTTCCATCAAAGTTCTGAGAATTTCTGAAAATCGTTTTGAATATCAGTCTTCCTTTAAATCTTTATATTTAAAAAAATCAGTTTGCCTTCAAATTTTATTTTTTTAAAATATCTAATCATTTAAATTATAAAGGAAGCATTGGTTGTCCAGCGTTTCAAACCTTTTAACCTCCGCTGGTGGTCAGGTAATGGACTCACAGCGTTATCTAATGTAACCAGCATGCTCCAACACATACCCCATTATCGATGGTTCTCAAAAGCAGCTTCACCAAACTTGAAGATTTTTTGTCTGCAAAGGAAAGTCATGCCAGTGATACCAAATGGGGCCATTTTTTTTTCTTTTTGGTTTCCAATGGCTTGTACAAGTCTTCAGTGAATAGACCCACAGTTCTATCACATAGATCCAAAGTTCTATCACAGCTCAGGAAATCAAGAGGTCAAAAATCAGCTTGCACAACTTTTTTGGTCCCCTGAGTACCTAGAATGGTTTAAACATCCCCCACCCCCACCCCCACCACAAAAAAAAAAAACTACGCCCGTGGACTAGTTGACCAGTTGAAAAAAAATTCATTGACCTGCCCACACTTTTTATAAAGAGTAACATATTATACTATCTCAGAGACTAAATGTCCCCTTAAATGTCTTCAAACTGACCCTCACTGGTCTCACCATCGCCCCCTCCCACACACATGTCATTTTTCATAAGACCACCCAAACTTGACCTCCCCACCCCATCCATCCACAAAGAAAAAAAAAGCCACATCTGTTGGACCACTCACCATAACGATGGTAATGATGTTGAATGCCACCTCCACATAGTTAAGCCTGTGGACAAAGTGGTACATACATTATCACTTGACTTGTCACGCAGATATTTTCATTGTACTGTTACGCAGATCTTATCACTGTACTTATCACACACACATTATCACTGTACCATCACAAAGATATTATCACAGAACTTATCACACAGATATTACCACTGTCCTTATTATGCCAATATTATGACTGCATTTATCATGTAGATAATATCACTATACTTATCATGCAGATATTATCACTGCACTTATCACGCTGATAGTATCACTGTACTTATCTTGAACAGGTATTGTAACTGTACTTATCAAGAATATATTATCACTGTACTTATCACTAAGATCTAATCACTGTACTTATCACCAAGATATTATCACTGTACTTATCACCAGGATATTATCACCGTACTTATCACTAAGATAGTATCACTGTACTTATCATTAAGATACTATCAGTTTACTTATCACGTAGATAGTATCAATTTACTTATCACGCAGATATTATCACTGTTCTTATCACGATTTCTCCCACTTTCCTTTGTTACTTGTTTTAATAGTTCTATCAGCGTTTGACGTCTTTCCCGAACAGAGAAACTATTTATTTTCTAACTTAGCAAACCCCTAAAAATCTAACAACCCTCCCCAAAATCTAACACCACCTCCCCTCCCTCAATAATCTAACCAACCAATAATCTAACAACCCCAACCCCTCCCCTCCCTCAATAATCTATAACCAACCAAATAATCTAGCTCCCAACCAAAAAAAAACAGGAACATCCCCCTCCCCCCCCCACACACCTAGTTTGCTGTACTCACAAGCTCTGGGCAAAGACATAAGCGTCACTGGTGTCATTGTACCTCTGGTCCACTGTGACGTAGTATTTGTCTGAGAGGAGAAACATGAAAACCCAATAATCTAAACTCCTAATAATCTAACCCCCCAATAATCTAACCTCAATATCCCAACGCCCCCCACCCCACACCAATAATCTATCGTCCCAATTATCCTTACTGGCATGAGCCCTACTTGCCCTGTGCCCTACTGAGCTGAGCCCTACTTGCCCTGAACCCTACTTGCCCCGAGACCTACTTGCCCCGAGCTCTACTGGATGAGCCCTACTGGATGAGCCCTACTGGACTGAGCCCTACTTGCCCTGAGCCCTACTGGCCTGAGCCCTACTGGACTGAGCCCTACTGGCCTGAGCCCTACTGGACTGAGCCCTACTGGCCTGAGCTCTACTTGACTGAGCCTCACTGGACTGAGCCCCACTGGCCTGAGCTCTACTAGAATGAGCCCCACTGGCCTGAGCTCTACTGGACTGAGCTCTACTTGACTGAGCCTCACTGGCCTGAGCTCTATTTGACTGACCCTCACTGGCCTGAGCTCTACTGGACTGAGCCTCACTGGCCTGAGCTCTACTGGACTGAGCCTCACTGGCCTGAGCCTCAATGGCCTGAGCCTCACTGGCCTGAGCCCCAATGGATTGCGCCTCACTGGGCTGAGATACTTGACTGAGCCTCACTGGCCTGAGCTCTATTTGACTGACCCTCACTGGCCTGAGCTCTACTGGACTGAGCCTCACTGGCCTGAGCTCTACTGGACTGAGCCTCACTGGCCTGAGCCCCACTGGACTGAGCCTCACTGGCCTGAGCCCCACTGGACTGAGCCTCACTGGCCTGAGCTCTACTTGACTGAGCCTCACTGGCCTGAGCTCTACTGGACTGAGCCTCACTGGCCTGAGCTCTACTGGCCTGAGCCTCACTGGCCTGAGCTCTACTGGCCTGAGCCTCACTGGCCTGAGCTCTAAGGGACTGAGCCTCATTGGCCTGAGCTCTACTGGACTGAGCCTCACTGGTGCCTAGTCCTATGAAAAGCCTTACATAACAATCAAAACACTGCAAGGACACACGACCTTTCTTTTGTATCTTAGGAATGACCTGCATAGTCTCCAAAAGCCCCGCCAGAATCATTCCCCCCATTCCCCCATCCCGCTTACCTCCTCATGGTAATAGCTTACATTTACATGGCCAAACAAAACTCTACCAAAGACCCTTCCCCCTCTCTTCATATTCAACGCATACATTATGTTAAGTACCAGAACCCTCCCAGCGACCCTTCTCTGGCCCCTCATGTGAAATGAATAACTTAAGTAAGTTCCAGAGACCCCCCCCCTCTCAGACCACATGAATGACTTACATAAGTACCAGAACACTGCCAGAGACACACACCCCCCGCCCCTCTTAGACCACATGAATGACTTACATAAGTACCAGAACACTGCCAGAGACCCCCCTGGCAGTGTGTAAGGGCGAAGCATTATGAACGTAGCGTCCCACGTACACACAATGGCAGTGACATAGAACCAGATCAGTATCCACGTCTGCAGCTGAAGTTTGGCTTCGAACCGGAGCCCTTTGGCCGCGTAGTTCAGGCCCTTCCTCTGTGAAGGTTTGTTCATTCTCACGCGATCAATAGTGGTCGGAGACTCTTAAAAAGAAGAAGATTGCAACTGTAGTTAAGTTAATGTTATAATAAAACTATATTTTCGTATGGCTTATAGAATCTATGTAGGCCTACGACTCCGTGCAACCATTTAAGAACTCTACCAAATGCCTGGTAGCATGTGTCCTTAGTTTGCAACCATTCTTATCATGGTGTGTTGTTTTCAAGACCAGAAAAAAAACATGAATGTGTCTCAGAGAGGGAGGGAGGGAGAGAGGGGGAGGGAGCGAGAGAGAGATAAAAAAGAGAGAGATAGGGAGAGAGAGAAAGAAAGAGAATGGGGTGGAAACAGGGAGAGGGGAGAGAGGGTGTGTGAAAAAGGAGAGTGAGAAATAGAGGGGGAGTGGGAGAGAAAGAGGGGGAGGGAAAGAAAGAGGGGGAGGGAGAGAAAGAGCGAGAGAGAGAGAACGAAAGAGATAGAGCTAGTGTCACCCTGGGTGTGCCCAGATTATTACCGCCCTTGCTTTTTACGGGGGGGGGGGGGGGAACAACAACTCTACAATAAGGAGAACATTCCGCTCCTAGACCTAAAACTAAATATGAAGGAAACAAATAATACCACCAGGGGAACTTCGCCCCTCTTCCTATGCCCCTAACTTTATTATAGGGGGGGAGAGAACAACAACTCTACAATAAGGAGAACATTCCGCTCCTAGACCTAAAACTAAATATGAAGGAAACAAATAATACCACCAGGGGAACTTCGCCCCTCTTCCTATGCCCCTAACTTTATTATTTTTACTTAATAAAGATGACAATTAAAGGAGAGCAATCTCATTCATTTATTTTTAAAAGTATAGCGTACTATATTATGGACATGTATGTTGCTTATGTTAGAATCACAAATTCAGTTTTCAGCCTTTGACTTTTGACTTAACAATTTACTGACTTCACAAATAATAAATATTTGATTAACACCTGGCTACTTCCTTACCCTGGACTGGATCAAACTCTTGGAAAAACTAACTCCGCGTCGTACCGGTGCAGTTTAATCCTCCAGTGACGCAACACACTCTCCGATGTGTCTGACCCACGGTTGGCTGTGAAATGAATCGGAAAAATCCAGTTATCTTTTTATATGCCAAGTCTTGCAAGCAACGTCACTCTTCACAGATTAAATTTTGTGTTCTCTTCCCTGTAGATTATCACACGTAGTATGTCTGACTGGTCCTGATTATTAATCCAATGCGGTCTTCTTTCTTCATGGACCCCGGGGAAAGGGGAATGGGGGGAGGGGGGGAGCTAGAGAAAGGTGGTGAGGGGTCGCTGGTGAAACGCAAGTGGCAAAGTACGGATAAACTTTGTGAACTAAGATGGAGTGCGGGCGAACTAAGGTCAAGGTAAACACACCAATTGGGGGGGGGGGATTGTCTATTATTAGATGTGCCACGGGCCAGATAAACCGATCTAAGCGTGTGTGTGTGTGTGTATTTGCTGGGTGTGCTTGTGTTTGCAGCCCCAATCCATGTGTGTGTATGTGGGCATATTGGCATACGTTTTTGTGTTTTTTTTCTACTGGAGTAGACTAGAGTAGTCTAAGCAAGATTGTCCGTATCTTTTAACCGGGACAGAAAGACGTTGGTTGACCCACATTCTCTCCCTCTACGGGGAGCGATAACGGTAGAGAAAGAGGTGAATGGGTCAAAAACCCCCAGCTAGTAAAAATATCTTTTTTTCTTCCGTCTTCGGGGGTTGGGGTAGGGCGTGGCGGAATATGCCCTGCTGAGGCCCCTAGGCAGTCAAAATTTTGAGGCACCTCTCACAGATACTTCTAATACTAAAGGTCATAGCCAGAACTTCTTATACAAAATGTCATATCCATCACTTCTTATAACGGTACTTAATGCCATATCCATCACTTCTTATACCAAATGTCATATCCATCACTTCTTATACCAAATGTCATATCCATCACTTCTTATAATAAATGTCATATCCATCACTTCTTATAATAAATGTCATATCCATCACTTCTTATACCAAATGTCGTATCCATCACTTCTTATACTAAATGTCATATCCATCACTTCTTATACTAAATGTCATATCCATCACTTCTTATACTAAATGTCATAACCATCACTTCTTATACTAAATGTCATATCCATCACTTCTTATACTAAATGTCATAACCATCACTTCTTATACTAAATGTCATATCCATCACTTCTTATTCTAAATGTCATATCCGTCACTTCTTCTACTAAATGTCATATCTATCACTTCTGAGTTTGAGTCTTTAAAAGAACAAAAGAATTTTCTCGCTCAACTTAGTATTTAAAACCTATGTCACGCCCAAATAACTTTAGCAACAATACAGGCCTAAACGGCCTAGATGGCCTAAACGGCCTAGATGGCCTAAACGGCCTAGATGGCCTAAACGGCCTAGATGGCCTAGATGACCTAGAAGACCTAAACGACCTAGATGGCCTAAACGGCCTAGATGGCCTAAACGGCCTAGATGGCCTAGATGACCTAGAAGACCTAAACGGCCTAGATGGCCTAAACGGCCTAGATGGCCTAAACGGCCTAGATGGCCTAAACGGCCTAGATGGCCTAGATGACCTAGAAGACCTAAACGGCCTAGATGGCCTAAACGGCCTAGATGGCCTAGATGACCTAGAAGACCTAAACGGCCTAGATGGCCTAAACGGCCTAGATGGCCTAAACGGCCTAGATGGCCTAAACGGCCTAGATGGCCTAGATGACCTAGAAGACCTAAACGGCCTAGATGGCCTAAACGGCCTAGATGGCCTAGATGACCTAGAAGACCTAAACGGCCTAGATGGCCTAAACGGCCTAGATGGCCTAAACGGCCTAGATGGCCTAAACGGCCTAGATGGCAGGCCTAAATGGCCAACATCCCAAGTACCTGCTATCCTAGTTTAAAAAAAATAAAGCATCAGAAGCAACTTAGGGGCTCCCTTAAAGGACTGCACCCCATTCAGACCATTTTTAGCCCCCCCCCCCCCACTTTTCCACCCCCACCGTCACAAATCTGTCACAAAATTTAGACAATCTCCTATTACATCGTCACAAAATCGCGAACTCTCTCAGAGTGGGGGCAACATGAGTGGTAGGAGAGGGGGGAAGTATAGCAGGTAGAAGTGTGGGGCAACATAGCTAGAAGAATAGTGGGGCCACATAACTGGTAGAAGAATATTGAAACATAACGGGTAGAAGAGTGGGGAAACATAACTGGTAGAAGAGTGTGAGCAACATAGCTGGTAAAAGAGTGGGGAAACATAACTGGTAGAAGAGTGGGAGGAACATAGCTGGTAAAAGAGTGGAGAAACATAACTGGTAGAAGAGTGGGAGCAGCATAGCTGGTAAAAGAGTGGTAAAACATAACTGGTAGAAGAGTGGTAAAACATAACTGGTAGAAGAGTCGGAGCAACATAACTGGTAGAAGAGTTGGGGCAACACAACTGGTAGAAGAGTGGGGGCAACATAACTGGTAGAAGAGTTGGGGCAACACAACTGGTAGAAGAGTGGGGGCAACATAACTGGTAGAAGAGTTGGGGCAACATAACTGGTAGAAGAGTGGGGGCAACATAACTGGTAGAAGAGTTGGGGCAACATAACTGGTACACGAGTTGGGGGTAACATAACTGTTAGAAGAGTGGGGCCACTCCCCTGCCAAACACAATTAACGTCCCTGTGACGTATCGTCTGCAAGCAGTGATTTGTGTTTATATCTCGAAACAGTGTCGTCGGCTTCCAACAGAAATGATCTTATGCCATCAAATTCCAATCAAGTTACACACTACGAAGATACCCAATCGTGTATTCGCTCGCTAGTCCGTTGCTCTTATAACATGTACTATAATAAGCATAAATTGACTAGTGCTAAACTTTTTGACCACCGCAACACACTACCAAAGAAAACACCTTGTTGACAAAGTTGCGAGCTCACCGTGCGTAGTTTCCCGTGTGCATTTTGGCTGCGTTCAGACTACCAGAGCACAGCATGCATTTTTTATATTCACCTAGCTGAGAACTACGGTTATAAATAGTATCGATAGATACATCTGAAAACATAGAAATATACATTCTTTGTTTGTTACATTTCTTAGGGCTGTTGAAGTTGATGAATGATAATTTGAAGAAAAAAAAATACATCAAACAAACTCTATGACTATAAAGTATCTGGATGTTGGCTTTCTACAGCCAGAACATATTTGCACATTGTGCTTATGGACGAGCTGTTTTGTGCTCATTCGCTTTTTTGTCTTACAAACTTGATGTGGAACAATTAAGTCATTTGGACACGTCCCTTGGGTCCACGTCACGAAACCCCTTTGAGACCTGTTTCCTTCATTGGGGTTTGGATCCCCCCCCCCACTCTTATTCCCACTTTCTCCAACAGGTCAATATATGTCACACAAGTCATAAAATAGAAATAATAACTTGGGGTTTGGACCCCCCCCCCCCACTCTTATTCCCACTTTCTCCAACAGGTCAATATATGTCACACAAGTCATAAAATAGAAATAATATTTTTTTTTTGGTAAAAGAGAGTCCCCCCCCCCCTTACAAACCACCAAATTTAAAAGCACCGAACAGCTCAAGAGCAAATAAAGAGAGCGGCTCAGGGAATCCGTCACCTGACGTCACTGTTAATCGCAAATGTAACCAAAACTTGTTTACTGTACTTGGTACGACTGCCCTAAGCACTATCTCTAAAATTGGGGGCTTTAACCGTACTGAAGTTCGACCAAGCAGCCCTTTTTTAGCAGCCAGCCCTGTAAGAAGCAGGGACGTCATTTAGGGTACGGCAGGATGGGACATTCCCCCCCCCCCCCCCCGGTTTTACTTAAATTACTACGTACTGTTGCGCCTTCTGTAATAAACAACTTAGCAACCCGACCAAGTTTTGGTTTTGCCCTTCACCGTAATAAAACCTGAAATGACGCCCTTGATAAGAAGCCCTGCTAACAGCCTGTAAGCAGCCTTGTAAGCAGCCTGTAAGCAGCCTTGTAAGCAGCCTGTAAGCAGCCTGTAAGCAGCCTGTAAGCAGCCTGTAAGCAGCCTTGTAATCCAGTTAGGGCTGCGGTTTACTTAAAAAAAGCAACACAAAATACTGTTTAAACTTCACAATATTGGCAATGCTACTATTTTTTGGAACACAATACACAGTGGCGTAATTAGTGGCGCCCGGGGTGGGCAAGTTTTTTTTGCCTCTCCACTTCCGCGAAAGTACTTTTTCTTTCGCCCACAAATCCGCCCCCCCCCCCCCCCGTAAGAAAAAAAAGTCCCGTCAGAGTCGGACCGATCTACCGCACAACCCCACCCCCTTTTCCTACGCCGCTGACTGCAAAGTCAGAATTGTGTGCACCGCTCAGTCTTAAGGGAGGTTGTGATCCCTCATAATTTGCCTGGATTGCAGATGTGCAAATTGTGCAAATATGTCGAGTAAAGAGATTCGCCATGGCAAGACAGGAAAGTTGTGTTCATCTATAACTTCCAGTCAAACTAGAACTCGACCAACAACACAACGTCCTTTTATCAAGAGGGATTCCCCGATTTTTTCATCAAAATTAAAACAAAACTTTGTAGGAAAGAAAACAGTAAACAAAAGAAAAATTAAAAAGTAATGCGAGTTTTTGAAACAATCTTGGCACTGATTTAACGAAATAAAATTCCCGATAACTGCTTTAAATAAGAAAAATAAAATTCTTTTTTTTAAATCCTTAACATTAACTTCAGTTTTGTTCGTGTGTTGCTGGCACTTTCGGTTGAAAAATTTGGCCCGCCCCTGTCGGCACCATCCCATTCAATAAAGTGTATTGCAACTGCAAGAGCAATTGACGTACACGCCAACTAGCAGGAGCCCAGTCACGTGCCAGAGAGGTCCAACAGACCCAAGTGGTCGAGTGACACAAGCTCTCAGAGATTTGTGTCTTACCCCACAATGTCAGGATGCTAGAACTCAGAGAGGGTGGGGAAGGATCCCTTTAAACTGAGTCCAGCTGTTTAAAAAAAAAATCGAGGTATCGCTACTCCATTAACTAAATGATCTAACACTCTCAGGTCTGTGAGGTCTGCAGCCCCCCCCCCCCTTTGCAGGTTTGCCTCAAATAATTGAGGGTCCCAAAACTGTGAGGTGGAAATATTTAAACCATCCACTTTAAATTCAGAGGTCACAAAACCGAAATGTGGCAGAGGGTCTCAAATAGCCCCACGGCGGGCCTGGTGGTGGGAGGTTTTAGGGAATATTTTTCAATAAGAGCAATCCCGCGCGCCCTTTCTCCTCAAAGCAGCCGAAAGCTTTATGTCTGAACGATATTTTAGTACTTAGGAAAGCTGGACCAGGTTCAAAAGTTCGACCTTTGTTAAAACGGTAAATCATAGCCCATAGAACATGCTGATATGTAGCACATGCTGAAATGTAGCACCTGCTTAAATGTAGTGCAAGCTGAAATGTAGCACCTGCTGAAATGTAGGGCAAGCTGAAATGTGGCACATGCTGAGAGTTCGCACTTGCTGAGATGGGCACATGCTGAAATGTGGCACATGCTGAAATGTGGCACATGCTGAAATGTGGCACATGCTGAAATGTGGCACATGCTGAAATGTGGCACATGCTGAAATGTGGCACATGCTGAAATGTGACAGATACTGAAATGTGCCACATGCTAAAATGTGCCACATGCTGAAATGTGCCACATGCTAAAATGTGCCACATGCTGAAATGTAGCAGATGCTGAAATGTGGCACATGCTGAGATGTGGCAATTGCTGAAATGTTGCACATGCTGAAATGTGGCACATGCTGAGATGTGGCACATGCTGAAATGTAGCAGATGCTGAAATGTGGCACATGCTGAGATGTGGCAATTGCTGAAATGTTGCACATGCTGAAATGTGGCACATGCTAAAATGTGCCACATGCTGAAATGTAGCAGATGCTGAAATGTGGCACATGCTGAGATGTGGCAATTGCTGAAATGTTGCACATGCTGAGATGTGGCACATGCTGAAATGTTGCACATCCTGAAATGTTGCACATCCTGAAATGTGGCGCATGCTGAAATGTGGCACATGCTGAGATGTGGCACATGCTGAAATGTTGCACATGCATAAATTTAGCACATGAAACACGTAATGCAGTGTGTAAAGCTTTCAGGGGTTTACAATTAATGTATACTTTCTGGGGTGTGCGGCCACACGTGGGTTGGGGGGGGGCACATGGAGGAAATGATAACACCTCATATCATGCGTGACAGATTCCAAAGTCTGAGTGGACGTCATTGACGCCATTCTGAACGTGATCAAGCGAGCAGACGGAAATGCTTGAATGCCTGAGTGTTGGACCAGGGGCGTAGCTTGACGTGGTCAGCTCCCACCCCCTCCCACGCCTCTTTGTAGTACTACACGCCGAGACGCCGACCCCTCAAGTTCAAGGAGATCGAATTGTAGAGTTATATAAATATATATAAATATATATAAATAAATATATCTACAAATTTAAGCTTTAGAGATAGGGCTTTGGCCTACACCCACCCACCCCCTTGTTTGCCATCTCCTTTAATATATAATATTCTTAAAGCTACCCCAACTCCACCTTCTCTCACCCCTGCTAGTTTTAAATTACACTGTTCTTCAGTTTTCTTGAACCGATAAACCGCCCCCCCACCCCCCACCCCCACACCATTAAAAAAAATCCTTTAAATTCTTCTTGGAAAACAAACCTCCCACCTAGAAACAGGAAAATCAAGATTGCAACACTTTCATCCCCCCCCACACACACACACACAAGCACACAAGGAAGGAAGAACGAATTTATTAGGCCCCTTTGCGTGCAAGTCATTGGAGCACATCAATCAGTCAATTCACCTGTGTCACATACACATACGTAAAACAACAACCGCCAGGACACAGCAGCAGTTATAGTGAAAGCTTGAATATCCGGACATTCGGTTTATCAGCACTCGCATCTTGTAACCCAGCAGTTCAAGTCTTTATGTATCAATTCTACGTAAGAAATTGGAAGGACATATTTTTCCCGTGGCCAATTCATCGAGAACAAAGACAAACTCATTGCAACAAAATGTTGTTGTTTTGTTGTTAAATGACTCTAAGCTTCAACGTTCAGTATCGATGTCTTTTAAAATAATATGATATTTATTATCATTTATATTTAAAAAAATACTTTCTAAATAACACTTTGTAAGTCGATTATCAGGATTTTAAAAATTTGTCCATACAACCGCCATAAGAACATAATCTGGATAATCAAGTTTCCAATTTAAAGCATCCATTTTTTTGCTTGGCTTGTTTGCTTTTTGCTTGCTTTATTCATTTTAAGAAGATTACATAGATATAAATATAATATGTGATATTGTAATATAGTGCACAATTTGGTGAACTTATTACACTTACAGGACATCTTGGCATTTCACCTTGTCTGATCGTAATTGGAAGAAAGACATCCCAGCAGTTAAATCGATGAATTGATTACCGTCTTACTAACCAGTATGATAAGCCCACAAGGGCAGTCTTCCTCAACCAAAACATCGCAGAATGGTTCAAGACCACGGTTGGAGTGCGACAAGGCTCCCTGCGCTCCCCAACCCTGTTCAACATCTTCCTAGAGAGAATTATGTCAGATGCTCTGGAAGCGCATGACGGGACAGTCCGTATTGGTGGCAGAACAATCACCAACCTACGCTTTGCGGACGACATAGACGGATTGGCTGGGAACGAAGAAGAGCTAGCCGACCTGGTAGAGCGTCTCGATAAGACCTCGTCGTCCCACGGCATGCTAAGCAGTGCCGAAAAGACAAAACTGATGACAAGTAACACCACAGGCATCACTACTGAAATTAAGGTTGGGGAGGAAAGACTAGAGACTGTAGACCACTTCAAATACCTAGGAGCTATAGTCTCAGGCGAAGGTTCCAAGCCCGAACTGATGTCCAGGATTGCACAGACTACAACAGCACTAAGGAGGCTCAGGAAAATATGGAAGGACAAAAATATAGCCCCCAGCACCAAAATCAGGCTGATGGGGTCATTAGTCCTCTCCATTTTCCTGTATGCCTGCGAATCCTAGACATTAACAGCAGATCTTGAAAGGAAAATAAAGGCGATGGAGATGAGATGCTTCAGAAGCATTTTCGGCATCTGCTATAGGGACCATATCTCCAATGATACAGTGAAAGAAAAGGTTCGCCAGGCAATTAGGGAGTACGATGACCTACTGGTGACTGTGAAAAAACGAAAACTACAATGGTACGGCCACGTAACAAGGAAACAAGGGCTTGCTAAAGAAATATTGCAGGGCACCACAAGAGGAGGGAGAAGTAGAGGAAGACAAAGAAAAAGGTGGGAGGATAACATCAAAGAGTGGACAGGACTAACACTGGGCGATGTAGTGCGTAGTGCTGAAGACAGAGAGGAATGGAGGAGGATGGTTCACATGTCATCTGTGGCGCCCCAATGGTCCAAAGACTAAGGGACATGAGGATGAGGAATCTCCATTTATCAATATTTTTCAAAAGATTCCTCTGTTTTAGTCTACCTGGACTTTGGGTCAAGCTGGCCACTCATGGGCTCAACTTTGAGTTGAGATGAGTATCCCTCTGTGTAGCAGGACTCTTCCACAAATGAAAAGTTGAAAGGAATGTCCTCATTGTTGTTCAGATAGATTGTCTCTTTAGCTTCCCGGCCTAGGAGATCAGACATTAGATTTGTATTGTTGCTATCAGTTTATGAAAGCTATACATTTTATACAAGGTTATTTCTATTGATTAACAGCCATTTTATGACAGGCAGGAGAGAAATATATATTTGTTTAAATTGTGAAAATAACTATTTTTAATGGGGAGAAAATAAACCTGAATGTAAATTTTTTTTTTAAAAAGCACTCAATGAATTTTTAGTTACAATTTTTACCTAATTTAGACCAATTTCATTCTAAATTTTTTTGTTTTTTTAAATATAAATATAGATCTTCTACTGTACTTACTCATTCCAGACTAAATAGTTTCAAATGTTCTCTCTTATCAATATTACTAAATATGAACAAAATATAAAGCTCAATTTATTTACCAGGTATTCTATAAGTTGCATGGGTCAGTGAATGCTTACCAACTAGAAGAGCTTTAAAGTTGAGATGGGACCTGTCCATACAAATGACAGGCTCCCTGGTGTGTCCCACCAAAAGGAAGGGAATGGTGATTGCCTTTGCTGGGATATTGAACCTCCATGAGGACTCAACCACATCGAGTTTGTTGGAAGTAAACTCAAAAGCAACCTGTCACATGTTGATACAAAGTTACGCTTGAATACTTAAGCAGCCTGTCACATGTTGATACAAAGTTTATATAATAATAAATGTTAATGGAAGAAATATTGTGTCACCCCTTTTTGTGGGTTTACTACAATGAGTGGCCATGCATGCAGGAGGTTGACATACAGCTACCATAAACAGTTCTTAATTGCTAATTTGTGTTACTATCTATTTTTGTGTGCAAAAGTCTATTATTCTCCATAAATTGCCATGCTTCTACTTAATTTTGAGGTAAAAATGTTCACTCACCTTGTATTTTCTGCCACCTTTGATTTTTCCACTTGGATTAAGGCACCTGAAGTTGGTTGGATGTTTGGGATCAGTGTCATCTTCACAAAGCCACTCAAATTGGAAGGTCTCATTGGTGGGATTGATGATACCAAACTCCCTGAAATGAATTGACGCTGGTGTAAATAGGTTAGATCATACTGAATTTCTTTTTTAACACAGCTACCATATAAGGTGTGTATAGCTACCACAAAAGGTGTGTATAGCTATCATATAAGGTGTGTATAGCTACAGCAAAAGGTGTGTATAGCAACCATATAAGGTGTGTTTAGCTACCATAACCTTTTAAAGAAAAATACATTTGAACAAGGTTAACTCTGCTCATGACCAATACCCTTACTACAATTTCTTTAAAAAAAAAAGTGCAGTAATTTATTAATGGTTATATTTTTATAGCAAGATTTAGCATTTGCAATGTATTACATTTAAAAAAAACAATACTTGATAAATCTTTTCCATCAAGTATCATCTGATTTTTTTTTAAATATTAAAATTTGAAAATAAATTTGAGTATGAAATAAATATTATAATAGACATAAAAGAATCTAAAACATTTTTAGAAAATTGACTTGCAACACTTGATCCCAACACCATAGACACGAAGTTACTTGTGCACTTGATCGCCAACCCCACAGACATGAACTTACTTGCAGCACTTGACCCCAACACCGCAGACACTGAACTCTATAATCTTGGTGGACGGGTCAAGAGATAATCCTTGCTGAGTAGAGTTGGTTGTGTCCCTTACACCACAGCTCTTATAGTCTGAATCTTCCAACTCAAAGTGACAGTATGGCATCAGGCTGCGTGCTTTTAGGCCAATCACTGGATTTTGAAACTCTTTGTTCACATAAGGAACACTAAAATAAATAAATGAATGAATTAAAAATATGGAATAGATGGCCATAAAAATATAAATCAAACAATACAAAAACAGTTGATAAATCGATTTAAAAAAAGTGAGTTTGACATTATTTTATCAAAAGGTCTTTTAGTTTAGTGGTTGTGTTGAGGCATTGACTTTTAAATGTATAGCTTATGAATTCCTTTCTGACAACAACAAAATTTCCTTTTGTTTGAGAGTTGTTTTTATTTTTGTAAAAAAACAAAAGTGTCACAGCTCTTGTAAGGAATAAAAGAAAGCTACATTTTTATGTCATATGTTTTATTACAAATATAATATTTCTACCAATCTTACAAGTAACAACATATAGTGCATGGTTTTTATACTTTTACACACTAATAGCCCATGTTGAAAGTCTAGAAATATTTAAACCAACAAAGTCTTAAATGTTAAAATTCTTGACACCCCCCACCCCCCTCGGGCGAAGCAATGAGTCACCAACAGGTTTATTTACTCTAAGAATATTCTGCAATAAAGGGACTTTACTCTAGCAAAAAACCAATAGACTAAGCTGATGTTATCAAATATGTTAGTCAAAAAACTTCTGAAATGAACCTGCAAATCAGTCTTCCTTCATAGTCATTAGCATCTAAAGGTGCAAACTTGACCATACATGAAACATTCTTGCCCACTGGGATTGTGCCAAACTCTGGCTCAACAAAGAAAGGTGTGTATGAGGTTTCAAGGATATCAACACGTGACTCTGGACGGTCCCCATCGGACATAAATGTTACAGAGCGCCGGATCGTTGGTGTCAGGCTGTCCAGGATAACTTGCCAGTTGTAGCTGAGAGCCACCTTACCCTCATTATGAAGAGTGACACTGTTAGAGGAAGGAAGTGGAACATCTTTCAGAACTCAAAATGTACTAAAATAGATTAGTATTCCTAATGATGCCTCAAAAGTGAGTTAGTTTAATTCTGTATAGTTATTATAAAAAAAGAAAGTAAATTTTACGATCACGCAAGAACGTGAGGTCCTTTAATAAAGATTAATATGGCAGTTTGTGTTTTCCATGAGTAAAATATTGAATTCAATGATAATCTAACAGAAGTGCCCCTGTACAATTTCCATTTCAGAAATGTTGGCCCAGCACTTACTTATATCTGTTTTAAACTATGATATAAGTGTAGTGAACTGCTTGAGTTAACTTACCTGTAAACGCGTGTTTGAAACATGGGTGTGTTCTTAAAGTGAATGCTCTCGGCATCACAGGAGATAGCAGGATAGTCTGACACAGCCGAGATGAGAAGTTCCACATCTCTCGCCGTATCTGGAACCTCGATGTATTGGGGCTCTGGTTCTGTCTCAATCACTTTCTTTTTGGTGGGTTTAGCCTGGCCACCTATTGCGACAGATTTGCTACCGCTGTTTAGGAAATTAAAGAAATTTGTAAAAAAAAATGTGAATAACAGTAATAAAAGAATTGAAGTGAATTTTGGGTAAGATGATGTAAAAAAAAATTCAATAATTTAATCACTGAATTAAGATTTAAACATAATTTCTGAAGTGAACATATTATTCAAAAGGGAAACAAATTTTCATTGGATTGTTAAAATTTTTATCAACACTATTTTAGCATAAAAACATAATAGCTTATTTGGCGTGTGGATGTGTGCATATAAGGGGATCAAATTTGTGAGATGAATTGTATCAAACCAATGAAAATACAAACAGTTTACAATAATATTTCAGTGTCCAGTGGTTGTTACTATAGAAATTAAAAAGATTAAATAATGGTACAATCAACTATTTAACATTAAAAATTAAATTTAAATAAGAAAATTTATATCACAGAGAGATATTTTTATTTAAAAAAACAATCATTTTCAAAATCTGGTGATGCAAAAGAAAAGAAATCATTTAAATTTTGCTTTAAAAAAATATCAATATCTCATTATATCCCTTTACACAGATGAGTGACTGCATATATTTTATCCATAAAGGAATAGGGCACTACACATAATGTTTAGAATTAAAATTGATAAGTAAAAAAAATAGCCTTCAAAATTGAAACCATATATACATTTATCTTTATAAATTAATAAATCACTATTTGAAAATCCAGATTTTAAATCTGTTTGTAGTTTTTTTCTCAAGCAGATTTGGAAAACTTAAAACACAGGTGAAGCAAGATGCAAATCAACAACTCAAATTAGAGCATACAAAAGTAGAACTTCAAGGATATCCTCCATGGCATACACATTTTTGGAAGATTTTTCTTTGTTCACCTGTCTGAACATTACAAAAAAAGTAATGCTTACCTGCAGAATTGTTTTGTTAAAAGTTGATGAGCTACTAGCAGTTTGATTAAATTAAAAAAATCAGTTGATGTGCTAGCAATTTGATTACAATTAAATTCAGTTGATGTGCTCTCTGTTTTGATTATGATTAAAAATCTGTCAATGTGCTAGCAGATTTGATTAAAAATTTAAAAAAATCAGAGCTATTTATAACTAAATTTGTGTTGTTCTAGAGCTATTAAGAATTCATTTAATTATCTCTCTTATTGATGCATAGTGTAGTAATCAAACTTTGTCTAATTTGAATTACATAACAAAGAAGAATTTTCTCAATTCCAGACTGAGAATCATACAAAAGAAATGCTTTCCAAAATTAATAGGAGAACATTTTTTTTATTCAGTTCAAATGAGAATTTGCGGCATTGAACATTTTACAAGAAGTTGAGTTACCTATCAAGTTGTGCTGAATTTTGTGTTGATGGCGGGGCATTGTCCACCCACTTGACCACCTGAATCTTGTCATCCCAATCACATATCTGAAAAAAACAGATTATAAACTTTACTGAAAGTAAATTTACAAGTCAGCTTTACTGATAAAAATTGTAAACTTAACACTTGACAGTGAACCAACTTAGATTGGAACCAACTGTAAACCTTACTTGTAAACTTAACACTTATTTAGAATGGAACCTACTGTAAACACAAATGGCTATATATTTCCATATTTAAATGCAGTCATTGCTCATTTGTCAAGGACTTACTGAGTCTATTGGTTTATCGAATCTAATCTTGAGTATTCTGCACTGGATGGGAACCTGTGAGAAGCTCTGAGGAGCCTTTGAATTAAAGGAAACAGCAATGTCCTTGGTGCAGTTTGCGTGGAGATGTCCAACCTAAAGGACAGAGAGAGAGAGAGAGAGAGAAAATAAACACTTGACTAAATTACAAGCTGCCCTGAATCCCTGGATTGTCAACCCTTTAAAATGTTTGCTACTTTTTCTTTAAATTGTATTTAGATTAGATGAACTTGACAGTTTGGGGATGATGGGCTTGGACAATTTAAAATTGCATACCTGAGGTGAAAATGTAAAGTCAGCATTATCTGGCCACTGGAAACGTACACAGTCAGTTTTGGAATGGTTGGACATGGTTAATGACAGCGTGCGACTTGAGTTGGGGTAACAGTCACCAAAGTTCATCACATTGCACTTGGCAGCTGTGCAGCAAACAAGCAAGTCAACAATTTATATTTTCAAAAAAATAAAGGCAAAAGCTAATTCTTTTTACAAATGCATTGAATGGACAAAGAGGTTAGTAAAAGTTTATTTGTAATTGCTATTTTGAATTAGGTTTGCAAATGAACAACAGAGAATGTTGTATTACATGATGCAAGTTTCTTAATATATTTTTTGTAATAAATAAATTAATTAATTTATTCACATTTGAAATAAATAGGATCTGCCACAATGATATTGTTAAAATGCTATTGTAAAATATAATGTAAGCATGCTTAAATAGACATTTATTAAACTAAACTTTGCAAAAGTAAACTTATTGTAACATTAGCAGCCTAGCTCCAATACACGTGTTCAAAGTCCTTCGAGAAACTACAGAAATTCCTGTTTCCCCCTTCATCCTCCCCTGCTCACTATTACACTCTACCACACTTTCTACCACACACTTTACAATACATTCCACCTTACACTTAACCATACACTTTATCATACACTTTACTATTACTATATACTCTAAAAAAGCAGTAAATTAATTAAGAGGAAAAAAAAAACTTTGGAAGTTCTTTGTGCGTTTCCATTACAAAACATGTGATAGCTCCAACAATTCAATACCAAAGTAAATCTGACAACAAAAAATGTGATAGCTCAAACATTTCAATACAAAAATAACTTTGACAATAAAAAATGTGATTAGCTCAAACAATGCAATAAGGTACCAAAGTAAGTTGGTTCCAATTCGTCAGCAAATGTTTGAAATGCATCTTCTGATAGAGCCAAGGAGGAAGGCTTATCTCCCTCATCTTCAATTACATGACCTGAATTATGAAAACAAGCAACCAAAACACATAAACTTTGACCTTAAATTCAAGAGCTCTCTCATCACAAAGGATTTTAAATGACTGATTAATGAACTCAGGGTGTTGGGGAAACTTTGGGTGATCAACTCTGAGTTGTTTCTGTGATCAACATTTTAAAAAAAAACGGACATTATTTTTAGAATGTTTTAAAAGAAAACAATTTGTACTGGACATGCTATAATTTAGATAGTATAATTAAAGAACACAATGGTGGAAATGTAGAGTGCAACACAATGTTAGGGAAATTTTAATTGTTTGTTGCAGAGGGCAGAAAACACCAAAACCAAATCTCATTAATTGTCCAGTAATGGGATAAAAATAATAGAAACAAAATGCACTTTCCACCAATTAAAAAATATATATATATATATATATATTTTTTTAACAGAAAGTCTTTAATAAGAAAGAGAGGTGTTTAAGTTTAATATTTTAAAAAGACGATTTTCTAATCCAGAGTTTATATATATCTCCCTTAAAAAGTGGACATCCCTCCGACATACATGCCAACCTGCAAGTTCAAAAATTGTAATGAGCCTTTAAAAAAAAAAAAGATAGAAAACTGTACAGAAAAAAATGATAGGTTGAAAAAGTTTAATCGATACTCTAAACGTTTTCATTTCAATGATCAATGTTTTGAACACATGCAAACTTTGCCCTCTTCATGTTTTCTGGATTAGTTTGAAAACCCCAAAAACATGTGTAATTTTAAATTTTGTTGTAAACTAGATGTGATTGCAATGAAATTTGAAAATAAGTTATCTGTCATTGTAACTGTATCTGATAGATTGTCTACATGATGGGGCTGAGAAAAAAGGATTTGCTAAAGGTATAATTATTTCCCCTCATTTCCTTAAAGTTTCATTTGTGCAGCTATGTTTTAAAAATGTTCTTCGATGCCTGAAACAAGCACTTAAATGACTTTCTTCCCAAATCCATGTGATGATCCGATTGATGAAGCATAAATAATTCCAAGGTATTAGGTCAGCCACTCACTTAGCATATGTTGCATGTCTCATTTCAACTTTCTTTAAAAAAATATTAAAAAATTAGATTCACCCACTTAACTGGAAGTTTTCAGCTGGAGTAAAATAAAAAATAAAAAAAGAAAACAAAATACAATTGTTGGTGACGATGGCCTTAAATAAAACATAGGCCTTGGTATGCAACATATAAAATTTCACTCACTTTAGTTTTATAAAATGTTAGACCTAGCAAGTTAAATTTAGTAACGCTGTGGCATAATACTGCTAGTATTACTAGTAATTGACTTAAGAACTAATAAAGCTATTCTTTGTTAGTAATGCTGTATTAAATATATTAAGTAATTTAATAGAAATTTAAATAACACTTAATACTGAAACTGCAGTTTTTGCTAAGGTCATTACACAAACGGATTTGTAATGATGGTTTATTACTCAAGGTAACCACTATTATATAGATTCATGCAATAGCTACCGGTTTATTACATAGATAATAGCGGAACCTCGGATTTTATGTATAGATGGCCTTCCGATCAGACATTAGGCCAAAGGTCATTTTGAACAGACTACGAGGATTTAAAATTCATTTTGACCCACAATGCATTTATTATGTGTGTGCGCACAAAAAAAAAAGTAAACAGTTAATTCTTTCCCCTTCTAAATCCCTGAAAAACGGTACCGGTACTAAATCCTGTGCATCCATACTCACCTTTCAAAACACTTCAACCATAAATCATTTAGGTAAACAATACAGGCTGGCATGCATACACTAATAAAAAAAATTCATGAAAACCAAAACATATTAAATATAAATGTCCAAACATTTATAAATTATGTTTTCTATGTTTCAGATTTAATCCATCAACTATAACTTAATTGATTAATTGATTTGCATGGCAAAAATATTTTCAATCTCATGCCAAGTAGATGGCAATGTTTTAAACTTCTGTGATTGAGATATTTTGACAATTGGTAATATGCAACTACAGAGCAATGTATAAACACACATTTGGATTAGTCGGCCCACCACATTCACGTACAAGTCTTCCCAAATGCTCACCCTCAATATCATCATCCGCCATGGATCCCAGTTCTTTCTCTGGCTCGATGGACTGATTGACTGAGCCAATGTTGTCCAGAGTTATGTCATCCTGGTAGCCTTCACCCACCATTTGTATGATGTAATCTTCATACTGGTTGTCAATCACTGTCACTTTAAGGCTGGCCTGTGACCTGATGGTGGCATTAGGCAGGTAGGTCACCTCAAATGTTGCTCTTTCACTGGGGTTGACAACCACGGATGATGTGTGTGCTCTTCTGCTCTCTGTTGAACAATTTTTTTTATCACAACAATTACGTATTGAAATAATAATGTGCATGAGATATTAAAGGGGGACCACAATACATTTTAAAAGATTTAATGAAACAATGCACTTCAAAAAGAAGACGCAATTTAATCCAAAATTATTATTTTAACTTCATCAATGACTGTTCAGGTTTAGAGATAGTTTAAGTTGGAAGTGCCAACTGCAAGCCTCTGGACTTCCGTTAACAAGCACCGTTTTACAGTGTTTTAGAAAATGTTAAAGGTCTCGATGTTTAAAGCTTCACCTTACCCTGAGTATCAGAGCTGGTGTCACCAAAAGCATTCCTTGGTTCTTTCAGGGGTTTCAGCATAAAGCAATGGTCAGGGTCATGAAGATCAATCATAACCTAAATTAAGAGTAAATCAGCACTGGTCATTACAGATGGCATGATGGGATATTTCTTTAAACATTAACAAAGAAAATTATGACACAAGAATGTTTTGAGAATCCTTGATGAATAATTTATTCCATCATTGTCATTTTAAAACTAAGTTTCTTACCTTACTCGGCAGGTTGCCATCATTAAACAGCTCAAAGGGAAGTGAGTCTGATCGTCCAAGCAGAATGCGCTTAAATAGCAAGAGTGGCTGGCCTCTCTTGTTTCTGACTGTTGGTTTTGCCACAGTTATCCTTGGCAGGTTACCTTCCCCAGAGACTTCGAACACAAGCGACTTACCCTTGGTCTGGTTGGGGCTCATACCTTCTATGGAGGCCTCAAACACTGCACTGTAAGACTAATGGAAGAAAACAAAAAACTTGGATGAAATAAAGAAGGGCAATACAATGCCAACTTTAATACAAATTAAATTCAAACCCCAAAGTAGAGTGAAAAACTTAAATTTTAAAAAAAACAAACGCTAATGATCATAAAGATATAAAAATAAAACTGATAGATTGTATGTAAGAAACTAATATTTGATATAGAAACTTAATTCATGCTGAATAACATTGAGCTCAAATTTTGCATTTCCTAGATTTGTAATGTTTATTTTTAAAACACATTTCCACAAGTTTCAGTAAGTAGTAAGTCCATTATGCCAAAGGTCAGATTCAATAAATAGTAAGTCCATTAAGCCAAAAGTCAATAAGAAGTATGTTAAACAGAGTCAGAAAAACATCAATTTATTATTAAATGTTAAAGTGAGAGGAGCTTAATGTCTACTGCTGCCTAGCATTAAAAAAATAGCTGACCTGCATTGATGGAGGTGTGAACGACACAGTCACATAAACAAAACTGTGATTTGCAATCTGAACTTTGGGTGGGTCCAAATCAAAAACTTCCGGAGTCTTTGGGGCTCCCTTTAAGCTGATTGGTTTCAGGGTAAAGGCAACATCACAGGGCACCTGGAATAAAAAAAAATGTAGCTATAATGAGAACTTTCCAGGCATCAATCTCAATTTGATCATCATGATGCTATACATGACATAAACACTGACATGTTCATATAATTTATTTTAGCCCATCTTCATTTATCAAGAGAGATAAATATTTATCAAGAGAGATAATGAAATGAAAGAAGAAGAAAATGAATTTGTTGCCTTTTGTGGGTAATGCATAAAAGGAAAACCTTGACGAAGACAATAGAGGAGATTTCATTTTATTTATGAATATACACTTTTCATATATTTATGTATTAATGAATGTTAAGAAAAAAATGAAAGCTACACAAATAAAACAAGAAAAAGTGATAAAATGTTTGTACAGTTTATTCTTTTAACTTAACTACTTGGAATTCCTGACTTGATCACGATAAACAGGAATAAACTAAAAGAATATAGGCAGGTGCTGGGATTCCTGACTTGATCACGATAAGCAGGAATAAACTAAAAGAATATAGGCAGGTGCTGGGATTCCTGACTTGATCACCATTAGTAGGAATAAACTAAAAGAATATAGGCAGGTGCTGGGATTCCTGACTTGATCACGATAAGCAGGAATAAACTAAAAGAATATAGGCAGGTGCTGGGATTCCTGACTTGATCACGATTAGTAGGAATAAACTAAAAGAATATAGGCAGGTGCACTAAGCAGAATGGCAACTTGAAGACCTAGCTCTACAACTGTTAAACAAATAGAATTCTTTCTTAGCTCTGAGGGCCTCACTTGGAGGACTGGCTCCAAGCTCATGTTTAAACAAATAAAAATAAATAAATAACTTAAAACAAGCATCTGCATTTCATCAAATGAAATTAAATTAAAAAGTTTAACCAGCCTCTGCTTACTACTGTAACTTAAGGACTAGAGGATTTGGGGCAATGTGGCTCATGTGGAGGCAAGTTTGGGGCAATGTGGCTCATGCTGGCTGCAAAAAAGAAATGTAAACTAATATAGAAGTTGGTCTGCTGCTGGACATGTTCTCGGTACTCACCTTGTTGTGGTTGGAAATCTTGAAGCGAGCTTTGGCCGTGCGACCAACAATCACATTGTTGAAGACAAACTTTTTCTCGTCCTCCCCATAAACTCCTCCCACCTCTTGGTTGCCACAGCTCATGTGTTGCCAGACGGTCAGGTTCTTGCACACCCTGTGCTCTTCAAAGATGCTGCCGACATCATCGACATTGATACCAGGGATGCATGTTTCAGCAACTAGCTTGTAGGGGATTCCCCCTTTGTACGAGTTGGGGTCTCTGTCAGTAATCTCAATACTCATGTCCTGGGGGGAGGGGGGAAGAAATATTCAGTTTCAATTAAAAAAAAACAACAACTGCTTACTTATTGCTGGTTTCATTTCAATGATGCAAGTGAGAATTCGTGAAGTTGTTCACATTAAAGAATTAAATTCAATGGAAATATTATTTTAGACTAACTACGTCTTCAAAATATCTATAATTGCTCATTGAAACAGGCGTTTGATGTATGGTAATGACACATACCCTGAGGTGGAGGAGGCAAGAGAAGACTATCACAGAATAGCATCACAAGGGTTATATGTTATTCAAGGACACAAAGAATAAGACTGCAGTTAAAAAGGTGGAGGAGGCAAGAGAAGACTATCACAGAATAGCATCACAAGGGTTATATGTTATTCAAGGACACAAAGAATAAGACTGCAGTTAAAAAGATTATTTCAATCATTTCTTTGGGGCTCAACTTTTTACATTTATCCATAAAAACATGCAACATGGTTAGTGTCTAAACTTTGAAAACTTATTTGATTTTATAATTAAGTGTTAGCTCATTATGAGTTTTCTGACTCCTTCAAAAAAACCTGTTACCATATTGGGGGATTAAATAAATATTTCAACTATAGAAGTGACTGAGAAGGAGTGCAATAGAAAGTTGAAAAATTACAATGGACATTATTCATCGGGTCTTTACGACACATAGCACAGACAATTTTTCTACAAGACCAAGAGTTACATTTTCAGCCTACATGAGAATCCCAAAAAACTTTTTGGGACTGTATTTTCACATAAATGTATGACTTTTTACACTTAAATCATGCTGAAATTCAAAATAAACCAAATACATTTTTGTAAAAGCCTAATTTGAATAAAATATAAAAATACATGCATGACAGGGAAAAGAAGAGTGGCCAAGAAATAAAACGAGAGGGCTATGAAAAGGATCAAAGAAGTCCAGCATTTAGGGCTAAGAAAAGGATCAAAGAAGTTCAGCATTTGCTAGTGAAAAGTTTGAAGTCCAGTCTAAATATAAATATCTGATGGTTCACTAATATTTTCATTGTTATTGCCATTTTTCTGCAATATATCAGTTTTCTCATTTTTTTAATTTTTTAGTCACCAATATCCCTATAAATGTTGTATTTATTATCCAAATCTCACCAAATTTTTAAAGTATGTACAGTTACCAATAATAAACATTTGAATTAACCTGAATTAAGATAATTATCCTAGAAATAGAAAATGGGTTCATAAGAATTCACCCTCCCCCATATTTTTTGTCAAAAAAGAAAATGGAGTAATTATTTGTGACCCTGTGGATTTATAGCTATTTATTACATCAAAAAGTCACTTTTTGTGGCCCTTTAGATTTATACCTAATTATTACATCAAAAAGTCACATTTTTAACAAGCAAATTTATAACTATATATAAGTTAGTACATGAAGACATCCTGTTATAAAAAGTTTTTTTTACATGTTAAATTATCTATGTTTTAAATCTTATGGCAATAACTTAATATTTGTAAAAGACTTAGTGTTTTGAAAAACACAAAAAAAAACAACCTAAAATGGCGGAGCAATATATGTTACAAAGGCAACCAATGCATTTAAAAAAAAAAAAACTGTTTTGTACCTCCATTACAATGCTAAAGAAGGTGTATGTTAAAAAAATTCCCATTAGAAGTTAAACATTTTTTAAAAAGGTTATTTTCTCACACCTCCCTTAAGTAATGTACAGGTAGGACACAATAAAGAAACTTGGTGCTAAATCTGAGATTTAACTTAATAAATAGGCCTTTAGGAATTAGTGTATTGAGGAAATTGGACAAATTTATTAGTTCATTTAGGTAAACTATTGTTCTATAATTAAGTTTCAGAGATAAAAACCGACCTGCACTTCTTTGCCTTGAGTTTCTCCAACACAATCAACAGTGATGAGTTGACTACCATTAGGAAGTATAATGCCAAACGCCGGGAAAATGGTAAACATACCCAGCGTCAACTTTGACAGGCTAGCATCTTGCCTGAAATTTATAAAAAAGTTGTAATCAAATTTAAAAGAATGTATTTAATCTAATTTGTGTCTTGTGTGTTTAAATAACTATTTGGATAGATTATTTTGAATTTTACTTTTTGCACAGGAAGAAAAAAAAGTGACTTTTTAATTTATTGAGGCAGAAATGTGAGAAATTGTTGAAGTTGAACTGGAATGATATTACACAAACCAAAACATTTTTATTAAAAGCTGCATCTGCCAGGGTCATAGTTGTGTACAGGGAGTCATGACTGTGTACAGGAAGTTAGGACTGCATTTAGGGAGTCATAGCTGTGTACAGGGAGTCAAGACTGTGTACAGTGAGTCAAGACTGTGTACAGGGAATCAGAACTGTGTTCAGGGAGTCAGGATTGTGTACAGGGAGTCAGGACTGTGTTTAGGGAGTCATAGTTGTGTACATAGAGTCATAGTTGGTTACAGAGTGTCAGGACTGTGTATAGGGAGTCATAGTTGTGTACAGGGAGTCAGAGCTCTAAAATATCATATCCATAAATCTTTAATTCTAAATTACCTGATAGATTCAACTCTTTTTTGCTTGGAGGTAGGAGTAGAGGAGTCCTCTCTAGCTTTGATGCTTTTCTCGCCTTTTATATTACTGAAAATTTCAATCGATAGAAGAGTTCTGGGTAAAACAAACTTTTGAAATAATTTTTGTATTATGCTTAAATTAAAAGCATTAAGATTTATACTTTTAGTTTAGCTAATGCTGCATGGGGCTTACATATTTTTTAAAGTACTCTGTTAATTTAGAGGAAAAGAATTTTTTAACTAATTCAAAATCCATTGTGGCTGATTTGATTTAAAGGGGAAAATAAAAAAAAAAACATGCATAGCTTTGAACAATGTGATTTGTGATCTATGCCAGTGATGCTGATTGGACAACTCTAAGCTGATAAACAGTAGCTCTTGTGTGGCATGAGTTATTTTTACATGTGACAATTGCATTTTGTTGAAATTTTGTGTCTCAAATACCACAGTGTGTCAGAATAAAGTGTGCCAGACTACATTGTACCGAATACAGTGTATCAGAATATGGTGTACCAGAATACATTGTACCAGAATACAGTGTGCCAGAATACAGTGTACCAGAATACCATGTACCAGATTAATGTTTACCAGAATACAGTGTACCAGAATACAGTTTGCCAGAATACAAGAATATGGTATGGAATAAAATCGATCAGATTTATGCATCATTTCCTTTAACAAAATAAACTCAATATTAATTTGAATAAGAAGTCAATTCTATTTTAGCACTTACGGTCGGATGTTTCGATTTGCTTGTGTTGCGGTTTCCTTCTTGGTGATTGTGTATTTAAAGTCAAATTGACCTTTGTTTTCAATGAGGAAAGTCCTTGTCTTTCTTGTGTTGATGAGTAAGGCCCCAAAATTGATGTCATTAACAGGTGTGATCAGGAATCTGTGAGAAACAGAAATATGTTCTCAATTCATTGACTTGATCCTAACAAGAACTTATGCATTTCTTGATTGATCGATTCCTCTCGGGTTGTACCAGAAATGAGTCAAGAGAAGCAAGGGGAGCCTGACAGATTTAGTTGAGAAAACTTACTTGCTGTAAACAGCCTTGACAGAAACTTTGACGGGAATACTAGCAATGACTTCTCCTTGATCCCCAAGGCTAGGTTCAATCACCTGGCATTTAAGTATTGGAATGTCTTTAACCTGTACCTCATGGGAAGATTTGAAGATTACCTGCACCTGTTGGGAAATACAAAAAATCTGCTTGCCAGAATGTAAAATAATGCAAATTTAAGAAATTAAAAAATGTCAAAAATATAATAGATATCCAGTGGTTGAAAAAATTAATTAGTTTGGCCCTTGTTGCTATATGCAGAGATAGACAACTGACCAATCTTCACCTAGGTAATAAATCAATACACTTCCTTTCCCTAACAACTTAACTGAATTTAAATATTACACAGCAAGCATGACAAAGCCTTTACCTGTGTGGGTCGGTCTTGTGGGTTTAGTTTTCCACTGCTGGGCACGACAGCAAACAATGATTTGATATCAGAGTGCCTGGTATCTACATTCTCCAACAGGAAACTGATTAAAAAAGAGACAATTAGTATCTCCTTATTTCATGGAACAAAAAAAAACCACAAAGAAATAATGATTGAAGATTGAATAGAATTAATTCTGTTTCAAAATAACTGAAACTGTCCAACTTGCCATTGGATGTAGATAAAGACCTTTGTTCTACCTACTTGTAAACACTCTAAACACATCTATGTTAAACTTAAACACATCTAGTTAAACTTAAAAACATCTATGTTAAACTTAAACACATCTAGTTTAACTTACTTGTAGGCAATCTCATATTTTCCTTTATTCTTGAGGGTGCATGTCTGTTTACCTTCGTCACCAACTTTGACGATGCCAAAGTCAAGGCCACCGTCGGTTCCTAAAGAAAATAGTAGCAGCCGAAGATGAGCCAATGCATCGAGAAATAACCCATACCAAATAATCCATACCAAATAATCCATACCAAATAACCCGTAAATAATCCCTGCCAAAAAATCCATACCAAATAACCTATAACAAATAACCCATACCAAAAACCCATACCAAATAATCCATACCAAATAATCCATACCAAATAACCCATACCAAATAACCCATACCAAATAACCCATACCAAATAATCCATACCAAATAACCCATACCAAATAACCCATACCAAATAACCCATACCAAATAATTCATACCAAATAACCCATACCAAATAATCCATACCAAATAACCCATACCAAATAATCCCTGCCAAATAATTAATATTAATACCAAATAACCCCTCGTAAATAATCCATACCAAATAACCCCTGGCCAAATAACCCCTGCAAAATAATCCCTGCCTATGTATTTTACTTTGCGTCAGCCTTTAAAGCAGACTGACACTCTTCTTTTTACTTAAAATATGTTTTAAATTACTCAATGATACATCCTTGATTTTTCCATGACATGATATAGTAACATGATAGCAATAGTTTATTCTTGCCGCAACTACTGTGCACAATGGAAGTAAAACCATTTTAAAATTATTCAATTACTTCTTGATACACATTTATTTGTTTATTGGAAAATAAACTTCAAGGTTGATAATTAGTTGGTTTCTTTAACTGGGTCAGTGTTAAAATATACATTGGACTGCGTCATGTGATCTATATCGTAGATTCATAGTGATTGCAAAGATAACACTTGGCTCAACTAATCTATGTTTATAGAAACTCTACAAAATAAGTGATATCAGTGACAAGAAATAATTTCACAAAGGACTAGTTGATAAAATGTTTATTAGAAGAACCCATGCTAAATAAAATGAAAGCTCTGGCCAGTTTCTGACATGAAAATTTGCTGTAACATTTTTTTTTTTGGGGTAAATGAAAAATATTGAACTGATTAACCATGACTGGATATATTGCTGTGGTGGACTTTCTTTGTGATAAATAGTTTAATAAATAATGTCATATTGAAAACAAAAAAAATATATATATATTTGTATCACCCTTCTGCCCCCTTAAGTTTGATTTACATCATGTGACACTGCCATCCGAAATATGTTGTAATATATATTTGTCAAATAAGTGAATTTAAGAAACATCAAATAAAACTTTAAAAAAAAAAAAAGTATCTCCACTCAGAGTAAACAATAATAGCAACAAGAGCAACAAATAGATGCAACTTAAATGATCAACTCTGAACTGTGTCATGGCCAAAAGTAACAAGAAATGATATGAACCCAAGCACAGCTCTGACCTTTCCCTCCCATCAAGCTGAATGTCGGGAGAGGGTCTCCAACAGGTTTTCCCTTGACTTTATGACCGTCTATGGTGACAGTCTTTATGGGCTCTGTTGATTCGGCACCACGACCTTTCTTTCCCTTTCTTTCAGGGATAAAAACTGAAGTGCCATTGGTAAACTTGTTTTCAATATTAGCTGCAGTCACTTGGTCAAATAAATATTACTTACAACCATCTACAATGTCATCACCATTGTCAAAGTTTTTTTATAATGGTGAACAGCGACTGTGACAGACTGGTCTGTTTAATCAATTTGGAAAGATTTTCTCCCTTGGGATTGGTGGGTATAGAACTGAGTGCCATAACCTTTGACCTTCGTGAACATTTACAAACAAGCATTTACTAGCCCTGAGAATGTACTCATTATATTGATTAATTTCGCATGCCTACCATTCATAGTTCTGGAATTTCAAAGTGACCTCTGATGCAAAAAATGTTGGGGACTCTTTACAGTGCCAGTTTGTTCAATTATTTCTATGTGTGCACAAGTGAGTGTGACAGTGAGACAATTGCCAAGATGTGACCTAATTCAGCAGGCAGTGATACATCAGCTCACCGTCCATGATATCTACTTGACTACTTGTTGGACCATTCAGAGAAATTAGCTTTTCATCGACAGAAGAAGTGGAATTTCGAGGAGGTCTGCTTCCTTTTCATTGGTGAAATGTTAGGTTTTCATCACATTTATTTAACATATGTATCTACCAGTGAACGGTTTGTAATCATATTGGTTTAATAACATACATAGCTGCCAGGATTGTTAGGTTATCAATATATTGAACAACCAATGAAATGTATGACTTCAATTTAGTTAGCTAAACAACACGAAATGTAAGAAAATTTTTTTTTTCTTAACAGTGAGACAGAAAGATTAAATTGTTTTCCTAATATATCCAGAACAAAGAGTGTTAGTGTGGGAGTGGCACAAAAAAATATTCCCTGACATCTAAATAAAATGAGACAAAAATGGCTGCTCAAATGACATTTAGTGATGTCATAGTTTCCACTCTGTATATTAAGCTTGCTTTGAAGTTGATGTCTTTCAGACATAAATTTCATATAGTAAAACTATATCGGTCAATAATGTTGTATTTTACTTTGACCAGGAGCTGTGAATAATGTATCAGACTCCACGGCCCAACCTTGACTGAATATGACAATGTAAGAGTTGCCATGAGCTACTTTTAATGAACTTCTGACTTGTTTCTAGAACAAAAATTGTACCTTTTGGGAAACTCATGTCCAAGGCTACATCGTAAGCCTCTGCAATGACCTGAATGGGTTCAGTGTGGACAACCCCCATTATGTTCTCTGCATCAGAAATCTAGAAATGGAGAACAAAAAAATATTTAAAAAAAATATGTTTGGAATAGTCATGTTGCCCCGTATTGTCTTTAAGTTGACATCATATTGTTTAATTGATCATTCTGTCTAAAGTCAGTTGACAAAGACTGCGAAGACAAAATGATATAATAAAAATGCTAAAAACTTTGCCATAGTTGAAGTCCTTACCTCAATTCTAATCATTTTTTTATTTGTTTGAACGGCTTTCATGGCCCTGAAATAAGCATGGAGCGCATACTCTGACAGTGGTTCCACTATGCCGCTGTCAGCAGCCACTGTGAAGTCGTCGCCGAGGTTTTCCAGGCCACTCAGCTTCCAGGCTACTGGCAGTTGGGTGCTGTTTCTCAGGTAGATGGTTTTTGTGTCCTTCCTGATCAAGATGAAATGAGACTAATAAGTCACAAATGGCCATCAATGTGGATCAGGATGAGATGAGACTAATAAGTCACAAATGGCCATCAATGTGGGTTAGGATGAGATGAGACTAATAAGTCACAAATGGCCATCAATGTGGATCAGGATGAGATGAGACTAATAAGTCACAAATGGCCATCAATGTGGATCAGGATGAGATGAGACTAATTAGTCACAAATGGCCATCAATGTGGATCAGGATGAGATGAGACTAATAAGTCACAAATGGCCATCAATGTGGATCAGGATGAGATGAGACTAATAAGTCACAAATGGCCATCAATGTGGATCAGGATGAGATGAGACTAATAAGTCACAAATGGCCATCAATGTGGATCAGGATGAGATGAGACTAATAAGTCACAAATGGCCATCAATGTGGATCAGGATGAGATGAGACTAATAAGTCACAAATGGCCATCAATGTGGATCAGGATGAGATGAGACTAATAAGTCACAAATGGCCATCAATGTGGATCAGGATGAGATGAGACTAATAAGTCACAAATGGCCATCAATGTGGATCAGGATGAGATGAGACTAATAAGTCACAAATGGCCATCAATGTGGATCAGGATGAGATGAGACTAATAAGTCACAAATGGCCATCAATGTGGATCAGGATGAGATGAGACTAATAAGTCACAAATGGCCATCAATGTGGATCAGGATGAGATGAGACTAATAAGTCACAAATGGCCATCAATGTGGATCAGGATGAGATGAGACTAATAAGTCACAAATGGCCATCAATGTGGATCAGGATGAGATGAGACTAATAAGTCACAAATGGCCATCAATGTGGATCAGGATGAGATGAGACTAATAAGTCACAAATGGCCATCAATGTGGATCAGGATGAGATGAGACTAATAAGTCACAAATGGCCATCAATGTGGATCAGGATGAGATGAGACTAATAAGTCACAAATGGCCATCAATGTGGATCAGGATGAGATGAGACTAATAAGTCACAAATGGCCATCAATGTGGATCAGGATGAGATGAGACTAATAAGTCACAAATGGCCATCAATGTGGATCAGGATGAGATGAGACTAATAAGTCACAAATGGCCATCAATGTGGATCAGGATGAGATGAGACTAATAAGTAACAAATGGCCATCAATGTGGATCAGGATGAGATGAGACTAATAAGTCACAAATGGCCATCAATGTGGATCAGGATGAGATGAGACTAATAAGTAACAAATGGCCATCAATGTGGATCAGGATGAAATGAGACTAATAAGTCACAAATGGGCATCAATGTGGATCAGGATGAAATGAGACTAATTAGTCACAAATGGGCATCAATGTGGATCAAGATGAAATGAGACTAATAAGTCACAAATGGCCATCAATGTGGATCAGGATGAGATGAGACTAATAAGTCACAAATGGCCATCAATGTGGATCAGGATGAGATGAGACTAATAAGTAACAAATGGCCATCAATGTGGATCAGGATGAGATGAGACTAATAAGTCACAAATGGCCATCAATGTGGATCAGGATGAGATGAGACTAATAAGTAACAAATGGCCATCAATGTGGGTAACATCAGAAAACTCAAACACCCAGAATGTTTTTTTATGTTAAGGTTATTGCGTTTAGGAAAATGCTGAAATGTAACATTAACAGTAAGCTCTTGTTTAAAAGAGTCAACAGAATTGTAGCTGATTTAGAGAATATGTCAGGAAAAATTTGAGTTTAATTTCAGCATTAATGAATAACAAAAGATGAGTGATGTCATATATAAGAAACAGTTTAAACTAATTGTTTTAATTAATGAATACGCACAACCTGGAAATATTTCATTTTCTTTTGTTAAAACCACTCAGTTGCTTAGGTGTAAAGTTCAGGTTAATTAGTTTCTCACCTATGTAACAAAACTTTGTCAAAGTGCAAAATTTTCTTGTCAAGTTCCAGCTCTGGACGGTAGCCATCACAACTGACTTTGAAAATGACTGGCTCTGGATTTTCTCTTATGCAGCAAACAATGGCATCCTCATAATGGCCAGGACCTGGGTCAGAGGAAAAACACTGTTAAGATCCAAAATTTGATTTCTCCGATTTAAACAAAAAAAGTTAAAGCAAATCTTTTTAGTAGACATCTTGAGTCAAAAGCATAAAGGTGTCATTATTATTATTTTTTTTCTATTTGAATAACTGGCCGACATAACTGGCCGACATAACTGGCCGACATAACTGGCCAACATAACTGGCCGACATAACTGGCCGACATAATTGGCCGACATAACTGCCCGACATAACTGCCCGACATAACTGCCCGACATAACTGCCCGACATAACTGCCCGACAAGTTTTTTGAGATTTTCATAAAATATGTGTATTAAGAGTTCGAGAAGATTTTAAGTGATAGGACGACATAAGAAGATATTGGTCATGGTGTTGAAAAGGGAGAGACGTAATTTTGTCAGTTATTTTACTTATTATTAGTCAATCTAAATGATCACTAATTAGGTCATTATCATAATTAAATATTGTCTGATTTCTGGCGTTAGAGAAATACTTTGGATGTCTTGTGTTAAAATTGTAAAATGTTGTTTTAGTTAAGATATGTATTTATTTATGTGCTGAAAATAAATATGTACAATGTAATAAAAAAAAAACATTTCCATTTATGGGGATCAATGAAGAATCTTGGGGGAAATAAGTGGACAAAAAGTTATCGACTGTTGAATCTGGATTTTGAGTAACATAATTTTTATTTTTAAGACTTAAATAAAGATCATTGAAATGTATACAGTAGTAAATCTTCGACACATTTTTCATCAAAATTAAATTTTAATATTTCTACAGACCATGGACTACATCTGTCACTGTTTGTCAAAAACAGCTTTGGTAATTTACTGGAGTGACAAAAATGTTGGCACAAAACTATACGGTCATCAGCTGCCCGATAGACAGGGGGATCATTGAAATGCTTTTAGAGTTTAGTTACTGTACGCCACACCCACGTGGACACCTTTCATTCCCAAATGTTTTCAGGGAGGAAGACCATGTAGAATTTAAATGTAATTTGAAAACTTTGATCTCACTGTTTCATCTGTTTAAAGAGTAGCAAATCCAGAAACATGGGAAGCATGTTAACATGGATAGCATGATTTCCATTCAGAAATCGACACAGTTAACATTAATTTCCTTAAAATGGATAATGAGGCAAGTGAGGGCCTAATGGATTCAATAGTTTCAGCTATATTATTTATGAATTATTGAATGTTTAACAGTCAGTTCTGATAAAAATTATATAAGTAGTTGAGTCCTAAATGTGTGGTCTAGTTGCTTATACTGGCAACTTGGCAGAAATTCCAAGGCAGTAGGAGAAACAAAATAAACAGAAATTAAACTAAAATTTGTAATTAAATTTAAAAAAAAAATAATGGAATTGATGGGCCAGTATTGAAAAGGATGGCTAATTATCTATGTTACGGGCAATGTGAATAATTGGGCATTATGTATAATGCCCTGGCAATTTAAAAAGTGCCCAATGGGATGTGACAAAGTGATAAATTATATAGAAAATATTAAATTGCCCGGGCATTATGAATAATGCTGGAAATCGAGTGGGCAATTTAAGAAAATGTTTATTCATATTTCTCAACATACAAAAATAAGAGTATATTATATATTCAAACAAATTTTTAAATAACTAACAAACAAATAAAGATACAAACTAGTGGTGATATTTTATAAAATGTTATATTTTATAAAAAATACATACACCTAACTAAAAAAAAAAATTAGGTATGTACTTACAAATACATATACATACAAAATGTCAAGTCCTAAAGTTTCTTTTTATTAGAGCAACTTCCACTTTGGTGACATTTCGAGTTACATAGCTTTTTTTCTTTACGGCACTTGCACTTGTCAGATTTACAGCCACATTTACAGCCACATCGACTATAGCCTTGGCCCCCAGTCTTGGATGACATTCTTGCACATTCTCTTAGGGAAATCTCTGACTGAGGAATTTCTTCAGCATAAATAAACTTTTCATTTCATATTGTAACTTGGTTCCTAGCATAAAGTTGATTTTAGTATTAAATGTTTCGTGCCTAATTTATAAAGATTGGCATCTGTTATTTGAAGAACAAATACCAAAATATTTCTTCCATCGGTGCGACCCCTGTCGACATCTGGGACTCGAACTCTAACTGTGTCACCCTTTTTAGTAGCAGGGTATTTTGAAGTAGAAGTTTGAAGCATTTTTTCAGCTGGTTTTTTAGATTGCTTGCTGAAATCTCCCTAATTTTTAATATGTCGGCTTTACTTTTTTTCACATTGGGATCCTCTGAGGATTCTTCATAACCTTCATACGCATGTTTTTCATGATTGTAGACTTGAATATCAGATGGCTCGGAGACAATTATTTCTCTTTCGTTGTTATGGAAATCAGAACTTGGTTCAGATAACGAAGTTGAAGGTTGAACATGACTAACAATAGAAGATAGTTCCTCCTTGTTTTGTTGATGTGGACCTAGCTCCGCTAAAGAATTTGACCCGGGTTCATTTTGCAGTGCCCCTTCTTCTACAGACTGTATATTGTTTTTATCTTTTACTATTACTTCTAAGTCCTCTTCACAATTTATATTAAGCAGAAGGTCTGTAGGTAGAAAACTTTTTAGACCAAATGTTAACTTAGTTCCAAACATGGCCTCATACGGAGTACAGTTTATGCCACTATGATGAGCTCTGTTCTTCATAATTTTAACAAAACGAAAGCCTCCTGACCATTTTCTGCTATTATTGTCTAGTTGTCACGAACAAAGCATATTTTCTACTTCCTGAATAGCATGTTCTACGGAGCCCTGACTTTGGTAGTGTCTGGACTTCCCATGTACCACCTTAAACTCGGGCCACATGCTACATAGTTCGTTAATAGTATTGTTAGCAAATTCTCTCCCATTATCACTTTGCAAAATAGTAGGCGCACCAAAAATGGTTAAAATCAAAAAGCACATAAGCTACTTCTTCTGTTCTTTTGCGTTTAAGAGGTTGAAGTTGAATAAATTTAATTAAATTATCTTGGTATACAATTAATTAAAGTGACCAGAGAAATAATAGCAGTATTTATAATGACCGGCAATGTAATAAATTATCCTACATTGTCATAGACAAATACAAAATTATTAAATTGCCTGATTTTATCAGTAATTAATTATTCTTAATGATCAAGCATTATGAATAATGCTCAATTATTCACATTGCCCGTAGCATCTTTATTTTTTGTTAAATTCTGAAAGGAAAAGTAATTCTTTTTAAAAACTAATTATTTACAAAATCATCATTTAAACCAGACTTTTAAAATGTTTAGTTAAGACGAAACTATGACGCATAAAAGCTTGTAACTTTTCCAGAATTTTAAGATGTGAACAAGTATTTCTATCATAAAATATAATTCAATATGTTTCTTTATCCTATTTTGTGCACTGGCTAGAAATGTTAAGTTAACGGCAAACATTCTTTAAATACAATTATATCTTTTTAAAAACTGCCCCATGAATATGAACATTGAAAAAAATGAATATCTTAAGATCAAGCAAGAAAGGACAAGGTGCAACAGTTCCCAAACAATAATCCAACTGAGAACACAAGGAACCAATGATTCCCAAACAATAATCCAACTGAGAACACAAGGAACCAATGATTCCCAAACAATAATCCAACTGAGAACACAAGGAACCAATGATTCCCAAACAATAATCCAACTGAGAACACAAGAAACCAATGATTCCCAAACAATAATCTAACTGAGAACACAAGGAACCAATGATTCCCAAACAATAATCCAACTGAGAACACAAGGAACCAATATTTTTTTCTTACTGGGCTTGGGTGTGATCAATTTGGATTTATCTCTGGTGGCAGCAGCTAAACCTGGCCAAGAGGGAGCCGACGATACAGGCCTAACCGCCTGCTGATGTTTAGTGGCAGACATTTTCTTATCATGCAACAGGGTCTCTCTTCTGCGACTAGCTTCCTCAAATGAGGCGGCAAGCCTGGGCACGCTGTATTTTTCAGCTACGCCCGGCTGTTCCTCATCATACGTCTCCATCAGAGTAATGGACGGTTTGCTTGACCCTCTCCTAGCATTAGCATGTACAGACTTGTTGGACATGACTGTGATTACTTCCTCTTTGTCATCAGACACGTCAGATTTGTCGTCATCCAAATCTACAAGTTTATTTAATCCAACGCTATTCTCTGCATTGTGCTTCACTGAATATGCCGAGGATTGAAACAACGGTTCTTTCAATATTATTTATTTATTAGATCATGTTCTAGCATTCAAACGTTTAACAATTTTAACCAGCCCGTCTTTGATAACCCCCCAGATTATGTTAAGTTATAATGGTGAATTTGATGTTAAAGCAAATGTCCTTCTGACGACAGTCATTGCATGAGAACACGCGCACCTATTTTGAGGTTCGTGAAACACGCGCACATGACAAACGCACAGGAGATAATCGCGCACAGAAAATTCTGCAAAGACATAGCTGTGCACAGGAAAACTGCCCACACCGACTGTTGTGCAGTCAGAAAATTGCATACACAGACTAAAGGGTACAGGGAAAATTGCGCACACTGACAATTGCGAACCATGACATTAGCGAACACATTCAAATGCACACATTGTAATTTTAAAATGTCATTGTAAATTCATTAAAGAGTTGAAAAGGTTATTGTTGGTCATCAGCATAAAAGACTAGTTTGCAATTATAAGTGGCTAGGATTAGAAATAATCATTTTAAAGAAGAAATACTGAGTTTTAAAATTATACTCAAAGATTAGATCTATGCACACATTTAATAATTATAGTAGTAATTAATTATATACATAACAATAGATTTATTGCACCAAAATTTAAATTTCTACTTTTAAATTATAGTTGCAATAAGCAAAATGACACCGTAACTGTAGGCGTAAGCCGTGTTATATTTTCAATTCCATAGACTTAGACAAACAGTAGGCCTATACTATAACGTCCTAATGAATTATTGTAATTATAGTTTAAAATAATCTTCCTACCCTTAGTCCCAGTCTAAGCCTAATTAGGCCTATGTTTCATTATTCATTATAGTTTAAAATAATGGTCCACCTTCTAGTTGCCTACCTAAGCCTAATTGAGTTTCGTTAAGCTGTATACTCTATAGTTTAAAATAATTGCCCTCCTCCTAGTACCTAAGCCTAATCAAGTTTCGTTATAGTAGTTAAAGATAACACCCTTAAGCTATAGCCTATAGAATGCTCTATAATCATACTGATAATCCGAATATCATATACTTGCGATATTAATAAGTTAAAAAAAGTATAATATTAGCCGATTACATTTTACTTTAGTACACTCAGGAAAGCAATCATAAAATGACCCCAGCAGAATTCCTGGATATTTCTACTATAATTTGTTTAGTAATTCTAAGAACAGAACTGTTTCCCTTAATTTTTTTCTCTCTCATTGAAATATATTTAGTCCTTCTATTAATTAAGCTACTGTTCTATTATTGTAAATTTGGTGCTTAATGTCTCAGTGATTAACTAATGGAATTGTTGGTTTACAAAGTCTTTTAACATAATCTATGCTTTTTAATGGTATAATTAGATTGTGAGTGTAAATAATGGAAGGTTATTTCCACCATGCAGAGTTAAGACAGACAGTTTCCTGTTCTTAATTAAAACAAGAGAGGATTTTAGGAAATTTCGAATCCCAATGGACTTGATTTATTGAATATATTTTTATTACACAAATGAAAAAATTCAGGAAAATGGACCCAATAAACTTTTGGTTTTCTACAAAGGGTATGCACTAATCAAAATGCTATATGATTGTGGTCTTGAAAATGGTAGGTACTAATGTTATAAAATTGTGGTCTTGAAAAGCAATAATTAATGGAAAAAAAGTAGTTAGCATTATTTTCCTCAAGATTTTCAATAAATGACCTTGACATCTACAGTAGGTTTCACACCTCTGGATGGGTTAAATGTTTTGTTTTATTTAAAGAAAAATTGTTTTTGTTTTGACTACTCAATTTTAATCTAGCACAAAGTACTTAATATGAATTTTATGGGACGATTTGTTGAATTTTTTCCTTTGAAATTAATAAAAAAACTAAAATTATCTACAATAGTTTAATATTTTTAATGTTTGAGGGTTAGCATTTTATTTAGAATCTTGTCTAAATTACTTGTAACTTGAATGTGCGCTATAATTCGCAGTTAAAAAAATTATTTTGCTGTTTACGTTTTAAAAAAAAAAAATTATATTTAAATTCAATTTTTATCATACGGTCTTACTGATTCGTAGACTTTAATTCCTCTCGAATTCCCTTTTGTGCTGATAGGCAACTGAACTGAATCATGTTATATCTAAAAATGTGGCTTAAAATTAAATGTAATTAAAATTTGCGCATTTGTGTGTTTGCTATTGTTAAGGTTCGCAATTGTCAGTGTGCGGAATTTTCTGTGTCCACATTAGTCGCTGTGCGCTATTTTCTGTGTGTGCAACTGTCGGTGTGCGCAGTTTTCCTGTGCGCAACTATGTATTTTCAGATTTTTCTTTGCGCATTTATAGTGTGCGCGTTTGTCTTGTGCCCATATTTCTGGTCACCCTATTTGGAGTAATAACATGAAATACAGTGAGGCCTTGGAATCTGAACACCCTAGAACTTGAACAACACTGACCTCTAAAAAGTATGGAAGAGATGGAAAAATCTCCTCTTAGTTTGAATTAAGGAAAAACAGCTGGCTGATGACTTAATTTCTGAGGTGATAATTTGTGAGAAGATCAAGGTCCCCTATGAGAATTTAGTGAATTGAAAGGCATGACTGATACTAGCACTCAAAAGGAAGAGTAAAGACAGTGACAAGTGTCCCCAAAACTTAAAAAGATTGGATTGGGATCCATGGAGTTTGTGGGACCCATGAAGGGATCAATCCAGTTATATTATTTTAAAGGGAAAAAAATTGTTAAGGAACTCTAATGATTTGGAACTCGAACAGAGTTCTGGAACGGATTAAACTGGGATTCCAAGGCCCCATGTTGTCCTAAATTGATCCTCGCAATCCATACATTTATGTATTTTGTGTTTTCCAATTGGACCTAATCAATCTTTTAAAGTATTTTTCATCACTCTGGCTCAAACACAAAATACTGAGGAGTCATTGTGTTGACTAATTATAATTATAAATTGTGAAGATTGTGTTGTCGATGGCCGTACCTAACAATGTGCTGTTTCTCTGTTATAACGTACCATCTTTGTCTATCCACAATACAGGTGTTAAGTACAAGTAAACATATCGCCTTCAAAATGTTACAAACTGCTAGATGTTTGATGCATTGACATGAAAAAGTAAGCTAAAGTGGCAAAGGAAAGCTAAGGTGGATGAGGCAAAAGTAAGCTAAAGTGGCAAAGGAAAGCTAAGGTGGATGAGGCAAAAGTAAGCTAAAGTGGCAAAGGAAAGCTAAGGTGGATGAGGCAAAAGTAAGCTAAAGTGGCAAAGGAAAGCTAAGGTGGATGAGGCAGAGGAAAGCTATCACAGAATACCATCACAAGGGTTATTTTATTAGATGTTGTTCAAGGACAAAAAGAGTTCTTTTATTTTTCTAATTTTTTTGATAACTTTGGTCCTTTTAACTTTTTAGTTATGATCAAAATCTCACCAGATGTTCACGGTGACCAATAATAAACATTCGAATAATCCTGAATTAAGATAATTAACTTAGAAAAGAAAATAGGTTTAAAAGAATTCCCCCACACCCCCATATTTTTTTTACAAAACAAAAGTGACACCTTTTTGTAACCCTGGAGATGTATAACTAGTGATGACATCAAAAAGTACTGCTATACAAAGTTTTATTATATGCTCAATAATCTATGTTTTAAATTATATGGCAATAACTTCAGCTAATTTGTAAAAGCATTTGGGTTTTGAAAAGTTCTCAAAAAATAATTATACCGGAGGCTATTATGGGTTACAAAGGCAACCAACAGAAATAAAAAAAAAAAAAACTAAACTATTTTATACCTCTATTACAATACCAAAGAAGGTGTTAGTAAAAACAAATTCCAATTAGAAGCTAAACAATATTTGTTGGATTTTTCCCCCTCACCTCCCCTTGATGAACGCTACACTAATGAAAGGGTAAATACAGATGAAGACCTTTGTCGCACCTCATTGTGGTAATATAGTGACTTGAAATGTCTACCCTTTCATGCAGTGCATGACCATGAGGTGGTTACCTTTAGGATAAGCCCACACAGTGAGTTTGCCTGCCTCCCCCGGCTTAAGGTACATGAAGGGAGGCTCCAAAAGGTATGTTTCCCCTTTGCTGTCATGCTGGAAACAGAAGCTAATGTCTGCGTCCAGTGGAGAGGTGTTCAAGATGGTTAGGGTTTCCATATTCTCAGGATATTTTCCCTCCCTGTACCTGAAGGTTCAACAAAAACAAACACAGAATTAACAGAAAGCCTTGGTTCAGTATTTGAATAAATGATTGAATTTTTTAAAGAATTTAATGTAAGATTGTAAATTTTGCTTAGCTGTGGCTGTAAGTCAAACAAAAGCTAAAAATGGTGTGCATCATGAGAGATGGGTAAGATATCTAAGGTCCTCAAAGACTTCACATTTTTTTTTTTATAAAAGCATGTGATGTCCATAGATTTTGTTTCCTCATGTTCATGACTATTTCTTGAAGAAGTTGAAGCTATTGCTTACTTGTCTCTGGATTTTCCAACTAGCAAAGGACCAAACTCAAAAACTTCTGTTGAAAGAATGTACTTCTTGTGGACGATATCTTCTATTCGATGATTCTTCTTTCGGCTAGGAAAGACAATTCTGGGAAAATAAAAAGTAAAATAGTGATAACATAAATTATTTTGAATGAATTTTGCATGAATGTAGAAAATTCGGGCACTGTGATGTTTGAGTACAGTCAGGTTTGAAAACTAGCAAATTTGGTCACAAGCAATTATGGGCACTGACATGTTTGGGTGCTGGCACATTTGAGCAATGGTATGTTGGGGCACTGGCAGGAATCTACGATTATAAACGCCCTCAATAACATGAGACATCAAGCCCAAGTTATAAAGTAAAATAACATGAGACATCAAGCCCAAGTTATAAAGTAAAATAACATGAGACATCAAGCCCAAGTTATAAAGTAAAATAACATGAGACATCAAGCCCAAGTTATAAAGTAAAATAACATGAGACATCAAGCCCAAGTTATAAAGTAAAATAACATGAGACATCAAGCCCAAGTTATAAAGTAAAATAACATGAGACATCAAGCCCAAGTTATAAAGTAAAATAACATGAGACATCAAGCCCAAGTTATATAGTAAAATAAAAAAAAATTAAAATAGTTTCTTGACCCCTAAAACATGAGGAGCCACATTTTATAATTGTAAACGCAAGATGGCTGGCTGGCTGGCTGGCTTACCTGGGCTCCTTGCTTATTGTAGGAAAAGCACATACGCCTCGACAAAACATCTGATATCTCCGCCTGGTGCCGATGATCTCAAAGTTCATGGTCTGGTCAAACTGACCGAGGTCATCTGAAAGAAAGCGCAGCTTCAGCGTCACATTTCCGCCTGCTGGTATTATCCATCTGAAGACTGTTATCCTGCAACAATGGAAACAAATATGTAAATACGTTACAACTGGACATTCTCAGCAAACACCAGTTGGTAAATTCTGGACATTTTCAGCAAACACCAATTGGTAAATTCTGGACATTCTCAGCAAACACCTGTCACGGTCATATCGTGTGTTTATGCTATATGTCTGGCTTATTAAGTTTAACATTGAGCTATGATGTTTTCTTTAGGGACTTCCCCATGTGTCGCCCCACTTTTTCTCAGCAATGAAGGCGCTGTGACACATTTCCGGTGGTGTGATATATGGGTACGGAGATGATGAACGCAGACTTTTTTGTTATGGGCGTCAGGCTGTGTTTGTTTCAAGAAATGACTGATTGGTTACACTAGTTCCAGGAAGTTAAACTATTTCACAGATGGACAGTATTATTGATGGTTTTGATGGTTTTGATGGTTTGTTTGTCATAGATTTTTGTCTTGGCACAACACACTAGTACTTAAAGTATACCTGTTACTTCAAACTCTAGCGTCAAGTTTTTTTATCAGAAAGAATCAAAGAAAACGGAGTTTAGGCTCTGGTTTTAGGCTCTGGTTTGATAGTATATCTGTGGCCGTTGGAAGAGGGACCTACCCCTAGACAACATTTCGCCACAACACCAATTGGTAAATTCTGGAAATTCTCAGCAAACATCAATTGGTAAATTCTGGACATTCTCAGCAAACACCAATTGGTAAATTCTGGACATTCTCAGCAAACACCAATTGGTAAATTCTGGACATTCTCAGCAAACACCAATTGGTAAATTCTGGACATTCTCAGCAAACACCAATTGGTAAATTCTGGACATTCTCAGCAAACACCAATTGGTAAATTCTGGACATTCTCAGCAAACACCAATTGGTAAATTCTGGACATTCTCAGCAAACACCAATTGGTAAATTCTGGACATTCTCAGCAAACACCAATTGGTAAATTCTGGACATTCTCAGCAAACACCAATTGGTAAATTCTGGACATTCTCAGCAAACACCAATTGGTAAATTCTGGACATTCTCAGCAAACACCAATTGGTTAATTCTGGACATTCTCAGCAAACACCAATTGGTTAATTCTGGAATTCTCAGCAAACACCAATTGGTTAATTCTGGAATTCTCAGCAAACACCAATTGGTTAATTCTGGAATTCTCAGCAAACGCCAATTGGTAAATTCTGGACATTCTCAGCAAACACCAATTGGTTAATTCTGGACATTCTCAGCAAACACCAATTGGTAAAATCTATTTTTATGCACTCTGGGACCATTTAAACGTTTTTTAATGGCTGAATTTATATTCCAACATGTTCCCACAATGACAAATAATTGGGAAAATGGATGCTGAATTTATTTTTATTCTAAGCAGTTACTGATATCAATATGATAAAGTGAAGAATCCTTGATGTCACAGGTTACAGGATTAAAAAGATCTAATATGCTACTCTGCAGCCCAGACATGGTAATTAAAAGTTTGAAAAGTTATCAATTTGAGACATGAAGAATACTACTAACTTAGAACAATGTAAATATGTGCCAAGGGTCTGACCCACTTCATTTATATAATACAGTTTGATCTATCAGATTACATTAATTAGTTCTAGTTGTTAAATGTAATAAAACCATTAAAAACCTCACTTGTAGACAAGTGAAACATTTCATGACATCTTTTTTCATTCATCTTATATGCATGCCACATTCTCTTTCCCTTTCTTCTGAAATATAAGATTTCAAGATACTTACGGTTTACTTGGCACATTCTCCATAGTTGTTGTCTGTGTTCCCTGACGACTTTTGGTTGGAAATAGATATTTCAGTAATAGTTAATACAATAATGATGTTCAAAATAGACATTGATTATATGACATATAAAAGCAGCCTTTTACTTATGACTTTACCAATGAAATTTTTTTTCAAAAATTAAAAGAAATTGTAAAAGAAAATCCTTCTGACCATCTTATTTATAGTTGCCAATACACGAGAAGTAAAAAGTGCTTGGATTAGGTATTGTATTCTGTCAGATACGATCAATGATATATGATAAAATATCTGGTCGCTAGAAAGTTTTTATGCTAAAAAAACTATGTGAAGTTCCAAACTTTAAATAAAAATGACGCTCTTGAGAATGTAAATTTGATCTAAACATCACAAGATGTCAGAAGACATCTCAAGACATCATAATACCAAACAAAATTATGAGGTTGACACTGCTAAGCTTGCGGAAGAAAGTAGCAGGTAACAAAACTTACAGTTATTACAGTCTATAACTTCACCAGCTTCTTCAACCAGTTACAGTTAATTGATGAACAGTGACGAAGAATACAAGATGAATTTCTCCACTGTATTCTTCAGAGTTGTATAAAACTATTTTATCTCCACACCTAGCGCCACTATTTCTCGACAATATTCATATTATCAGGAAACTAATCATGTCTTTTAAATTGTATGCCATTTTAATTATTTCATGGGAAGTTGCGTCCTGGGACAACACTTACTTGTGTTAATTTTCTCCTCAGCTCAAATATGAAATACTTAAAATAAAAGTTTCCTGCTAGATTTTATCAAAAGGTAATTTAAATTTTTCTCCAAGTAAAACCAAATAATCCCATGAATATGACATACAATTGATTTTTTATGAGAAATGATTCTTCAGGGGTAATCACAAAAAGAACAAAATTAAACTGAACTGATGAGAAAAGATGATATTTCCGTTGAAACTCACCTGACATCGACATCCACCGCTGCGTTGGTGCCATCGGGCGACACTGAGGGTACAACTGAATTACGCCTGGACAGCTTTTTTCTTTCAGCACTTTTCTTTCTGTCACTGCTTGTCCTTCCTTTATCAGGGACCACTTTGGATCCTTTGCCCTTCAGGTCTTCTTTCAACTTATCAGGTGTGGGAACCAACTCCTCCTCTAATTCAGCTTCTTTGGCTTTTTCCTCGGGACCCAAATTCCTGAGCAGACATTTATTCAACATTTCAAAATCAGACTTCGATTCCACATTTCTAAATCAGAAATATATTCAACATTTCTAAATCAGAAATCTATTCAACATTTCTAAATTAGACATCTATTCAACATTTCAAAATCAGACATCTAAGCAACATTTCAAAACCAGACTTTTATTCAACATTTCTAAATCAGACATTTATTGAACATTTCAAAACCAGACTTTTATTCATCATTTCTAAATCAGGAATCTATTCAACATTTTTAAATCAGGCATCTATTCAACATTTCTAAATCAGACATTTATTCAACATTTCAAAACCAGACTTTTTTGCATCATTTCTAAATCAGGCATCTATTCAACATTTCTAAATCAGACATTTATTCTACATTTCCATGTCAGACTCACGGATCATCAGGGGATGAGGACATAAACATGTATCTCCCTCCCGCTTCTGGAAGAGCTGGTGGTTTGCGCTTGACTGGGTAAGGGATAACTGCAAATGTGGCGGCAGGTGGAATCGGGGGTCCATGTTGTCCCATACCAAGCCCATCCATAACCTAGTCATTGAATGACACATCAATAAACAATTCATCAAACAACATTCAGAAAAAAGAAATCCATATATGGTTTTCTCGTTCAAAGAAACGTATTGATTGATTAGAGTAGAAGATGTACAAATTTCATGGACTATGGAAAATGGCTGATTCTCATAACGTGTGCCACAAACCTATTTAATGTCATTGCTAGTGTTATATATATTAGTGGTGTAATTCAGGGTCAAGCGTGCCAAGTAAGACTTCTAATCCATTTGGTGTGCCAATAACTTGTAAGTCTACCATTTAAGCCTATGATTTAAGTCTACCATTTAAGTTTCCCATTTTTCAGTTTCTTTGGTTTGTCAATGAAAATCGCTCGATGTGCAAACACTTGGTATCATTGAATAACCCCAACTCATTCAATGTGTAGCTGATGTACAAACCCTTGGTATCATTGAATAACCCCAACTCATTCAATGTGTAGCTGATGTACAAACCCTTGGTATCATTGAATAACCCCAACTCATTCAATGTGTAGCTGATGTGAAACCCTTGGTATCATTGAATAACCCAAACTCATTCAATGTGTAGCTGATGTGTGAATAACCCCAACTCATTCAATGTGTAGCTGATGTGAAACCCTTGGTATCATTGAATAACCCAAACTCATTCAATGTGTAGCTGATGTGCAAACCCTTGGTATCATTGAATAACCCCAACTCATTCAATGTGTAGCTGATGTGCAAACCCTTGGTATCATTGAATAACCCCAACTCATTCAATGTGTAGCTGATGTGCAAACCCTTGGTATCATTGAATAACCCCAACTCATTTAATGTGTAGCTTGCAAACCCTTGGTATCATTGAATAACCCCAACTCATTCAATGTGTAGCTTGCAAACCCCTGGTATCATTGAATAACCCCAACTCATTCAATGTGTAGCTGACGTGCAGGGATTTAATCAGGACCAATGGGAGGCAATAAAAGTTGAAAAAATTTGGCATTGTTTACCTAATTCTAAATGGAGAAGCATTTCCATTATATCAAGTAATGAGTATTCAAGTACTGCTATTTTTATACCTAATGATAAGTAGAGAAATATCGCCATTATTATACCTGATGATTAGTTGAGAAACACTTACATTATTACGCCAAATGATTAGTTGAGAAGCACTGCCATTGAACTAAGGATAAGTAGCAAAGCGTTGCTGTAACCTACGTGAAGAAATACAGCCATTTTACTCACTTCTTCTTTTGCAGGCAGCCGTCCAGACTCCAGGATAAGATGATCGTATGTAGTAACGGTCGGCTTCTCAACAACATGAACTGGCTCCTGTAGTCAACATTTGATGGATGTTAGGCAAATAGGAATTTATTGTCTTAAACAATGGAGAAAAGCCAATAAAATAAATCTTTGAAAGCTCATCTAATCTAAATAACCCCAACAGCCGGGTATTTCGGGCTCATAAATTATTACTATTACTATTATTTTTTTTAATACATCATCTCAGTTTTAAATGTTAGCTCAGATGAGTTCATAATTTAATAAGTAATTTTCCCATTGAGATGAAATAAAATAATCACCTTACAATGGCCAAATTCAATTTTTCTCATTAAAAATACAAAGCATTTAAAAAGTCTCAAAAAAATCGGAGGCGAATTTGAAAAAAAATGTATTTTCTTCTTCTGAAAAGGGCAACACTTATTATAAAGCTGCTATACTTGGAACTTCCCTGCCACCAAGTTCTTGGATATTTTTCTCTATATAAGTAAATAAGAGCTGCAACGCCGGCCTTAGGTAAACTTTCGCCCTGTGCCAAGCACCCGTTCTGCGCCCCCTTCCCTGTCCCCGTATGGCTCCACTCTTTTTCCTATTATGACATACTTTTCTGCTTTGCACTTGCAATTTTGCGCCCCGGAAAGCTTTTTGTTCCCATATTCTTTCTGCTGAAATAATTGTAAGAGGGATAAGGAAATACGGTATTAATAAATTAATTTCTACGCCCCTTCGGTTGGTCCCAAACCCAGTGTTAGTATCTAAATCAAGAGTGGAACTTTCATTGAATGGAAACTCATTGTATGAAAGCTCATTGTACGAAAAGTTAGAACACTGTTTCTTGGCCCCCGACACGAGGTTCACACATCACTATAATAAACTAAGGGAATTCAAATATTTACTGGGTGCCCCTATGGCCACAGCGCCCTGTTTGAGGGCACAGGTTGCACACCTTAAAGGCCAGCTTAGAGAGCTGATCAAAATGGTAACCAATGATTTTCAATGATCAAATAATCAACTTTATTGCATCGCAATTATTGATCAAAGTTGAAACTGATTAGTCACTGACCACATAAAACATTTGATCAATAACTTGAATAATAGAACAAGAACCATCCAACCAATGAACAAGAACCCTCCAACCAAAGAACAGTACCACCCAACCAATGAACAAGAACCATCCAACCAATGAACAAGAACCATCCAACCAATGAGCAAGAACCATCCAACCAAAGAGCAGTACCACCCAACCAATGAACAAGAACCATCCAACCAATGAACAAGAACCATCCAATCAATGAATAAGAACCATCCAATCAATGAACAAGAACCATCCAACCAATGAAAAAGAACGATGCAACCAATGAACAAGAACCATGCAAACAATGGAAAATTCCACAAAAAAAGAAATGCAACTGGAGATGCAACGGATCAAATTTAAGTCTAATAAACCTACAGGAAAGAGTTTAGACATTATTTTGTCTATTTCCACCGTTGTGATGATGTGTTTGACAGTCAGATTATTGTTTGCGTTTTTGTTTCTGTCTCCTTTCGTCTCCTTCAGTGAAGCAGTGCTTTTCTTCAGCGCAATGCTTTTTTTTCTACCCTTACCCTCAACGGATCCTACTAGATCTAACTTAAGAGATGAATGACTGCTTCCTCTAATTTGCAACATTTTCTTGGCCTGGTCATCATTGGAATGAGACTGGACGAAGTCGGGGGGGGGGGGAATAAACATGTAGAGAAGTGCAGCCAAACATTGAAAATATGGTAGAACAAATGACACACTTTGAGAGGGTGTGTGTGATTTATACTCTTTAAGTTTGAATGTAGTTTCGTTACAGTCCATCAGCACTCTTTTTAGTGTCAGTCATGGCACATCAGTGACTTAGGGCACACTTATCAGTCATGGCACATCAGTGACTTAGGGCACACTTATCAGTCATGATAAATATTAACCTTAAATGTATACTTCTAGACTAACATAAAATATAACAATATAATCTTTCATGGTGTATATAAATATGTATATATCTATATAACAGTGGTTCCCAACCTGTGCTCCGCTTAGCCCTAATGTATAAAAAAGGTTGGGAAACACTGCTCTATTGACTAGTTATTTTTACACTTACCTCCACGGTTGTTTGGGACTCCACTACAGGCTTCGTCATGACAATAATCTTTTTCTCCGCACAGTCCACAACGATGTGTGGAATGTTATTAACATCTTTCTTTTCATCCTTGTCCAGACCATCTTTCTGATCACTTTCCACCAAGGCGGCCTGCAGAGTAAAACAACATTTATTGATTTGATTGAACAGACCCTGAAAACGTGTGTTTCAAAAAAGAAAAAAAATTAAAATTGAACATCTTTCAATATTCTGTCATAATTTAATTTACTATAATTTTGATGACGACAGTGTAAACATTAAAGCTGGCTGCTCACTTTGTCTTAGTGGTTCTCAACAAGTAGGTCAAAATAGTGTTGCATCATTTCATGTCTTGTTTTGAACAACTCGACTCCAAGCAAACTTTATTAACTTTAAAACAAAAATGTATGTAATTCTATGCTCCCGGAGATGCGCCATCATTCCCCTGCACAAGAGAATTTCGTGCCAGAATCGACCTCATTAGCCATCTGCGCACCCACAGACAGAACCAGCACAAACTCTGATGATTAAAATGGTCATGGCCGACTCCCGACTGACGAACAACAATATTCCCCTATCCATACCTTTAGCCATTTTTATCTTACACCAAATTCCCCTATACATAAGTTTGTCCCTACAATCTTATACTGTATTCCCCTATCCATAAGTTTGTCCCTACCATCTTATTCCATATTCCTCTATCCATGTAGTCTTAGTAATAATTTGGCTTCACAAATACAACCACAATGACATTGATTAAGTCAATAGGTTACGCTACACAATAATGGTACGTAGATGCTGACATCTGTTCATTATCTTGTTATACCTCCGCTAGTCGGTCAAGAATGATACGTAACAATTTAATTTAAAATGAACTCCACTACTGACAGATAAGTTAACGGACTAGTTAGTACCCCCACCCCAGAAATAATAAAAATTCCTTTGGTACTTAGATCCTATTACTGTACTCTGTACTCTCCCCTTATCACATCACTTCTGTATCAGGGATTTCAATTTATTTTGTAGATTTGTTTTCTCCTTTACCTCCCTTGCAGCTTTTTCTGCCATTTCTTTTTCATGTTTAAGTCTTTCCTGCTCCTTCTGCTTGTCTGTTTTATCTGAAAGTGTTTTGAAATCATCGACTCTTATTCTCAAAAAAATGTAAACATAAGTAATCAAGATATTAGTTTAATGCCCTAGCTGTAATATGACATTAACTCTGATTGTGCACCAAACCTGAGCTACAAACTGTATCTCCTGTCTAGAAACCCATTCAAGCTTTAAAATGAATTCTTCTCAATGCTTTTAACATTTCATTCAATTCTACACATGAAGATTTTATTTTTTTATTTTATTTCAGTCACCATTTTACACTTATATTAACAAAAGCTTATTCAAGATGTTCTCCCAATAAGTTTTCACAGCCAGTTTTCCCAATCTGTTTTCCCAGTCAGTTTTCCCAATCTGTTTTCCCAGTCAGTTTTCCCAATCTGTTTTCCCAATCTGTTTTCCCAGTCAGTTTTCCCAATCAGTTTTCCCCAGTCAGTTTTCCCAGTCAGTTTTCCCAATTTGTCTCATTAAACAAAAAACAAGTTGACAATTACTTTTGAATAAAAAAAAATAATATAAATTAAATGCTGCAGCCACAGAAAATATGAGTGAATTAAATAAAAAAATTGGTAAAATGAAATGTTTGCTTCAACTTATTCATACAATCGGTCATGTTTGCTTCAACTTAGTCATATAACTGGTCATGTTTGCTTCAATTTAGTCATATAACCGGTCATTCAATCACTTATAAGGGTAAAGTCAATTATTCAAGAGAAATTTGTAACACAAGAGAAACACTGGCACTTTATGGACTGAATTCATTTAATTTGATTGAACACAAACAAAACCAATGAGACAAGTATGTCTAGCTTACAGCTTACCTTCCTCAATGCCAGATGGCGCTAAAATATGTGCATGGCATAATATGATCTGATAGTAATACGTATAATTTTAGCTAAATATCATATTATCAGAATATTACTGAAATGTCGGTACATTTGATTATTTTTAAGGTCTGACAATGTTTGGGACACAAATTTAAAGTCAAAATTCCCAAAAATGTTAACAAATTCTTAATGTTATCACAACGTATCCCCAAAATCATGCCACCCATTGTTAAATGCATTTTATGTTTTCCCTAAATTAATAAAATGTAAACAAACCTTTCTGTTTCCCTTTCTTTCCCGACGCTGAAAATTCTTTGTGATCTTCCTCTGACTTGTCAGAAGGTGAGTTGGGGCGACGGGGTTGTAGAGTTGTACGGTCCCAGAATTCAAGGAGGTCTTGGATATCTTTTTGATATGTTTCAAAGGTGCGGAATCTGTGTAATAAAAAATACAGAAGGTGGGAATTTTGGATTCAGCAGAAACTTCATTTACAAAAACATAATTCTGCATCATGACATTAGCCTATTTAGCTGCCTAACCATCATCTTGATAAGAAACTTTGCTGTGTGCTTTAGCTTTAAGAACATAGACATGGGGCATTAAAAGTTGAAATCACAGAAATGTCTGTCCTTGTGGCATTTCACAACATTCACTTTTAAGATTCCCAACAAGGTCTCATGCACTGTGCAGCTAATCATCTTGCATCAGTCCATATGCACAGCCTAACCATCTTATCACTGTAAAGGATTAACAGTTGACATTCACTGAAATATATTACCATTTAACATACAACTATATAACTATAGACCACTTCCGGCTGCAACAAGATGGCGGAGAAAAAAATCCAAAAGAACATAAAAGGAAGGAAACATGGATTTTAATAGAAAATAATCGTATGAAATAGTTCTTTCTTTGGAATATACGCTTAAGAATCTGTACAGGATCAGAATCTTTATTTCGGATACGTAATTTTTCTCTCAACAACATTTTGTTAACAAAATCTCCATTGTCACTATGCAAAGGATAACTTCCAGCTACAACAAGATGGCGGTATAATGATACACAAAAGGAAGGAATCTCAGTGTGTAGCACTTTGGTAAAGTAAAGGAGACAGCTAAAAATGATTATTGGAAATTTGCTTCGGCGCAAGAAACTTCGAACTTTTAATTAATTTTAATTTTTTAGCGGTTTCATTCAGGATCAGACTTTATGCTGTTATCAACGTATTTCTTCTTCTAAATACAGCTACAATATAGATCTACTGTTAGGCTGAATAGGAAGAAACCATCTTGTTGGAAAACAGCCGGAAGTCTCTGTACTCAGCTCTCAACTGTGGTTCCAAGAAGCTGTAACATGCACAGCGACCACAACCCAGGCAACGATTCCAGGTTGAAGGTAGCCGAAAGGCATAGAACTTTCAGAAAAAAAGGGCTTGTCCCCCATAGCATGTAAAGACTGAATCCAGAAAATTGTGCGGAAGAACCACTACTTGGTCAACGGACAAAAGGCGGAGATAGTAAAGTGATGTGAATCGCTAAGAGCATGGCCAGACACGTAGAACGCCATTCACTGCATGGGTGACTGGGTGGCCGAATGCTCTTAACTGAGCAAACCTCAAGTTGGTGGTCTGGAGTTCAATTCCAGCCAAAGGCCAGTCAAGCAAGAACATCACCCCGGGTGGATGAGACTCGTTAACCTTGGTCGGCAACTCATCTAAGAGAAGGAAACTCTGAATTCAAACCCGGAGTTGGAGTCCAGTAAAGCGCATACAATGACAATTTCTGTAACCGTACCCATCCCTGGTCATCTTGACGTAGAGTCTTGCCCCTGGATATGGTGGCCCAGACGAGAGAGTGAGGTTGACGCTGCGCAACTCTTCCTCACTTTAAACAAAAGTCACCTGCGCAAGTCATCAGTCACTGGACGACTTGATGGTCCTCGTCGATCCTCGAACAACATATAACAAGTGTAAAAAATTGCAGCTGAAAATACTTGTTGATATTTCTGGAAAAATATGTGTCCCAACTTACCTGCTCATCAGCAACATGTCTGCTTCCTTGTTCAGGTCCCTGGCATCCTCCAGTGTACTGTTTTCCCCATGTTCCCCTTTCTTACCGCCTTTTTTCTTTTTCCTGCTGGGTGTCAAAAAAGTAACACTCAAATGTTGATAATATAATCAGGAATGGTAGTAATCAGTAATGTCATTAAAATAAAGTCAATCGGTTCCATTTTTGGGGTGTAGAGCAGTGCTCCACAAGCATTTTTCTCTCACTCCCCAGAAATTTGTGGGATATCTCAAGTAAAAACATACCAAAATATTGGACACTTGGAGCTTGTTTTGCTGAGCATAAATTTTTCTTATTCAACTCAATATCCAATGAAGTTCACTATTATCTACAGATATTTAGTCCAAAGTGAAAGTAACTATCCGGACAGACCAAGCACAACCTGTTCTAATTTTTGCTTTTGGGGAGGGTTATTTTCAACGTTTGGTCATTTTTTACTTCCAAATTATTCCTTTTGAACTTGAAAGGAACGTGGCAATAAAGAATTGTATGCAGATAATACAAAATGGAATCTTATTCCATTCTTATGCTCTGCATTATCTGACAGTATTTTCTTTTGCATCGATGCTAGACGATGTCAAGAAAAATCAGATATGCTCATCTTTCTGAAGGCACCCATATTTGTTTTTCGGTATATTGCTTAAGAACTATGGCCAGATATTCTTTGCAAAAAGTCGAGTTTTTGTTTGGACACATTTAATTTATCGGAATATGCAGAAATTCTCTGTCCAATGTTGCTTTTTACAAACAAATTGATTCATAGTGGTACAATCAAGTCTGTCATAGCCATAATCTCACTATCTTTGAGGAGCTGTTGGTCTAAGATTTTAAGACTGATATGAAATTTCCTGAACTCATTTTGGACCTAAATTTAAAATCTTGCTGGAATCTTACATCTAGAACGCAAACACATGATGCAGTTAAATAATAATTATTTATTTCAGAGCCAGTCATTTCCTGTACATCATAATTTTTGCCATTTTCTGCTTTTGTTCAAATGTCTTTGATGCTCACACATTTGTTCATCTGTTCAATTTGTCTTTTTACGTATGAAGCAAATGATCTGTTATAACCTTTTTGGTGCTCATTAGTACCATCAAAGATAAACAATAACACAAGTACATCATGAATAAAATGACAACAATATGACAATCTCAATCTTGGAACTACACAGTATTTTGAATAAAATTAAGTAATTATGCTGATACACAGGTGGAGGGATTAAGCCCAATGTCATTCCACATTGATTTGTTGACAAGTTGTCATGAGTTAGTTTTATCTGACTTTTAATACCCCAGCAACTGCTCATACTCTTATTGCTTATCAAGATTTTGCAAAACCCACATTTTGTAGACAGGCCATTTTGGGCAAAGCATAGCTCAGTCCATTTTTAGCATGATAAAAACTAAGAAATTTTATTAAAGCTAAATGTTTTTTAAAAAGATGACTATGGAGTGAAAAATAATTTAAACAGCCATAATTTTTTTGTGTAAAAAGTCAGCAGGTAGCCCAAAATATCCTTGATTGTCATTTAGAAGGAAAAAAAGTACTGCTTACTTTCCATCGTCCAGCTGGGGGTCAGATTTCACAGTGGCATGGGACTCTGGTCGGTCTGTGCCGAGGGGTTTCTCAGAATCGTGAACTTTAAGTCCACCGGGAGTTTTAGTCGCTGGAGCGGCCGGAGATCTAACAAGTGTGGATGCCTTCTTGTCAGCCTTCTTTCGATTTTTGCGACTTTTCCTTTATAGGACATAGATTTATATTCCATATGGACAAATATTTAGACATTATAAAACATTTAGAGACATTTTTTCAAGCTAAATGAGTTACAATTTTTTAAATTGCAGTAAAGAGGAATTACTTGAATAATTGATTTTAGCCATCTGTATTTCTGTAAAAATGCTTGAAAATAATACAACTTTTGTTCTTGTAACACAGAAATAAAACAAACAAATTATTTTGTTATTATAATATGTGTAGGTTTTATTAAATCACTTTTAGAAAAAGTAAGGAAATAAAAGGGTACGTTACTGAGCCGTTTATTTGTTTAAAAGTAGGGCAGCATTGACAAATGTAAAATTTAGAAAATTGTAAAATACATTTCTGCCATCGAGATATACAGCCTAGAAAAAAGCTCAACTACCAGATGGAGGATTTATTTTATCGAATACATTTATGACTAGATATTTTTAGTTACATTCATCAATACTTACATTTCTTCCTCTCGTTTTCTTTCCTCTTCTTCTCTTTGCTCTCTCTCAATCCGCTCTCGTTCGGCCTTTTCTTGTTGCTCTCTTTAAGAAAATATAAAATTTTCATTTATTTTATGTTCTCATTTTGATCTGTTGGTATAGCCAAAACTTGGAGGAAAGTCACAACTTGGAGAAAAGTCACAACTTGGAGAAAAATCGCAACTTCCTAAATAGTTTAAAACATGTTCCCCTGGGATGGTGCAGGTTCATGTTAAATTGTTTGCATTATGCCTGGGCATTACCCCTGTGTATTCATTAGAAACAGACAATCTTAACAGATTTTTTAAGCAGGCTGAAGAGTCAGAAAGTTAACTCTATTTATTCTAATTAGAACTGAATATTAAATAAAAAATTATCAAAAATTTCAAATGTTTTATGTCAATATTCTGCTAACATTTTAATCTTTATCAACTACAAACCATATGCTTATTATCTTCATCTGTATCAACTAAAAACCATATGCTTATTATCTTCATCTGTATCAACTACAAATCATATGCTTATTATCTTCATCTGTATCAACTACAAACCATATGCTTATTATCTTCATCTGTATCAACTACAAATCATATGCTTATTATCTTCATCTGTATCAACTACAAATCATATGCTTATTATCTTCATCTGTATCAACTACAAACCATATGCTTATTATCTTCATCTGTATCAACTACAAATCATATGCTTATTATCAGGCACACATCCCAAGCTTTTATTTCTTACCTTTTGATTCTCTCCTTTTTCAGTACCAGCCGTTTGTAGTCGATCCTGGCCTTGACCTCTTCTGGGAGGTTATCATATTCATCCTCATCCATCTCCTCCAACCAGATGAGTTCAGCCTCCTCCTTCAGCCTGGTTTCCAGCTCTGATCAAATTATCAACAAAAAACACAAGCAAATATTTTACAGCTCTGATCAAATTATCAACAAAACACAAGCAAATATTTTACAGCTCTGATCAAATTATCAACAAAACACAAGCAAATATTTTACAGCTCTGATCAAATTATCAACAAAACACAAGCAAATATTTTACAGCTCTGATTAAATTATAAACAAAACACAAGCAAATATTTTACAGCTCTGATCAAATTATCAACAAAACACAAGCAAATATTTTACAACTTCTGTCTTTGAAAATCAAGTAAACTATTTTATGTTCTCATTTTGAAAACATGATCATGATCATGAGAAGACGTAGGGACCCTGCAATAAACACAAAAAATAACAAGCAAAAAAAAAACAACATTCATATAAATGTAAATTTAATTTATACTTACATGAACGTTTTTTTGTTTTTGGCACTGCTGCAGGCATTTGCCCAAACATCTACATTTGTATTTGTGCAACCGTTATTAAAGCTTAACATCTGTTGTTTTATTTACACAGATTTTTGTGTGTCTAATTTAAATATTTGAAAGATGGAACTTCATTAAATTTTAAGACAAAATAACCTGAGTATTAACCCAGTGTTTCACAATGCTTATTTTTTTATTCATGGAATACTTGTTCAGTTGTTTATGAACAGTATAATCAGCCTTTTATAACAAGATCTTACACATTCTTCACATCGACAGTTAAAAACAAGGTATGTGGTGACTTTTTCCAATAACACACTTTTTTTTTTAGAAGCACATTTCTAATCAACCAAATAAAAACTATTCTTCATTTTATAAAGGAGCCCACTCACCTTTTTCCTCATGGGCTTTCTTCTCCTGTTCCTTCAACACATTGTAGTCCATCTTGAGTGTGACAAAGTAGATAAACCTTCTGTTGTTCAAAGCCTTGAGGACCGCATGGGCCGCTGTGAAGTAGTTCTGAGAAAACGACGTCTCCAGCCCGTCAAACACAATACCTTTGTGGCAGTCGTTTAGCTATCATGGAAATAACAGAAGGGTAAGTCATTAAATATATATTTAAATAATAGTTGCCATAAAAAAATAATAATGTTGCTCCATTCCAACCATATGGACTTTATACCATTCCAACCACATATACTTTATACCATTCCAACCTTATACTTTATACCATTCCAACCACATGGACTTTATACCATTCCAACCACATTGACTTTATACCATTCCAACCACATAGACTTTATACCATTCCAACCACATAGACTTTATACTTTTATACCATTCCTACTGACTTGTTATCATTACTCATAGCTTATTTTGTAAAGATTTCCCTCACTGTTTAAAGGACGTACCACTTCACTGAAACCGACTCAAATAACTTGATAACAGAATACATGATCTACCTGCAACCTATCAGCTATTATCTCCACAAGTAAGTCCACAACCTACCTGCAACCTATCAGCTATTATCTCCACAAGTAAGTCCACAACCTACCTGCAACCTGTCAGCTATTATCTCCACCAGTAAGTCCTCAGGCAGGATGCAGGAGAACAAGCCTTCCTCCCCAGCAATGCTGGCACTGATGCTCAGCCTTCTGGGAGCCGGGGCCAGGATAGGAACTGGGCTGATCGGGGCCTGGCAAGCAAAGAAAGAAACCTAGAAACACGACTGGAAAATTGGGTTAATAATCTTGACACTTTGGGGACACTGGAAACGTAGCTTTACAATTTTCATATTTTAGGGACACTGGAAACTTGGCTTTACAATGTTCACATCTTGGGGACACTGGAAACTTGGCTTTACAATGTTCACATTTTGGGGACACTAGAAACTTGGCTTTACAATGTTCATATTTGGGGACACTGGAAACTTGGCTTTACAATGTTCATATTTTGGGGACACTGGAAACTTGGCTTTACAATGTTCATATTTTGGGGACACTGGAAACTTGGGTTTACAATGTTCACATCTTGGGGACACTGGAAACTTGGCTTTACAATGTTCACATTTTGGGGACACTGGAAACTTGGCTTTACAGTGTTCACATTTTGGGGACACTGGAAACTTGGCTTTACAATGTTCATATTTTGGGGACACTGGAAAGTTAGCTTTACAATGTTCACATTTTGGGGACAATTTAAGAAAATGGTTTAACAAATTCAACCAAAATTTTCAAACTAAAAAAAATTTGCAAGGTTTGATTGTTTTGAGTTGCTTATTTATTTGATGAGGGTTTTTGCGCCTTTTTAATGAGGGACTTCCAGACAGTGGCGTAGCTAGGGTTGGTGTCACCCGGTGCGCTAAACTCATGGTGTTGCTCCCCTCCCTCCGACTTCCAAGATGGATTTTTTCATTGTTAAAATAAGTCCATCGTATGAAATTACAAGAACAAAAAGAAATTAATTGAAGGTCAGGAGGTGAATGTGTTTAAGAATTGTAAAATGTGATTATAATCACCTGAGAACATAGTATTTGGTATCAATGGAAAGCGTTATTTCTCAGAATTTAGATATATACAGCTTCCTGTCACTTACGAATGTTACCGAACACTTCAGTCTTCATTGAATCATGGTCAAAACAGAGTTTCTAGGACCTAATCATAGGGTCACCTTATTCTGTCGCACCAGCCTTGAACTTTTAATAAAGCATGCATTTGGATTGGTTATGTGTGTGGAAAATTTACATGTGATCGGGTATCCTTTTATGAAATTCAGTTAGATTGAGCAGTATGTGCTCTGTAAATATGCAATTTTTCAATTTGGTGTCACCCCTTAAAATGGTGTCACCTGGTGCGGTCAGTACCCCTGCACTCCCCTAGCTATGCCACTGCTTCCAGGGATATACATAGGGGGCACCTACCCCGGACACAAACCTTCAAGGTTTGTTTAAAAAAAATATATTTGTGGGGGCCAGAGGGCGCCTCAGTTCAGGCAGCTTGCCTTGGCTCTGTGGACTTAATATAAAGTAATAGGAGAATTCATTTCTCCACTAGCTGAAAATTAAGGATCTCTATACAAAGAAAGATGTTGTTAATCAATAATTTAAACGGGCTGAGATAAAAGACTGATGAAGCTGTACAAATTAAGCTCGATGTTACACCAATGTTTTTGTTCTGCCTATAGAGATGGCACCAACAAACGGCAGCTGGCGCCGCCCTGGCTTTAATACTATTTAATGCATGTCCCAGGGGGAAACACTTACCGCGATCCCTCCCTCTGTAGATGAGTTGACCACTGTGTTCTTACTGACCACTGTCTGTTTGTTCTTTTGGTCGACCATGACTGTGCTGGTTTTGCGGTTTGAACCCAAAGAGGTTCCGACTGTGCCTGCTGCTGGGAAGAAAGGAGGTTTCCAGGTAAAAAAAAACAGGAAAGTTTTCAGGTAGCAAACAGAAAGTTTTAGTGTTACTGACAACATACAAATAAATAGGAGGTTAAGAAAACCAAATATACCAAGTTTGTATGTTGAAGTTCCTGGTAAAGAACAGAAAGTTGCTGGTTTATTAAAAAATACCATACAAAGAAACAAGACTGTTTTAGAGAATAAAATATGAAACATTTTTAAAAAAAAGTGACTTGTGTTTAGAGGTTATTTTGAATGTGGTCTGAAGTGCTAAAAAGGTCACAGACTACTGGCCTTTGTCCTTTGATCTTGGAGCTAACCATGGTGAAATTATATCTTAATTTCTACCCTGATTTTAATGAAGGTATTGTTGGAGTCTTCCTTTTTAAAAAAAAAAAAATATATCAAATCAGTAGAAGAGGGATAGTGCAGAAGTATGGCTAAAGTATCAATCAATCACCTGCTCCTTGGGTGTGAGCAGTAACCTGTTCAATGCTCAAACCGGCCTTCTTGTCCAGATCTGTGCCCTCAGCCTCCCTCATGTCGTCCGTTTTCTTCCTAGCAGAGTCCAGGCAGAGTTCCCTGGCCTTGAGACCGGCTGATGTGTTACCGTTGGCAATAGCATCGCAGACTATGCCATCGAGGGTGAGGAGAGAAGCTTCATAATGCTTGGCTAAAGCAACAGCCGTGCTGGTTTTTCCTGCAGACAACACAATGATATTATAAACAAAGATATTTCAATGGGATAATAATAATTCAATGACAAGTGTCATTTTGTTATGATGGTTCATTACAAACTCTGACAAAAGTAATAGTTATTAATGAAAATTGATTTACAAATTAACCAGTGGAAGATGATGACAAACAAATTATTTCTTTATTTAATGAACTACAGCTATTAAAGGACATACACAAAAATAACGAATAACGAATAATGTGAGATTTTTTAATTGATAATTAATTATTAATGAGAATGATGCTTTTAGAGTACACATTGTGGCTTTCTAATAAGCATGATATTATCAGTGTGCAAAGATACAGGAAGGTTTGGGATGTAAGGGAAGCTATCTTAAAAGTCCTTAGAATTTAAAATGATGAATAGTAATAGATTTTATAACAAATGCCCTCACCTGACAAGAGTACACTTAATAATAAATGCCCTCATTTGAAAAAGGTACAACCCTGTATAAAGATGAGTATTAAAAGAATAAAGAATGCCCTAACCTGACAAAGGTGCACCATGTACAATGATGGATATCCCCCTTCTATTTCTTGAAGCCTTCCCTTCAGGTGTTAGATCAATGCCCAGGTACCTGGCAATGGCAGCTGAGACAGGTGTGATTTCTAGCTCTCCGACACCAGAACTGCTGGTTCTCGCATGGAGTTTGTCTGCCAAGAAAGTGAACACACTGAGGGCAAGTTGTACAGGGAAAACCTAGTTTTGATCTATTATCAATATTAACCCAATCGATACATTTCGCCGCAATGTGCGCCAACCAGAGTTCAGCCGCAGAATATAATTTTATAATAAAAACGTATTCCTTATTGAGTTCGTTAATTTCTGACATGCCACATTGGCAAAGGGTTGATCAACAGAAAGCAGTTAATTTCTGACATGCCACATTGGCAAAGGGTTGATCAACAGAAAGCAGTTAATTTCTGACATGCCACATTGGCAAAGGGTTGATCAACAGAAAGCAGTTAATTTCTGACATGCCACATGGCAAAGGGTTGATCAACAGAAAGCAGTTAATTTCTGACATGCCACATTGGCAAAGGGTTGATCAACAGAAAGCAGTTAATTTCTGACATGCCACATCTGCCACATGGCAGAGGGTTGATCAACAGAAAGCAGTTAATTTCTGACCTGCCACATGGCAAAGGGTTGATCAACAGAAAGCAGTTAATTTCTGACCTGCCACATGGCAAAGGGTTGATCAACAGAAAGCAGTTAATTTCTGACATGCCACATGGCAAAGGGTTGATCAACAGAAAGCAGTTAATTTCTGACATGCCACATGGCAAAGGGTTGATCAACAGAAAGCAGTTAATTTCTGACATGCCACATGGCAAAGGGTTGATCAACAGAAAGCAGTTAATTTCTGACATGCCACATGGCAAAGGGTTGATCAACAGAAAGCAGTTAATTTCTGACATGCCACATGGCAAAGGGTTGATCAACAGAAAGCAGTTAATTTCTGACATGCCACATGGCAAAGGGTTGATCAACAGAAAGCAGGGATTTTAAATTGAAAATCCTCAAGTCAAATGCATTTTTAATCCCTTAATTTGACTACATTTCACTTAAAAAATGTGATGTACTGAATGGGTTACACTTAATGGTTATTGGAAGATACATTAATTTGGTGACTATTGTTAAGCTCTTTCACCTACAGCAGTGCAGTCCAATCCCCCACCCAGGGGTGGCATGTGGACCAAAAAATGATTTTAAAATAATTGCCTGCCAGAGCTTAAGAAATTTTTATGATGTGTGTAAAAAAACAACATTTTAGGGTGAAAATATTTTTCAAGCGACGTTCTTTTATTCAGTATTGTTGGGAAATCGAGTGAGAGCACTGGAGAAGTTGTAACATGGAAAAGGGGGGAGGTCACAAAAGCTAAGGACTGGGATGTTTTGACAGGTAGCAGTAATTTATGCCAAGCACAGCAGAGCAACCATTCCGGAACGTGGGGTGACATTGAACAGGATGCTATCATCTCCTTCTTTATGTTGCTTGTACATAGGTGTCACAGGGTATGGGGTATAATTAATAATGGCGATGGAAAGATGAATTGGGAATCCAAAAGTAGCTAGGTGTGTAGTCATTTGGTTATTTTAATAAGATCCATGCCCTAACCATCCAAACTGAGTTAGATGGAACAGATAGGTGTGCACCACAAGTTAACTACTGCGCTTTGTCGGATCCATGCCCTAACCATCCAAACTAAGATAGATGGAACAGATAGGTGTGCACCACAAGTTAACTACTGCGCTTTGTCGGATCCATGCCCTAACCATCCAAACTAAGTTAGATGGAACAGATAGGTGTGCACCACAAGTTAACTACTGCGCTTTGTCCGATGACAATAATAAAACCAGAAAGTGTTAGGGTTGGAGTAATCTCCATGGGAGCTGGGTTACTAAAGGTGTCCCAGCTGGGTTACTAAAGGTGTCCCAGCTGGGTTACTAAAGGTGTCCCAGCTGGGTTACTAAAGGTGTCCCAGCTGGGTTACTAAAGGTGTCCCAGCTGGGTTACTAAAGGTGTCCCAGATGACTACAGTGAGCAGCGTGAACAACTTATGGTCCCATAATTTGAGTATGAGACTTTCAGTGAGTATAAAACAGGATACAAGTTGTGTTTTGTAAGTTAGAGCAATTCAGTCAGGGAGAAATTGTGATAAGCAGTAGGAACGACTCTTGATAGTATTTGTTTTAAAAAACAAACATAAGAATGCGTGGCCAAAGGATGGATGACATCATGTTTCTTCTGATGAATTTGCACAAATATGGAAATGTTGTAACAAAATCATGCTCATGTTTTTGGGAAACACCCTACACATCCTCTATAATGACCACCAACAAGTCCAAAAAGTGTAACTTTTGACTGGTGAACATTTAGAAAATCTAAAAAGGGCATGCGCTATTGATAACTACCTCAAATCAAGAAAATTACAAATACGATCCTAAATAAATATTTCATTAAAGAAGTGCTGCAGTTTTAAGTCACTTTATTTATAGTCTTGATGAGCCAATAATGTTTTTGGATTTATGGTTCTTTATGTTATTGGATGTATTTTTCTTTATGTTATTGGATACATGGTTCTTTATGTTATTGGATGTATTTTTCTTTATGTTATTGGATACATGGTTCTTTATGTTATTGGATGTATGTTTCTTTATGCATTTAGTAAGAAGTATTAATTTGGACCACAGAGTAAAAGAGGTTGGACAGAACTGATCCATGGAGTAAAAATAATTTATGTTCTTTCCATGACTTAGGAGAATCATGTCAGCTAGATCTGAAGTTGTGAACAATGGGGGTAGCATTAACATAGCGTTGATAACCAGCACAATTAAATGAAGAATTAATGGGTCTTTTCCCTTGATTTCATAAATTTTCAGCAGTACAAATGCACTAATCAAAATATGCCATTTTTTTAAAGCCATTAATTGTATTTTTATAAATAAAAGGCAAATCAAAAGCATAGCAAAGGCAAGTTGAGAAAACTTGAGAGAATGAATAGGTCTACCTTCAATTTCTGCATCTTTCTGGGTAGATGGCTCCTCTACAACTCTGACCTGAGGTTCTTCCATGGCTGCTTCTGTCCCTGACGGAACACGTTCTGAAACAATGGTGGTGGATTCTAACATCATGCTTTCCTCTTGTTCTGTTTGGCCGAGTGCTTTTTCTGAGATCAAGAAACATTTTCAGGACCGCATCAAGATTACAGAACCAAAATGAATGTAGATGGACTGATGCTGCATCAACAATTTAATGTCAACTTGTTAAAACATGGCCTGAAAGGCTTTTTGATTCATTTGTAATTCAAATTGTGTCAATTATACTGGGCATTTTCAAGAACATAAAAATATATTTAGCAGTAACTGTTGACAGTTGAGCAGTTTGTTAATAAAGTCATACATGATCAAATGAAATCACTGGAACTGACGCAGTTTGAAAGATGTATTAAAAAGATAATGGGTGAGCATCCTCTACCTTCTGCATCCTTCTCTTCCATTTCTCTTCTCTCAGTCTCTTGCCTGACCAACTCAAATGCTGCGGCTCTCTCTGATTCTTCCAATTTTCTTACTTGCTCTGAAAGAAAGATGATGATATTCTTAAGGTGCAGAGCTAACATTATGATGAGAAGAATACATTCATCATTTGTGATTTATAATTGCTCCATAAAGGAGCCCTCCTCAATCATCACAAGCAATACACAGTTATTAGATTTACTCATCAGCCAGAATAGAACAGCCGTTGACATGGTCCTCCCTCCAGCCATTTGACTTTAGAGCCCCTACCTTCAAAACAATCTGTTAGTTCTTGGCGTAGAGCCCCTACCTTCAAAATAATCTGTTAGTTCTTGGCATAGAGCCCCTACCCTCACAATAATCAGTTAGTTATTGGCGTAGAGCCACTACCTTCAAAATAATCAGTTAGTTCTTGGCGTAGAGCCCCTACCTTCAAAATAATCAGTTAGTTCTTGGGGCAGTTTGCTGCCCACATCCCGAGGGGGGAGGAGAAGGGTGTTGAATTCATCGTAGCCTTTCATCAGGCGGAGAATCTACACACAGAAATGTTAATTAACACAACACTGGATTGTATGATGCTGGGTGACATACAGTACAAAACTGATAAAAATATCTACACTTACATTTGTTTTATGTCACTAGTAGCTGTCAATGCCAGCTGTCATCAGTCAATTTTTATTTAACTAGTTTCTCTGTTGTTTTATTTGCCCAAACATACATTTATGATACATTACATGGAAATTAATACTTAATTTTATCTATCATTTTATATTTGGAAAAGAAAGAAAGCACAAATAAATATTAACATTGAACATGGCTTTGAAAGATTTACTTTTTCCTCTTCCAGGTAAACATTGTCAAACTCCAGAGAGTACATTTCAATAGGGAAAGAGCATGGGTTGCGCACTACGATGTCCTGTTCATCACCGACACTGTGGGGCAAGATTGGGCCGAACTGGACGACAGTTCTGTCAAACTCCAACCGCGGTTCAAGCCCCTGGCCACGACAGAGTAACAAGACACGTTGGCTGCTCTGGGCAATCCTAATGGGGAGTCGATTCTCATAGAACTTCTGAAACAGAAAATTTAATAAATTTAGAATTTTTTAGTTGGGAACTACAGGTGCATCAAAGTGAACAGCTGCCTAGGTTATTAACTGTCCAATTAAGATGCTGTCCATGTGAATAGCTGTTCAAGTAAATAGCTGTCCAAGTTAGTAGGTGTCCAAATAAATAGCTGCACTCATATAATTCCGTTCTAAAGAATGGTATATAAAATCCATTTCAGATAATTTCCCCTACACTAATTAAAATTTGTAACATTAATTACTAATTTGCAAAAATCTCATCCCAAAAATTAATTTTTTGGGGGCTATTTTTGCGAATGTAAATGCGTGTAAACTATGTCTCTTGAAATATTTCAATTTTCTCATTTTTATTGACATTTGTGTGAACTGTTAAACTGATTATCGTTCATTATTTTATTTAAAGAGCATAAAGAATGTATCTACTTCCATAGTACAATTAATTAACTTCTTAAAAATGTTCAAACCAAATACAAGAGAGTTTTACATTTTATTTGCAATTCTTGATTACATTAAAGAAAATATTGTATTGACAATGAGTTCTATTATTATTGTGATTAAAGTCATGTAATGTTTTGCGATCTAGTTAATTTGCATGAAGGCAACTGACCTCCTCAGTTGGCATGAACTTGACTTGGACATTGACCCTCTGCCCTGGCATCAGAGTGCCAGTTGGTGGCATCACTTCAAAAATGCTGGCCTTCTTTTTATTCTGACGAATTTTACGACGGAGGTGCATGGGTACGTGTTTGTCAATCTGAGTGTGAAGAAAACAAAAGTCGAGATCGGGAGGATTATAATGAATGAACAGACTTAGGTTGCACAACACAGCTTTATGTGAATGAGTATTTTTATACTTTCTATGATTCGGTCATTTTAAAAATAACTCTACAACTACAACAGAATCTCCCAATATAGTTGGTAGATTCTGTTGTAGAGTTTTTTTTTTTTTAAACTTTACAACAGAATCTCCCAATGTAGTTTTCCATTTTACCAAATCGTGCGTAACGGAGAGTGTATGGTACTTTATGGGGGCAAGTGCTCTATAAAAACATAAAATCATTGACTTGAGTTATTTTATAATGAGAAAAAACCCGCCAAACAATGGAGCAGTGCGTGAACTTCCCATCTGCTAAAGTTACTTAACAAAACATCCATTCGGGTAACATACTTTGTGAGAATCCCAATTTTGGGAATATTATTTTGCGCAACAATTGAACACAGCATTACAAGCATACCTAGAGACTTATTATTTTTTTACTGTAACAATTTTGGAAGATTTAAGAGTACTGGATTACAGCCAACCTTCTTAGATTCATCGGGTGGAATAGAGTTCCATTCACACTTGACCATTTGATGATTGTGAAGTTGGATGGTGATGACCTTACACTCTCCACACTTGACATCAGCAAAGTCAAGGACATCATCAGAGACCTCCAGGTCTGGCATTGTCACATTGGCCCTCAGATGCATGTTTATAATTGGTCCATGAACAACCTAGGGCACAGTGGAGGTAACTATTTTTCAACACATATATTAATAAAGTGAACTTTGCCATAAAGTGATAACTGGGACCCACACAATGGAATAATTGCCATAAAGTGATAACTGGGACCCACACAATGGAATAATTGCCATAAAGTGATAACTGGGACCCACACAATGGAATAATTGCCATAAAGTGATAACTGGGACCCACACAATGGAATAATTGCCATAAAGTGATAACTGGGACCCACACAATGGAATAATTGCCATAAAGTGATAACTGGGGCCCACACAATGGAATAATTGCCATAAAGTGATAACTGGGGCCCACACAATGGAATAATTGCCATAAAGTGATAACTGGGGCCCACACAATGGAATAATTGCCATAAAGTGATAACTGGGGCCCACACAATGGAATAATTGCCATAAAGTGATAACTGGGGCCCACACAATGGAATAATTGCCATAAAGTGATAACTGGGGCCCACACAATTGGATAGTGTTTATAATGGAGCCATATTAGACCAGGGCTTCACAGTATTTCATGTGAATAGCATTGAGATTTTTTTTTTAAAGCAAGAAATTATGGGATTTTGTCTCATAAAACATAGTTCTAAATCTCTTGTGATTAGTCAGCTATACGGTGTTGAAGATGCACTAGTTTTAGTGGATTTGTGATGGCGTTGTGCAAGGATATATATTTTTTATACTATTTTCTTTCCCCCCCACATACTGGGAATAACTATTTTATGTGTGAATCAATATGAAGATTTTTGGAAGCCATGCCACCAACAGGTTATATCTGAATTTCCCTTACAGCAGGGTCTCACTCTATATATTCACTATGTTACATTATATTAGGATATATTACTTTAAAAATATCAAAGAAATTATTTTTCTTTGGTTGACAACAATAAATAAACAACAAGCATCATCATTTGAGAAATATTAACTGACAATTATAATTATATTGAAAAAGGGAATTCTGATATTGAGGGGCCAAAAAAAAAAATTGTAAACAATCCCTCACATTGATGGGCACCACCACCTCCACTGCCCCAAGGTGAAGGTTGGCACCTCTAGGGTCAAACATCACCACAAAGTCCAGTGTTTCGTTGTCAGGTGCACCTGGTAGGTTGCGGACACGGTCCAGCTCAATGTGGAAACCAGCAGTGTGGATGTTCTGTCTGTCCAGCTTGAAGGACACGGGCATCCAGCCGGTGTTGGTGACACGTACAACATGAGTCTTGACTGTACCCAGGACAACGTAGCCAAAGTCAAGTAGGTAGTCTGGCAGAACAGCCCTAGGACAAGAAATGGTGTTTGAATACAAACAATTTTTTCTTATCAGCTCCATTAAGCATTAATTCTCATGAAAATAACTGAGGGATGAAAACATAGAATGAAATGTAACTTACCTCATCTATGATATTCAACTGCAAGGTGAAATAGAACTCTTTTGTACTCTTTTTGAACCATATGAAAGGGATTTAACTGCCTCTAAAAGTGACAACTTACTTCAACTTTCCCATTTCAGATTGCTCCACTGTTGTGTTGGACTCAAATGTTGAGATGATGTTCTCTCCCTTGTCATCCACCGATGCTGAGACAAGCTTGGACAAGTGCTGCTCCCTGGCAAAGTCTCTCATCGCCAGCCTCTCTATCTCCATCTGAACTTCCAGCTCAGTCGGTTCTCTCATCTGATCAAGGATCAAACAAGTCCATTCTTTTAACATGATATTTTACATCAGTTGTCTTTCATATATGCCAGTTGGAATATTTTGTTAAAATGTGTTAAAATAACAACAAAAACTTTTAAATTAAAATGCTTTACATTAAAATTTAATAAATTTCTAACAAATGATTGGGCCCTGATGAAAACCTGGACTGGGGCTTGCATTAAGACATTTATAAGGTTTTTAAATTTCTAAACTGCTGTGTACTGCTATAAATGTACACTGACCAGGTTATGAGAGTTGTTGGCAGTTTTGTCATGCTCGTGCATTTCCTCTCCGTCTGGGATCAAGTTCTTCAACTCCTCCTCGACCTGTCCAGCTTCCTGTTCCTGTTGTTTCTCCAGCTGTTGTCGGATCAGGATGGCCAGATTTTCCTTGGCCTCCTTCAGCAGCTTCAGGTAAACTCCTTCTTCATCTTTAATTCTGGGTAAGTCCAGGGAGATTCTTGGAAAAACCCCTGATGTTAAAAAGAAATGGATACAAGTCATATTAGTGCAACTGAACAATATAACTAAGATCTGCTATTCATGAACAAAGCACTTGTAGATCAATTCATTACAAGCACAAAGAAATTAAAGTAATTAAACATAGAGAACTTGGTTTCAACTAATTAGTTTCATAACTTTAAAAAAATTCCATATATATAAATATAGGTCTACTGACATAACCTTGACTTATCCTTTCAAAAATCACAGGGTACAGTTTTTAAAATTGTCTATCTCTAAAGAGATTTTAATGATCTTTTCACTTTGCGATAGTGTATGACATTTGTGCTGGTTGATTAATTGATGAAACACGCAGTGGAAAATAGTAATGGCCACGTCTGTTTAGAATTAAATCAAGATTACCTTCACCACTTATCGTGATGGCGTCTGGCTCAAAGTGAGCCACTTGAATTTGAAATGTCTTGCAGAATTCCTCAGGTACACCTGGCAGATATTTCACAAGAATTTTTTGTTCTGCAAATGGCTCAATGTAGCCCTATGAGGAGGAGGGGACGATTTTAAAAAAAAATTAGGATTAAGATAATTAGGGGTTGAAACCAAAATAAAACTTAATGAATAAATAGACTAAGGTAATCTATAGTGATAATCTATAGTGGCACAAAGAATGACTGCTGTACAACAAGGTAAAAAAGACTGTGTTGCAATAATGGATTAGTTATATGAAGGAACACATGTAAGAAAAGGACTTACAGAATGAGGTAATATGATTGGCTGGCCAGGTAATGGCCGCTTCTGAAGGGCGGGATCCATGTTGATGCCAGAAAACTGAAAACCAACTTTTCCACAGTTGATGAGAGTGATTGTTGCTGTTGATACCTGGTCATACATCTGATTGCAGGGTAGGGCAGCACAGAAAGTGATGCAATAACAGTTTTTCATGAAGCGTAAATAAAATATAACTGAAACTATTTTAGAACCACTTAGAAAATATTAAAATGGTCTTATTAAATTGTTTAAATATTCATTTATTTCCATTAACTTAAAAAAAAAATCACACTTAAACAAACCTGCTTTCCTAATTGAATAGACTTGCTGTCAAAAGAATATTCAACAACTGATGCCTCTCCAGTCATTGACAGTTTGTACGTTGGCCCACCTTCAACTTCACAGATGGCCTTCACCTCACCCCAGATGTCTGCATGGCCATAGAAGGTGAAGGTCACCTGCTCTGTATCCCCCGGCTGAAGGCAGCCATAGAGGGGAAGGATGTCAAAAACCTACAAAAGAAGTCAGCAAAAGAAAAGCAAAGTCAATACAGACATTCTCACCAACTCAATCACAGATGTAGTAACATTACTGCCACTTGATCAGACACCACTGCAAATAAAACACCAACACTCATCTTAGGTCCTCTCCATTTACCTCCTCTACTCCAATCTCGGGTACAATGTCTTCATCAGTCTCCAGCAAAGCTGTCAAGATTTTGTTGGCCTTGAGGGCCTCTTCCTCATCTTCTCTCATAGACAGGCGACTGACTATAGACCTCTTGTCTGTTTCCTTCTCCCCTGACTTCACAGACAGACGGCTTGTTATTCTTCCTTGCTCTTTATCCTTGTCCATCTTCTCCTCCTGGTCCAGCTGTCCCTGGAAACATAACATAAGGGATCTGGTTACTTTCTCTTGGTGGTAAAAGTGATTTTTCCCCCTTTAGTTATAAATCCATCCCTCATGGAAATATTTAACTTTAATTTGCAAAAAACTAAGAAATATATTTAATTAAATTTTTGTTAGTACATTTATAACAATGTGGGTAAAAAGAGATTTGAGACATAACATGCTCTTTGTTAGTTGTTTTGATTATTAGAAGTTCAAAAAGGGGATGGGTGAGGCAAAACTGAGCGATTTTAAGTGTGAATGCTTTAAAAAGGGAAAGACTTCTAGCTATTTCATAAAAAAAATAAATCAATCAAATTTCCATTTTTGTGCATTGATCAAATTTAGTATTGCAAAACAATAAAAATAATGGACATTTGAAGACAAAGTGAAAAGAAAATTATTTAAAACCTTTTCAGGTGTTTCAACATCAGCAGGTGAGATGGCAGTTTTGTTGTCTGCTGCTTCCTTTGATTTCGGCCCATCCGTATCTTCCAACACTTCTTTATGGATTATCTGATTCAAACAGTAAAATCAATTTAAATATCTAAAAAGATAAGGCTTTCTAGATAGGTAATGGAAATAGATAAAAAAACACATTTTAAACTCTATGTCTGGATTTCATTGGACAGTTCAACATGGCATACCTTCATTTCAGATTCTTGAAACTTGGAATCTTTTCCTTCACCATATTTGTCCTCCTGGTCACCGTGGTCCAGAAATTCATCCTGGTTGACAAGTTCTTCATCTTCCTCTAGGCCAGAGTCGGACTCGTATCCTGGTTCAATCATTCGGTCGGATCTGCATGTCTGTGGCCGGTGCATCTTCTTTATATTTGTGGGGGTTTCCCCGACCAGGAATGACCAACGATAACAAACCTGAGAGTTAGAATGAACAGGATTTATTAACACATGGCACACAAAACATGGTACACAAAACCTAACACACAAAACGTGGCACACAAAACATAACACACAAAACATGGCACACAAAACATGACACACAAAACATGACACACAAAACATGGCACACAAAACACAGCACACAAAACATGGTACACAAAATGTGGTACACAAAACATGACACACAAAACATGACACACAAAACATGGCACACAAAACATGGCACACAAAGCATGGAACACAAAACATGACACACAAAACATGGCAAAAAACATGGTACACAAAACATAACACACAAAACATGGCACACAAAACATGACACACAAACATGGCAAAAACATGGTACACAAAACATGACACACAAAACATGGCACACAAAACATGACACACAAAACATGACACACAAAACATGGTACACAAAATGTGGTACACAAAACATGACACACAAAACATGACACACAAAACATGGCACACAAAACATGGCACACAAAACATGGAACACAAAACATAACACACAAAACATGGCAAAAACATGGTACACAAAACATAACACACAAAACATGGCACACAAAACATGACACACAAACATGGCAAAAAACATGGTACACAAAACATGACACACAAAACATGACACACAAAACATGACACACAAAACATGGTACACAAAATGTGGCACACAAAACTCATTAAAAGTACATTTGCGTGAGTTTGAAAAGATTAGCAAAAACTTGTAATGATTACCGCAGATGATTACCACACATAATTACCACACATGATTACCACAGATGATTATCCCAGATGATTACCGCAGATGATTACCACACATAATTACCACACATGATTACCACAGATGATTACTGCAGATGATTACCACACATAATTACCACACATGATTACCACAGATGATTATCCCAGATGATTACTGCAGATGATTACCACACATAATTACCACACATGATTACCACAGATGATTATCCCAGATGATTACCCCAGATGATTACCAAAGATTAACAAGCATAAAAAATAAGTATAAAAATAAAAGTAAAGATTCTAAAGACAGTAATATAAAAATGAGTTTTTGACATGGGTGCAATTTGTTTATTGGTGTGCACAATCAACTGATAGCTCAAGTCTTAAGGAGACCAAACTTATTTCACTAAATTTGTTTTTGGTGTGCACAATCAACTGATAGCTCAAGTCTTAAGGAGACCAAACTTATTTCATTTAATTTGTTTATTGGTGTGCACAATCAACTGATAGCTCAAGTTTTAAGGAGACCAAACTTATTTCATTAAATTTGTTTATTGGTGTGCACAATCAATTGATAGCTCAAGTCTTAAGGAGACCAAACTTATTTCATTAAATTTGTTTATTGGTGTGCACAATCAATTGATAGCTCAAGTCTTAAGGAGACCAAACTTATTTCATTAAATTTGTTTATTGGTGTGCACAATCAACTGATAGCTCACGTCTTAAGGAGACCAAACTTATTTCATTAAATTTGTTTATTGGTGTGCACAATCAACTGATAGCTCAAGTCTTAAGGAGACAAAACTTATTTTCATTAAATCTGTTTAGAAAAGCTCACAATCATAAATAAATATGTTGTAACAACAACAGAGCAGTTTTCTTTAAATAATATTTGTCATTTGATCCAGTCCTGTTAACTTATATTTAATAAAATGAGTAAAACAGAGTATGGTTAAACCTGAAAAATTAAACGCAACAAAACAGCGAACGTGTCGGCAGAAAGCCTTCGTCAGCGAACAAAGTTGTTTTGTTCGCTGACGAAGGCTTTCTGCCGACACGTTCGTTGTTTTGTTGCGTTTAATTTTTCAGGTTTAACCATACTCTGTTTTACTCATTTTATTTTGTACTAACCTGATTGCAGTCTCTCCCCTTATTAACCCATAACTTATATTTGTCATGTGATGCAGTCTTTTTAACTTATATTGGGCATGTGATCTGATCTTGTTAACTTATATTTGTTGTGTGATCCAGTCATGTTTGTTCATATTTGTCACTCAATCCAGTCCTGTTATCTTGTTCAGTATGCTCCTATATTAGAGCTACCATTTCTAGTTAATGAAGAGAGAGTTTTTTTCTCACCTCCATGGGGCTGTTGTTGGTGATGTTGATATAACGGGTCACCTCTGTATCATTGAGGATGCAGCCAAAGTCCACTGTGGTCTTTTCAAAGAGTAAATTGGGAAAGTAGACCTCACCGTGCAAAGCAATGTAGTCCTAGATGTTGGAAGGAACAAAAATCGCAAACTAAACAAAACTTTTAGCTATGTAATGAAATATCTTTGGCAGTGGAATAAATGAAATGGATTCACCTCAGCTCTTCCAGCAAACGGTTTGTGGAAATCTCTTCAGCAGTGTGTTAAAATACAATCATGGAGTCTCCCAACTACCAACCAATGTTAATTGTAATCAGGCCTGTTGCTTTATTTTGGTTTCTTTATACTTAAATATTACATAACGTGTTCACTCACACAGACATTCCAAAACAGGCCATTATTAATTAATCACCTATCAAAAGATTAAACTAATTTATAATAGTGACTTTGTGTAATAGAAAAGTAAATTCAATGAAGACAATGGACAGAGTCGTTACTTAAATAAGAGATAAATATACTTAGAGCAGACCAATAACATATAAACACGTACAATGTGTGGATGCTCCATGTAAGTGACTTGAAGGACCTCGTCAATAGTGCGTATGTGGCAGTCATCCTTGAACTTGGGGTCAAACTCTATGACCAGATAGTAAATATCCCCTGACTGCAAGCAAACCTCCTATAAAATAATAGTTTTTTTTTATTATTAACTATTGGCCCAAAACTATTAGACAAGCTAACAGACCACAACATATGTCACAGCCATAACTATGTAGGTTGGACAACACATATTGTTCTTGCTTTGCATTAAAAAATGGAGCAACAGATTGGATCCTCAAAGATAAACCTGTCACAGGCACATAAGCCATTTATAACTGACTTTATACACAGTGCGTCTAATTCACTAGGGGAGTTCATTCAACTTACAGTCTCCTGGACCTTTTCATTGCCGATGACCATACTGAAAGGGTAACCTAATTTAAGTTTGGTGGTCAGTGAAAGACTTGACTGGTTGGTTATCACCAGTTGCTGTTGCATGATGGGTAGTTCATCAGCTGGTCCCTGTCATAAAATCAAAGCCATGATAGATACAATAGAGGACTTAAATTTGTGTGTCTCAAATTGTATGCACATTTTAAAAAAAAATTAATTGTTTTTATTTATAAGTAAATAAAGTATGATATTGCTTGAAGAAGAGATTTTCTAATGTAGTGCTGACAGATTTCTTTTCAGATACAATACATAAAAAAACAAACAGACATGCATAAAGATAGTTGCTCACTTTTAAAGCTATTAAAATTGTTACAAAGAATATGGGGAAAATGTAAGACCTAGCAACCAAATTATTTCATTTAACAGTCAGACTGCTGTTCTAATAAATTATAACATTTAGTACCTTGTCCACTCTGTAGAAGACACATTTTGTGGAGAAGTTCAGAAGAGGTTCAATAAATTCTGCTCTAACATCAACACTAATGATTGGGGTCTTTCCCCCTGCTCGGCCAATGATGGCATGACATACAATTGTCTCAGAAACTAATTGAGGACTGAAAAAAATATGTGTACAGACAGATTAGAGCACACGCCCAGATTTCAGTTCATCTACAACAGTGGTTCTCAATGGGATAGGGTGGTCTTTGGGGGTAAAATTGTTAACATCACTAAATGTTATAGTTTACCAAAAACTGTGTTTTTTTTATCCCAAAATGTAAATATTGCTGTGAATGCTATTTTTAACTTGATTATTATATGGCTTTAGGGTATGTCTAGATTATGGAACAAATATTGACAGGGATTAAATGACATTATTAAGGCTTCTGCAATTGTGTATAGCTGACCATTGGTCTAATTAAAAAAAAGGCCTTAAATTTTCCATCAAGACTCTTACTTTTCAAACAATACATTTTCTAACCTTTCAACAATATAATATGCTCTAGAAATTCTTGTAAAATTATTTTTGCCTCAAGAACTTGAACAGGTTTAAACTTGATATAATAAATGGTTCAAAGGTTCAATACAAGGAGCAGCTATGAAACTACTCAACGATCGTGTAGCTAAGGGAATTATTTACTGCTGAAATCCTTCAAAGGAATAAACTCACCTATTAACAAATCCTTCTAAAGTCAATTCCAATGATTCGCCGGGTAGGAGCTCCATGCGGTTGGGGGACAACTGAAATATTGGTTCAGCTACATCGTATAAGCTAGCCGTTTTCTGAAATTATGCAAACATTTTTTCAGTAAAAATGAGTTATATAGTCATTTTTACTGAAATGGCAAAAAAAAAAGAAAGATCAGTTAATACTTCTGAACACTCTTCTTTCAAAGAAATTGGTTTATGTATGAATAATATATAACAAAATAAGTTTTCAATACAATACTTAAAGGATAATTTAAATAATACACGCAGCTTTAAAAAAACAACAAACAACAATGTATTCAAAATTCAGAAATTGTAAGAAATTTATGAATAAAATGAGATAATTGGGATGACTGAAACAAAGCAGCAGAACTTGAAATGAAAATAAAGGCGATGGAGATGAGATGTTTCAGAAGCATTTTTGGCATCTGCTATAGGGACCATATCTCCAATGATCAAGTGAAAGAAAGGGTTCGTCAGGCAATTGAGCAGTACGATGACCTCCTGGTGATTGTGAAAAAGCGCAAACTACAATAGTATAGCCATGTGACAAGGAAACAAGCGCTCGCCAAAGAAATCATGCAGGGCATCACAAGAGGAGGGAGAAGAAGAGGAAGACAAATAAAAAGATGGGAAGATAACATCAAAGAGTGGATGTGAATAAAACTAGGTCATGCTGTGCACAGTGCAGAAGACAGAGACAAATGGAGGAGGATAGTTCACATGTCATCTGTGGTGACATCAACGGTCCAAGGACTACGGGACATGAGGATGATGATGAAACAAGCAAACATTTAGTAAGATATTTTTAGTAATCAAAGAAAGAAGCCCTTACTCTTTTCATATCCATGTTAACAACTTTCATCTTTTCTTTTTTTGCCTTGGACAAAGGAATGAATCCATCAGTCAACCATACCAGCTGTTGGATTCTTCGTCCTCTGTTGATTAGCTTCAATTTCTTTTTCAGTTTACAGTTGCTGTAATAGAAACATGAACTTCAGTCAAGATCCAAGTATATATGATTAGGGTCAAGATCACAGTGTATATGATTAGGGTCAAGATCTCAGTGTATATGATTAGGGTCAAGATCACAGTGTATATGATTAGGGTCAGGATCACAGTGTATATGATTAGGGTCAAGATCACAGTGTATATGATTAGGGTCAAGATCTCAGTGTATATGATTAGGGTCAAGATCACAGTGTATATGATTAGGGTCAGGATCGCAGTAAATTAGACCTATGTGACCCTCAGTAAACATCACAGTAAATGTGACCCTCAGTCAAGATTGCAGTAAATGTGACCCATGTGACCACTCAGTCAAAATCACAGTAAATGTGACCCTCAGTCAAGATTGCAGTAAATGTGACCCATATGACCACTCAGTCAAAATCACAGTAAATGTGACCCTCAGTCAAGATTGCAGTAAATGTGACCCATATGACCACTCAGTCAAAATCACAGTAAATGTGACCCTCAGTCAAGATCACAGTAAATGTTACCACTCAGTCAAAATCACAGTAAATATGACCCTCAATCAAGATCATAGTAAAAGTGGACCTCAGTCAAAATCACAGTAAATCTGACCCTCAGTCAAGATCACAGTAAATGTTACCACACAGTCAAAACACAGTAAATATGATCCTCATTAAAGATCATAGTAAAAGTGGACCTCAGTCAGCAAATGTGACCCATGAGACCCTCAGTCAAGATCACAGTAAATGCTACTCTCAGTCAAGATCACATCAATTGTGAAACTCAGTTAAGATAACAGTAAATGTGACCCTAAGTCAAAATTACAGCAATTGTGACTGGGGTCATGCTGTCTAAATTTACGCACAGCAGGCATCAACATTGTTTAGAGATTCATGAATAATTTATTTAAGCATCAATCAAGAACAGACATTCAGAGAAAACTTAAATTTTTTATCTGATATTCAGAGTATACTTTAAATTTATCGTCTCACATTCAGAGCATACATTAAATTTATTATCTGGCATTCAGAGTATACTTTAAATTTATCGTCTCACATTCAGAGCATACTTTAAATTTATTATCTGGCATTCAGAGTATACTTTAAATTTATCGTCTCACATTCAGAGCATACTTTAAATTTATTATCTGGCATTCAGAGTATACTTTAAATTTATCATCTCATATTCAGAGCATACTTTAAATTAATTTTCTAACAGCAAAGACTGTGTACTTTTATTAACTAAAGAGATCCTTTCATTACCCTGATTAATTCATTTTACAAAAAAATTATGCTAAGCAAAATGGTGCTAAACCATAGATTGATTTTTTTAATAAATGAATTCTCCGTTAATAAATAACCAAAAAATAATTAACAACAAAGTATCAATTTCCAAATGATGATATTGCATCCAAACGAATGAAAACTATTTTAATGGTTAAAAAATAAGTTCAATATGTACCTAAAGTTTGGACCTAAGTCAAGAACATCTCCGAGAGGGGGCTCTGACACAATGGTCGTTCCTTTGCCAAAAGCAGACAGTGGGATCAATCGAGACTGGCTTTGTTGGAAATTGATTTGTAGTTTATCCTGAAACCTGGGAATTGAGATCACAGAATAATTAAGGAACTGCTCAAGTTCATGAAATTTACAATGAAAAGGAATCTTATTAATTTTATGGCAATAGCAGGGCAAGCTGTGTGTGGAAAGATGTATTTTCTTTTCATCCCTCACAGTTACCCATGTTGATATACATAATTTCATAACTTAATATCTTTAAATTGCTACATCAACTAAAAAACCCCCCCCCCCCCCCCCGACCCTTTTACCACAACTTCACATTTTTTTGTGGTGAAAAAAGATCTCTTTGTTAAAGTGAACTCATATGACCCCCATCTAGCCTGACTTTTACCTGACACAGTCATCCAAGTTGGCAGTAATGGTCAGCTCTATTGATTGCTCAGGTGCAATTGTGCCCTCTGAAGGTGCTACTTTGAAGACTGTGTTGGGTCTAACCTGAAATCATCAAATACGATCAGTAATATTATGCCATGTTATTTAGATTTCATTTTGTCAGTTAGTAAGTTTACATCCTAACATAACATGTAAATAAATTATTTAACAAATTTTGAGGATTTTGACAGACCAAATTTTCCCTGAGAGAATGTTGGGAATGGATAATATGAATACATTTTTATCTCAAAAGTACTTGATAAATTATATTATATCTGTCCAACCCTCTGACCTCTAAGACCATTAAACTTTATCTCCATCTTACACTGTCCTCCAATTTGCAAAAGCCAACACCCTGGTTGTTAAATCTTCATTCAACCCTTCCCCCTACCCTCCATCTGACTAGTTCTATCCCTAGATCTGGTTAAATGGTGTTGGCTGCTGCGGCACTGACCATTTGGGCTGTAAATAATGCAGGTATGTAGGACTCATTGGATAGCACCAATGTTTTGGCTACATTAGTCAGAACTGGTGTTTCTCCCCAATCAATCTGTAGAGGGTTGACATGGACCACTGGGCCTTCTCCTACACAGATCACATGGATGACCTACAATAATTCAACACCTAATTATTTGATGGACATAATACATAAATGTCAGGAGTAAGAAGGAAATAAAACATTTTTTTTAAAACCCTTTTGATTTTATTTCCCCAACTGTACAAAGCTGGTAAAAAAATTTTTGTCTACTTATTTTAATGCTTAAACTTTTTTTTTGCTCACACTATTGTAGCCTAATATAAAAAATTAATTTCATTATTCTAAATAAAACATTTTAAAAAACATCTATTATGAGCAGTGAAAATTATCATTTTAGCTCTAGAGCAGGCCTGCACAACATACGGCACGTGGGCCACATGTGGCCCGCCAGAACTCACTTTGCGGCCCGCGACGTAATGAAATATTCTTTATTCTTATTATTTTGTTAATTCCCCCCCCCCCCTCTTGCCTTTTTTTCTTTGGCCCGCACAAGACCTGTCCTATTTTCTTTTAGCCCGCACAACATACGGCACGTGGGCCACATGTGGCCCGCCAGAACTCACTTTGCGGCCCGCGACGTAATGAAATATTCTTTATTCTTATTATTTTGTTAATTCCCCCCCCCCCTCTTGCCTTTTTTTCTTTGGCCCGCACAAGACCTGTCCTATTTTCTTTTAGCCCGCACAAGGTTTTCATAAAGTACTACGGCCCGCCTTACATTTTGAGTTGTGCAGGCCTCCTCTAGAGAATACAATTTTTTTCAGAAATTCTAAACATAAGAAAGATGTGAGATATTTACCAGAGGAGGTTTTGGACTACCAAAGATGCGTATTTCTATTGGCATCTCTTGCTCTTCCAAATCCAGGGCTTCTATGACCAGAGGGATGTCAACAACCGTATGTGGCTCAATGATTCCCTGCATGTTGAAAGAATATGTACAGTTACCCTTTTTCCCCTTATGGCTTTTAAATTCTTTCACAATTGAAGTTTTAACAGAAATTTTCTACAGGTACCAGTTTACAAAAATCCTGTAAGAAAATATTAGTCAGCTTACTACAAGAACATGAATATAATCCATTATAATACAATTACAAGCTTGTAATTTAAAATTATAAAATGCAATTTGCCAGTTAAGAAAATCACAGTGTTATATTATGAATGTTTATATTAAAACATGTGAGATTTAGTAGCAAATTTTCAAGTCATTGTCTCCAAAAGATGAGGGTGGATCAAAAGTTCTCATTAATATACAGTGGACTTTAAAAAATGTATGCATGTAAATAAGGAGTGTGAACCTTGCATTAAAACTCCATCAAACCTACTTTGGGTTGGGGACAAAGATATGAAATGGGTGGACTTTCTAATGCTCTTAATTGGGTTGGGGACAAAGATATGAAATGGGTGGACTTTCTAATGCTCCTAATTGGGTCAGGGACAAAGATATGAAATGGGTGGACTTTCTAATGCTCCTAATTGGGTCGGGGACAAAGATATGAAATGGGTGGACTTTCTAATGCTCCTAATTGGGTTGGGGAAAAAGATATGAAATGGGTGGACTGTCTAATGCTCTTAATTGGGTTGGGGGACAAAGATATGAAATGGGTGGACTTTCTAATGTTCCTACCTTTGGTTGGGGACTAAGATATGAAATGGGTGGAATCTCTACCAAACTTGTTTCCTTGTTCTGGTAGTTCTGTGGAAGTAGGTCATATCTTGCTGCCAGGTCTGTATCATTGTGAAGCTGGATGAAATGCTCATACGGATAACTCAGAAAGCAGCGGCCATAGTTGAGAATAGGGGTCAAGTTGGAAATTTCTGGAACCATTGAACTAGAAAAAATATGTGAAATAAATGTTAATTAAATCTAGCCTTTGGGCAGTTGATGTAAATATGACAGTGCTTCATGACCACAAATATACAATGGTAACTTTATAAAAGCCTTATCACTTGTTAAAATCAATTTTAGTTTTATTTTTTCTCTACCATATTTTTTTCAACAATATATAAGAAAAAATATCAACACTGAAACAAAGTTCTATATTTCACTCACGTGGCAGATATTGGCAGTGACAAGATTTCTTCTCCAACTCTTTCCACATCTACAACAAGCGCCATCTCATATTTCCTGATGGTGTTTGACACCAACTTGACAGTCAACTAAACAAACAAATCATTGAATGGGAGACCATTATAAAAACACAGTAGACACATTTGTTTGTTAAAAATAACATGGAAAATGAAATAAAATTTCTATAAATTTAAGATGAAAGTTTTCCCCAAGAAAAGCACTTGAAACAGACCTTGACATGGCCATGAGGGGAGACTACTCCATCAGAAGGAATGATTTCAAACTCTTTTGGATTCTGCACTGGCATTCCCAAAAACAAGGAGTCCTTAGAAAGGTCATTTGTGCAGCAAATAGCCTTGTTTTTGCCATCGCCTGGTACACGGAGGTGAAACACCATTGGCACAAGGGATGTATTAATCAGGGTGCACACCTGCAGGCAAGACACAAGGCAATCAAGATTAATTATTTATTTTTTAATAGAATGTGGATTTTGATTGTGCTGACAAAATTTTAGATTTTTAAACTTCATAGATTTATTGCATGGAAAAGATAAGTTATTCATGACTGTTGTCAAGCTTACAATAAAGTGTTAATGCCTAGTGATCTAAAGCTTGCTACACGGGTAAATAAGACAGAAAGAAGCCCACGGTACATGAAGCTTTGATAAACACACCACAAAACAAGAAACACCTTCTTTGGTGAACACACTAGATTCTAGCCCATAAAATTATTGGAAATAGCTTAGAAAACAAAAGTTATGCAGGTGACCCATGAAAAAATATGATATCAATGACCGAATGGTTGGGGGGGGGGGGGTGACGTAGGGTAAAAAGACCTTGATGGCTTTACATAGGTCAGGCTCTAAACACAAAAAAGTTGTACAAATAAATTTTCCTAATAGATTGACACTTTTTTTAAAAAGGTTTTTGCATTTTGAAAATTAATTATGACTTTTTTTCCATAAACACCCTGGATTATTATGAATACTGAAGGTCATGATTTGTTCAGTTCAGTACAATTGAAGGCTCTCGGCTCAAGTAAATATTGGCACATGAGTGGAGACTGAATGAATGAAATCAATAACTGCTACAAAAGTTAAGTCATCGCACCTGAGTGTTAGTAAACCCGACAGGAACTTTTCCAAATTTCAGTTTGCTCACATCAAAGTTGAAGGTTGGCCCGACTACTTTCCCTCTGGGAATGTATACAAAATAATTTTAATGAGATTTTTATGGAACAATAAATATAGCTTTTTTGTGGATAATTTTTAAATAACTTACGTACTTTAGTAACAATATCTTTAAAGGTAAACTACAAGATATAAATAGGTGTTTTGATGAGTTGATAAAATAATCATGTATTATTTAAAGATTTTAAAAGTTTATGCCATAATGTAAAGTTTAAAGGAAAGAACATTAAAATACATCACTAAATATATATATATATAATCCATGCACTACCATCAATTGCAAATCATGGCCAAAAAAAAATAAAATAATATAAAGGTCATTAAAAACTATTGAACTACCGAAAGGTGATTGGACACTGCTGAGGCTGGCCATCCAACTGGAAACAGAAAATTTCCTCAAAGTCTCCGAGGAATGGGCTGTTAAAGGACACCTCAATGGCTTGGTGACCACCAGGCATTACGATCCCTTCTGATGGGTTGAATGCAAAGCATGGTCCAAATATAGTTGTTTTTGGGACAACACTGAAATTAAGAAACAGTAATGAATTTGGTTGGTGGGAAACACTTAGGCTCTCTGTACAGCTGTTTTTTAATGGATATTTTAAAGATAAAATAGTAATTCAAATATACCTAAAAATTGCATCTATATCCCCTTTATTGGCAATAACAATCTCATAGGTATGTCTGGATCCGATGAAAATATTGCCCATGTCTAGCTGTTCAAATGAGAAGTCAACTTTGGGGCCCAATCCGTCACCACGGATCCGCAAAGGAAGACGACTCTCCCTCCCTGTGATGTCACAGTAGGCTGTTATGGTGTAGGATGTTGCCTCTCTTGGTTTAAAGATAACCATAACCTCAAACGTTGAATTAGGCCAGATGTCTCCCTCAGCTGGTTCTATGGTTATGATATCATCCTCAAATAAATGGGGGTCATTCTCAACAGCCTGGTGGAGTCATGACAGGGGATTTATTGAAAAGATGCTCAAAAGGTATAGCATAAAATCGATTCTTTTAAAAGGTAATTTATTTGAAGTCAATTCCTATCGCTTTTATTCAATGTATACTGTATTTAAGTTTGTCACTGATAGAATAGAAGGTGGAAGAAATACAAATAAATGAATTAGATCTCTGAAGTGGTTTTCAAATTATAATTTCTACTCGCCCATCAATGATAAAATGCAGTTATGAGGAATGTAGATTAATTTATAGAAAATTCTCAATGCTTAATATCAAATTATGAAAGTTACAAATGCATGATGCTAGAATGAAATCCTTGAGAACCACTAAATCTGCACCTGATCTAAAACAGTACAAGATTTAATTAAGCAAAATATAGTGACATAAACATACCTTCTTCCTGTTCTGGAAAGTTCTTGAAAGGATGGATAACTTATCTCTTAGTGTTGGATCTAGCACACATTCAGCCAGGAACTGGTCAGTATCAGCATGCTCTTCTCTGTCCAGCTGAATCTGTTTGCTAATAGTGGAGAGTTTTTAAACAAATGGAAGAGACACTTGAGCCATGAGGATACCAAAAATAAAGGATAAACACCCTTGTGCTGTTTGATTTAAATACTTTACAAATAAATGTTTTTAAGTAATTCTAAGCTAATATTACATCAAGAATTACATTCAGAAAAATGTTTACTTTATAATAAAACTATAATGTTATCATTAGACGGATTTGAATTTTTTAAATTAGTTTTACTAAACACAAAATATTTTGAATTTAATCTATAATAAAGAATTGATTTATTGTAAAAAAAAACATCATTTTAAAATTATAAGCATTTTAAAAATATGTTTATGATTTTTACAGAAGTTTCTCTTGATCCTCATCATCCTGAGTTGCAAAGCGGCTCCATTTGAAGTGGGCAATAAAGTCACTCCGATTACTGATGACAACTGTACGTTGGCTGGCCATGGAAATGTATGTGTTCTCCATACGAATTGAGTTTTTGTCCAAACGCACATTTGCATCTTGACTTGCACCATACAAATCAATGAAAATCTCTTCCCCTTCAAATCATAAAGAAATTTTGATATTTTAAAAGATTAACGAATTCTATAACCAGTTTAGCCAAGATTGCAGTCTATTATTATATATAAAAAATTACAATTCTTCTAGTAATTATTAATTATTTATGAATACTTAAACAGCCAACCGGTGGATTTTTCACTTTTACTTATTGATAAAATTGTCAAATACAAGTTTTTAATATCGTGCTGATTCCTTCCCTTGTAAAGTAACTGATGGTAGTTAGACAAAGGATTTAATAATATTATATTAATAAAAATGCATCTGATTTAATTCCATCCAAATATTGAAAAGTTCCACCATTTTCAAGAAAGTCAAGTGCATAGCAACTGTTTCATCAAATATGTTATGTTACCTGTATCATAGGTCAGACAAATATCTCCTCTATGATCCCCTGCAGTGAGTGGTTTAAACTCAATCGTCACCTGTATGCAATCATTCACAGCAAGAGTTCCGATGGCGGGTACAACAAAAAAAGGCCTGCGGATAAATCAAACAAATTGATGGCACAGTAAAACAATCACCATTTTTTAATATTATGCTAGAGCTCTTAGTGAGTTCATAAAAATGTAACAATTTCAGAAAGAAAAATAGTTTTTCAAAACCTAACTCATTAAAAGTCACACAAGCATCAATTTTCTGATATTATCAGCAACAATGCATTCATGAATAATTATGTCCCATATAAGATAATTTTTTTCAAAACATAAAATGACAATGAATCAGTATATATATATATATATATATATATATATATATATTTATATATATATATATATCTATCTATATCTATCTATCTATCTATATATATGTGTGTGTGTGTGTGTGTGTGTATAAAAATGAAGATATTTAAAACTTACTGTTTGGTCTTGATATGAAATTTAGCCTCTTTTTTCCCAATATTTCTAACCAGTAATGTTTTGGTGTTTGAGTACTTGACAGGGCAAGTTGGGAAGTGAATAGCATCAGGGAAGTCAAGAATTCCCCTGGCACCAATTGCTTTTATGGGCACAACAAACTTTTCTCTTTCAGTAATGCAAATGAGCTCATGTCTGTAGTCCTAAATGAAACAAAACGTTAAGGTTAGACTGAGAGTATCATGAAAACTCTGACAAGGATGTGAGTAAATAAATCTGACAAAACTAAAATCTAGATATAATCATAGGAGCACAATAGCCATGAAATCTTTGTCAAGTATTTATTAAATACGTCAAAGCAAGTAAATAAAAAGGGAAAAATCATATAAACAGAAATAACTTGATAAAATACTTACTTTTTTTTCATCAGGTGTGAACTGAACTTTGAAAATTGTTGGAAGGCCTGGTCCAACTTTATGACCAACATCATGTGGACTAATTATTTTGAAGTAGGGGGAATTTTCTTGACTCACTTTCACTAATCGAGGAACCTAATGAATGAAGAATTTAAAGGACATTAGTATTTTAAACACAAGCATTTTCATTTTCCCACCTCATTAAATTCTTCTAGAATTTGGCTAAAACCATATTATGATTAATAATAAGTCAGCTTTATAAAAGACATAGCTATTTCTTATGATGAGCACATAAAATTACAGTCAGCCTAATTAGAATTTTACTATCTAAACTAATTTACGAAGAACTTGTAAAAAATAGGTGAAAAACTTGCATTAACTAACATCTACAACCAAATAGTACATAAAAAGATGAGAATAAAATTAAGATGTGTATCCTCTGTTCTTTTACCTTGTCATTATTTCGAAGTACAAGTGGAATTTCATAAGTTTGGAAAGGTTCAAAATTCTGAAAGAAAATCTCTGATGGGAATGGCTGGAACATCGGTTCATCAATGTTTACTTTAGAAACCTGAAATCAATTGAAAAATGATTGATTCGATGTGAATATCAAATTTAAAAGAAAAACAACCGCTTAATTAAGATAGATCCATTGAAAAGATACCTACATCCCTGAGGCACTACAGCTCGTAGTGGACTTATATTTTCTTTCTTCCATCCCATTTTTCCTGCATTTAATCATCACTCACCTATCTATGTTCTGTCACATTCCTCTTGCTGTCTTCTCAGACACTACATTGCAGCTAAGTGTTCATTTTAATTTTATTCTGTTTTTACTGTTTTTTGTTAACTGAAGATGGCTTCTTGCTGAAATGTTTCTCATTTCCTTTCACCTAACCTGTTTGCAGTCTTTCTCCCTTATTACCATAAATATATATATATTTCTATATAATATATAAATTTATGTAAATTTGTGTGTATATATATAAAGTTTTAGACATAGGCCCATATATATATAATTATGGGCCTATGTCTAAGAATAACCCTGTGTCTGAAGAAACTAATTCTAAAATAGAAAAAAAACAACCATTTTTCATTCTTGAAACTCCAGAAAGGCTTGGATTCATTACTATTAAATATATATTTGATTATGGTAACATAGCTAAAGAAATATGGTCATCACCTTCTGCAGAGATGTGTCTCCCATATCCAACAACTCTGTTTTTCTAGGAATTTTCATGACTCTGGTGTTTGCTAGTTTCTGTTCTGTAGTTAATGATGCTTCAAACAGAAACTTGCTTGGGGTCATCTGCAATGAAAATTAGTAACATAAGATGATAATTATTTCACTATAATTACAGTATTATAGGTGAATAACTAAAAAAATTAACAAACCTTTTGACAGAGCCTTGTCCGTTACACTATATCAGACCTGTTTACCCTCAAACCCTTAAAATCGTACAATATCATCATATAATCGTTCAATACATTCTCTTTATAGAGCAAAGACGTGCTGCATATATAATGTATACACCTCAAAATCGTACATTGTACGCCAAAATCGTAAGAGTAAACAGGTCTGCTATATGGGTTTAATTAATTTAATACATGTGGCTATTTACATGTAATAGCTAACACTATTTCTCATGTTTACAAACATGTAATATTTTTAAAACTTTGAAAAAATAAATTATGCTATAAGACTAACTGTGTACCGAATTTCAGATCTCCAGTACTGGAGACACCCAGAGATTTTTTAGCTCTGAAATGCTAAAGAAACACAAACAGCCCAAAAACATCTCATGTCATTTGTAACAGGTTTACAGGCTTACATTTCAAGATAAATAAATACATAATCAATAATAAATTAAATGTATTTAAGATATTAAATACCTTGAATTCTGTGACATTTTGCTCTTTAACAACCTTAGGGTTTCGAGGAGCAACTACTTTTGTTTTGTAGTTTTGGGCAAGTGGGCCAAGAGCTTCAAGGGTACCGGTGGTCCCCAAAACTTCACCAAATGGTCCTAAAGGCATTTTTCTGAAAATAAAAACAGACAACATGATGATAAACATGATGAAATATATTGATAAAACTAATATTTAAAAAATCATTTTAATTTCATTTTAATAAGACAATTCCATGATTTGTGAGTTAAAATTAAATGAGATATCAATGAATATGAAATTAAAATTAAGGCAGTGTCTACACGTCCGGCACGTTATATCTCCCGCACTATTTGTCCGGCGACCAAGTCACATGACCGCCGTAACAAAGTGGGGAGAGATATTTTGTCCATCAGCCTTGTCACGTGACCGCGAAATGATTCAAAACTATTGTTAAATTTTAAAAATATATTTCTCTACCAAGTAATGTACTGAGTATCTTGCATGCAAATAATAGAAAAAAACTGAAGTGAAAGTGGCTTGTAAAAATTTTTGTTTAGTTTGTTATTTGAGTTTGCGTACCAGTACCAGTAATCCATAAAATAAATAAGGGGCCAGTATTCAGTATGGAGTAGGCGACCAATAAAAGTAAAAGATTTCATTTTAAATTGTTTAAATTGCTACAAAATATTTTAAAACTTCTCATAAAACAACTGTTGCTGATGAACATGATAATATAAATATAAAATAAAATATTTTTAATTAAAATGGGGAAAAAAACCAAGATCCTATACTTGGCATTGATCCACACATATAATATCGTCAAGTGACCACTCTACCACAAGACTACACAAGATTTTCTAATGTGCACTTTTTTCGAAATAATGACGACCACTAGTTGTCCGGTGGTCACGTGACATGCCCGCTGGACGCATATCACGCGCACTATTTGTCCGGCGCGCCGGACGTGTAGACACTTAGTTTACTAAGAAAATGCATTAATTTTAATTTTGTCCCAACGACAAATGCTGATTTGAAAATTAATATGAATTCGATTTATCATGATCAATCATAATAATAATATGGACCATGGAAATAAAAAAACAAGTTAAGACAGCAGAAAAGAAAAAGTACTCATACTCATAATATGTCATATGTCTATTATTCTCTTAATGAATGTGAACAGTTAAGTACTAAGGGCTGAAGTTAGAATAGTCCAAATCTAGTGCCACAACTATATACTATTCTTTTGGATCTAATAAACATTTTTTTAAATTACATCAAATTCGGGACAAGACCAAGAAGAAGTTGACTAAACTAAACAAGGCTGCACATTCAAAACTGAAAAATAAGCTTAGTACTTATCAGTTTAAAAAAACTAAACATATCTCGCATTGCCTTTATTAATTTAAAACATCTAATTTAAGAGCACAGGAGTATAATTTTTGTTTTTTTTTCTTACTTGGTGAGGTAACAACAAAGTATATAGATCTATCAAAATATAAATAAATATTTTGTTGGTACGGCCGCAAAGCTACGCCATATTTGCAGTTACCATGGGAGAATGAACTTATGTAAACGACGATTTCATTGGCCTATTTTTAATGATTGTGAGAGCTGTACGACTGAAAATGCGTTAGGGTAAATAGTATTCGCAATATTATTTTGAATCCCGAAATTATGTTTCGCAATTCTCAAATTAAATACTATTATAAATAAATAATTTAAAATGGTATACGTAAAGAAATTAATTGAAAACCCATAGATAATAAATTCAGAGACAAGAAAAGAACATTAATTCTTTTAATATAAATAAACTTAAGTTTATTTAAGCTAATAATAATAATAATAATACGTCAATAGTTTATAAAATGATGAACTTTCAACTGAGTTTTTAGTTAGTAAATGTTTCCCATAATTCTTTTCCTCATACACCACCCATGTGGAAAAAGTATGTGTGGGGGGGGGGGCGGACCTTAAAACATGAATTTTTACCAGAGAGTGCCTGGGGGGTGGCGGAAGACCCAGAGAATCAGATTTTTTAAAAAAAATAGCATTTTTATATGCAAAAAAATCGATTAACTTTCCAGGGGGGGGGGGCAAAATTTTTTTAGTAATGTTTTAGTATAGTTTTAATTTACTGTAGCGTATTTGTATGGTGAACGAACGGACAGGACATCAGCTTAGTTACTTTCTCTTTATTTTCTCTTTCCTTTCATACATTTTTTTGTCTATTTTTGTCTAAAATTTTTTTATCCAATCAATCCAGGGGAGGGGGGGGCAAGTGCCCCACCTTGCCCCTACCTGCGGGAGCCCATGGCTGCAGATGTTTTCACATTATATTTGCTAGTGCATTTTTTGTTGTTGTTCCAAAACATGTTAATTAAAGAAGAAAAAATAAATACATTAAATAATTTAGAGCTGTTCCATGGTTTCCTAAAGGTTTCAAAAGTGCAGTGTTATGGTGTATGTCCATATTCTGGTGTGTGTGTCTAACTCTCTGTGCTGTATGTCCAGATGCTGATGTGTGTGTCTAACTCTCTGTACTGTAAGTGCAGATGCTGGTGTGTGTGTCTCTCTGTGCTGTATGTCCAGATGCTGATGTGTGTGTCCAACTATCTGTAGTGTAAGTGCAGATGCTGATGTGTGTGTCTTTCTCTCTGTACTGTTAAGTGCAGATGCTGGTGTGTGTGTCCAACTCTCTGTAGTGTAAGTTCAGATGCTGATGTGTGTGTCTAACTCTCTGTACTGTATGTCCAGATGCTGGTGTGTGTGTCTAACTCTCTGTACTGTATGTTCAGATGCTGATGTGTGTGTCTAACTCTCTGTACCATATGTCCAGATGCTGGTGTGTGTGTCTAACTCTTTGTACTGTATGTCCAGATGCTGGTGTGTGTGTCTAACTCTCTGTACCGTATGTCCAGATGCTGGTGTGTGTGTCTAACTCTCTGTACCGTATGTCCAGATGCTAGTGTGTGTGTGTCTAACTCTGTGTACTGTATGTCCAGATGCTGATGTGTGTGTCTAACTCTCTGTACTGTATGTCCAGATGCTGGTGTGTGTGTCTAACTCTCTATACTGTATGTCCAGATGCTGGTGTGTGTGTCTAACTCTCTGTACTGTATGTCCAGATGCTGGTGTGTGTGTCTAACTCTCTGTACTGTATGTCCAGATGCTGATGTGTGTCTAACTCTCTGTACTGTATGTCCAGATGCTGATGTGTGTGTCTCTATCTCTCTGTACTGTAAGATGCTGGTGTGTGTCTCTATCTCTCTGTACTGTTAAAATCATGGTGTGTGTGTCTCTATCTCTCAGTACTGTAAGATGCTGGTGTGTGTGTCTCTATCTCTCTGTACTGTAAGATGCTGGTATGTGTGTCTCTATCTCTCTGTACTGTAAGATGCTGGTGTGTGTCTCTATCTCTCTGTACTGTTAAAATCATGGTGTGTGTGTCTCTATCTCTCAGTACTGTAAGATGCTGGTGTGTGTGTCTCTATCTCTCTGTACTGTAAGATGATGGTGTGTGTGTCTCTATCTCTCTGTACTGTAAGGTGCTGGTGTGTCTCTCTATCTCTCTGTACTGTAAGATGCTGGTGTGTGTCTCTATCTATCTGTACTGTAAGATGCTGGTGTGTGTGTCTATCTCTCTGTACTGTAAGTGCAAATGCTGGTTTGTGTCTCTACCTCTCTGTACTGTAAGGTGCTGGTGTGTCTCTCTATCTCTCTGTACTGTAAGATGCTGGTGTGTGTCTCTATCTCTCTGTACCAAAAGGCGTCTGTAACTTACGTAACTCCATTTATTGAGAAATGCTATAATAAGGGATCTCAGAGGTTTTGTCGTACTTTAGGACAAGTGCAAGGGAAATACCTCAGTTTAAAGGAAATCAAGATGGAGTCAATGACCAGGTAAAAATTTATAGTTGGGTTTAATTTATTGTTTAAAATCAAAGCCAATTTTAATTACTTGCTGATATGAGTCAAGGGTAAAACTAGTACAAAAATCCAAATGTTTAGCTGAAACAACCAGCAATATATTCTGAGAGAAGAAACTTGCAATGTTCAGTCTCAATCTATTTTTAATCACCTTTTTTAAATACAAAAAAAAAAAATCACTTTATAATAAATACTTTAAGATAAATTTTGCTGGGATAAATCACATACTCCATTTAAGTATTCATTACAAGCATTGTTCATTCAAGTAAAGAGTATCTACTCAGATCTACAATGACAAGAAGAAAATGACTGATCAAAGAAAGAATACCTACCCAAAGTTTTTGTTTTTAAATGTGTTTTTTTAAAACTTGGTCCAATTAAATAAACATTTGAATAAAGCATATCTGATGATGCATCTATTTCATAGTATAACAGCAATGTTAAAATGAGGTGAACATTTTTGTAGATATGGAAATAACATTATTAATAATGCAAATGTATATTTCAATGTTAAAATTCAATATAAAATATTTATTGAAACTGAACACCTTAAAAAAATGCAAGACAAAGTTCCAACATCAATAAATACAGTTACTTCATCATTTAAAAAAAAAGTTATTGTAACAAACTTTAGCAAAAAAAATAGAGAAACAAAAACCAACACCTTAAAAAAAAAAACCAATGAAGAGCAGACATAGACTAAGTTATTTTTAGCTTGAAGATACCACAACTAAAATTATGTTACCTAGAAAGATTTAAAAAAATTGCAAATGATAGTGGTAGCTGTGATTTAAATGTAAAAAAAGTAAAATTTATGAAAACATTGTTTTTAAAGCCTTGCACTGTGTTCAAAGTGTCTACAATAGCAATTGCCATATACCAATAACTGGATATTTTTGTTAAGAAAACATCATTAAAAAATGATCATTTCTAAACTTATTGGAGTAATTTGTATTAAAATATTTAAAAACAGGAAATACAAAAAAAATTAAATAATTAACTTTATTTTGACAAGTTAGACGAAACTCGTAAGATACTCAAAATAATAATATTGCTTGTAATTTTTAAAACAGCTCATGCAAAACTTTTTAAAATGCTAAGCAGTATTAAACCTACCACAGATATTGTACCAGTTAAACTCCATTTCATTGCTATTGTTAAGTATAATATAATAGTGTCAGGGAATGACCATATGCCATGGTCAAATTAGTTTTAACAGATCAACAGATAAGCCCATGAATGGTGAATCCCTGAGGATATTGTAATATGGTGAGGGGCATGAATGCAGATGTAGCTCAGCCTTCAGAGAGACTCGTATTTGTTGTCTTTGACTCGCCTGAGTGTGCCTTGAGGGGAGAGTTAGTCATAGTAAGATGTCAGACTTTAATTACAATCTATGTGGTCGTTGGCGACTGGGAGGCAAAATGGTGGGAAGTTTATGAAGGAACACTTGGGTCAATAAACCACATGAAATTCAGTTACTTCGCTGAGACCCGACCTGCACTCCTGAATGAAACTTTCTTCTTGTGTGCGTAGACTTAGACCTAGCCTTTACCAGTTCTTGCCCCAGTAATCCGCATAGAGGTAAGTGTGCATGTACAGTGTAGAATGTAGGAGCTTTGTGGTAGTTTGTGTGATGGACATTTAGTTTTATTCTGGAAGAGCCATGGTAAGTAGTTAGTGAGGGCTTTGTGTGTTATGTAGTGTGGGTGATTTCCACTATATATTTCAGGAATAGTCACCTTTATCTTGAACTAGTTGGGAAAATTCCTTGTGGCAGTGTTGACAGTGGACGGCTGCCAACACTTTAAGACCATGGGAAGTAAGAAAGAGCCAGTAGCAATCATAGAAGATAGGACAGAATTTTAATTATAGAAGAAGTAACAGTCATCCAAGACTCAGCTGTAACAAGGTGTAGTGTTTTGCTGGCATTATAATATAGAGTTGCTTGTATTGCAATTTCCTTTGTGTTTTGCACACACTCATTGAACAATTATATTTGTGTGACAATGATAAATTAATATTTAATAGTATATTTGTTATAATATTTGTATTATATTTTTAAGTAATAAGTTAGATGTTGTTAGTTTGAGTTAAATCAAGGATTTGATTGATTTCTTATATTATTATTATTGTGTTTCATTGGGCACATTAAAAAAAGGTAGTGTCAGAGGAATAGTAAAAAATTTGAGGAAATATCACTTAGCAGAAGAGAGCTCGGGACAAATAGTGACCGCCACAGAAGTAACCTTTTCATAAAACTACATTGATCCCAAAAGCCAGAAGACTTATCTTAACTAAATTTAACAAGATAATGTTTTGATGTTGTAAACATTCTCCAACTAGAATATATTTAACTTTGAAAAATGTTGGTTTATATTTCTTAACTTAATTCTACAGGAATAAATGCACAAGTTAAACCTTTAAAATAACCAGCAATAAATAATTGAAATAATTTTTAAAAACTTCCATTTTGTTCAAGTGGAAAGGGCCTAACTTTATTAAGTGTATGAGTTCTTCTACTCTGTAAGTAAAAGTATACAAAATAGTTGAATTACACTGTATATTGTTAAAACATTTTCATCTCTTGAATATACTTTCAAATGAAAATTTCAAACATACATTAAGTGTTACTAACAAAGGCATGAGCAAAAGTCAATAACTATCTATTTTAATATATTTAACAGCCCCGGTTTGATTATCGGGTAAGTCTGCACAAATATTGGAACCATTGTTCATAAAATATCATTCTTATAAAAAAGTATCATCCCTGATAAATTTTTTGATTTAAAAAAAAAAAAAAAAGGAATCACAAAAACAAAAAAAGTTTCTCAAAACATAAGTTTCAACAAAAATAGGAATCATTGTTCATAAAATATAATTCTTATAAAAAAGTATCATCCCTGATAAATTTTTTGATTTAAAAAAAAAAAAAAAGGAATCACAAAAACAAAAAAAGTTTCTCAAAACATAAGTTTCAAAGTTGACTTCTTTGGATGTTGATATGCATAGAAGTATGAAAACTATCAAAGTTGGCTCCATTTGATACCATGAGGCTCAACGATTATGCAGTTGTCAGCACATTTTCTGTCTATACTTGTAAGAAATAGTTGGCCAAAGTAAGCTGATAAAGGCCACCACTGCTGCCAGTATGTATAGGTTGACGACCGTACTTTCCTTTGGGAGGAAACACTGCGTCACACTGTGATTGAAGTTATTCATGCGAACCTGAAACAAAAAAAAAATGTGTGTTTTCTTAAATGAAAAAGCCAATCATCATTAATTTATAATTGATACCTTAGCAATTAAATGAAAAAAAAAAAAAGGGGGGGGGGGGAGTATGATCAGATATAGTGAAATGTCGCTACAACACAATAATTAGGGTCAATAAAAGCAGATTCAGTTAAATGTGGGGTCATGTTATGGCAGCTTGCTACAAAATTCTTTTCAAGAAGGGGTAGGATTTTTAAAAAGTAGAAAGATAGGTTTAAAAATAGATAGATAAATTTAAAAAAATGAAAGTATTTGTAATCTCTTGTGGTTAGTAAATTATGTGGTGTTGAAGTTGGTCTATGTTTAAAGAATATTCTTTTACAAAATTTATTTTTTCACAAGCTTAAAACAAAATAAATGTGCAAATAAATATAAGAAACTTTATGAGCCATGCTTGATTGTGTTAAATCTGAATATATTTACATAAGATTTAGAGTCTAAAGTGTTGATCTCATTAGTTTGGGGAAACACTTCCGTTGTGTTCCATTGAAAATAATTTATTAGAGGCGGAAAGTCGTACAGCTGCATTGAAAATTAAAATTGCAAAATTATTTTAAAGCCCAAATGCGATGAAATATTATAATCTAAGCTAAATTGGCTTACCTCCCCCATTTAATGCTTTCATGACTCTTCTAACAAAATATAGGAGTCTATAGAGACTGTCCATGAAAATATAATAAGAAACAATATTACAGCCACGAGAGGTAAGTCAGAGAGCGGAGTGAAAATGAGATAGAATATTTTAAAAAAAAGAATTCTGACCAGAAGAAGTGTTGGGTCATTCCTGTTCCGCCAACTGAAAGATGACACGGTCCATTCTGGCACAGTGTTGTGATGGAGGATGTAACACCCATGGTGAGTGTGAGCACTCATGACTAGCCTGGGGTCCAGCAGAGAAAACAGCTGAAAACCCAATAATGAAACACTCAAAATATGAATTTAAACCAACTGCTTTGTGGTGGGATGAAGTCAATATGAGGTATAATTCTTATTGTATTTCATTAGCTTTTCTTTGTTTTTTGTTTTTTTTGGTTTAAAAATAAAAATGTTCTTAGGAATATTGACCATATTTGTTGAGCGTTGGTCAAGGCTGTCAAGCTTTGGACGAAAGGGAATGTTTCTTTCTTCAGGTGGTGCTGCATCATCTGTGTTACAATCGGAGTCAGATTTTCTGTACATTGGAAAATGCTGAGGAAATTCCAAAGTAGCATGGACTAAAGTTGTTTTTAATTTTTAAAAAAAGTACCATCAAATCTATGGCTGAGATAGATTATAAAGCTATTGAATAAATCAAGAAACATCAAATCTATGAGCTGAGATAGATTAAAGCTATTTGAATAAATCAAGAAACATCAAATCTATGGCTGAGATAGATTAAAGCTGCTCGAATAAAATAAGAAACCATCAAATCTATGGCTGAGAATAAAAGCATTAGGGAAAAAGTTTAAGGGATAAATACCTGCAAAATAATTGGCCGTGTGTAGTTTTTCAATGTGTATTTGCATGTATCATCGGAAGCCTAAACAAAATCATTTTAAAAATTATTCAATACTATCGTTGAACTGATATGTTAGTTATTACTTATTACCAGATGTTATATTGTAGCCTATGCCTCTGCCTATTTTTCACTTTAAGGTAGAGTTATTTTTAGCCACCACCACACTTGTCTCCACTGTAGTATGGTCTTGATATTGACGTCACCGAGCTAATGTGCGGTACCACTCCTTCCTTTCTAGAATTTCTGTACTGAAATATTCGGATTTGATTCCTATAAATAGGATGACTGCTTTCTTAATAGATAGACAGAATGAGGCAAATAGAGAGAGCGATGGAGAGATTTTTGCTACACGAGACATTAAAAATTTGCGTGTGTGGAAATTAATAATTGTATATTGAGGAGTGCACCTTTTTCACTTGCAAGTTGATACAGTTTATTTCCCTTCTGTTCTCAATTTGATATTTGTATAGAATTTTATTTGTACAATTAAATTAAATATCATTAGTATCACTGGCTTTGTTATCATTTTCTTTGCTTACTGCCCACGAAATATATACAAATCCTTTTGTTCCTCAATCTATCAGAATTTACCATTGCGCTCCCCCAGGGGTTACCAAATCTAAATGATCACTAATAACTCATTATTGTCACAAAGCGAGTTAAATTTTATGGTATATGAAAGCTGATTTTTTCTCTAAAGAAATAGTTTAGATGTCTTGTTTTTAAATTGTTCTTGTAAAAATAAAATGTTATCTTTGTTAGAATATTTTTTATATATGCTGAAATCGAATATGTGAAATGCAATCAAGAAACATTTCCATTTAAATGGATCATTAAACAAATCTTATCTCATTTAAGCACATTTTGGTCAAGAGTGATATTGCCATGTTAATTAGTTTGCTGGTGACAATCGAGCCTATTTCAGCAAAAGTAGGTATGTGACAGGGTATGTCAGAAAATAAATATATCTATCATGATGTTAGTTAAATGAACATCAGATCAATTTTGATGCTAAAAATAGGGCTACCCATAAATGAAGTCACGTTATTTAAACACATAGCGCGCACACCCCACCCCCAACCCCCAAATTTACAATACAAATTAGAAAATTTTATCACACATCTTCCCAAATTAGTGTGTTCCGCCTCCCCATGTGACGTCGAAAATGGATGGTCCCAATTTTTATGGATATTGTTTTAAAAAATTTAAAAGTGCCATAAGCATACCTTTTGATCACATATTTTGAGCAGATTTAATTTATGTGAAATATCATGTAGTGCACTTTCAGCTTGGACACATATACTGCAACCATCTCCTTCCATTGCCATAGAATTCACCAAAACAAAAATATTGTTTTTGATCTCCACCATTCTAACTGATGGCGATTTAAACTGGTGTTCAAATCTTTCATGCTTGTGATCTGACATCCTGAAAACACCAGCATATATTCCAATGTTTGTACAGGTGTCCCAAAAAGAGATACTTCATAGATGAAATAGAAATATTTATATAGAACTGAACTGACAGAAATAAAAAGGTCAACAGCCCACTTCATATAAATAAATTAGAAACTTAGAAATCGGATAACATCTTGTGTGCTGGGAAAAAATTCAACTCTCAGATTGTATTTTTATTTAATTACAAATCCTGAAAAAAATATTGTTCCTTAAAATGAAACCATAACACTGAGTTTTTTCAACAATTGTAACAACTCCCTGTAACAGTAACATTTAATTAAGTAACCGTGTCAGCCTTCATTGATGATTTTACTCTTTCAAGATCTCAAGTGGTTATGACTTTCATAAAAGCAGTAACTTACATATAATGAAAGCCTTCATCGTGGTTCCCAGAGACAACATGGAGTTGGGTCCCTTCTGGAACAGCAAACATTTTTTTAAATCGAGCTACATGATGCAGAAACTCTTCATCGTCACACCATTTACCTTCATCCAACAAATCACCTGCAGGAAAGTAAAGAAATACAACTTTCTAACATCCCTAGGACATTTAAAAAAAAAGTAGGTATAAGCAAGTTAACAGTGATCAATTGCTGTGTGAATAATAATAGAATTAAGAGCTTTCCGACTTACCTAAAACAAATACAACATCTGGCTTATGTATCAACATGCTGGTCTGGAATGCTTGTTTCATCTGCCATTCTCTGAAGATGTTTAAAGTCAGCCAATGAGCTTTTAGCACAGGTAACTAGGAATTACATCTGTCATTTTCCACTTCATTCTAAACACCTCTTATAAAGCCAACCCATAAGCACTGGTAGAAATACCCCAAACAAGCAAAATTTGTCTAAAACAGCTACTTTATTCTTATCACATAGCTTACCTCCTAAGCTTATCAAACCAATGTCCGTGTCTATATCCTAAAAGGTGAGTGTCGGCTATAACCGACACCTTGATGTCACTGTTATGTCTTTCTGTTGAATAGGCTGTATGTGGGGCTGCGGGCCAGGTGCATTGTAAAAGAACTACTGTGTAATGAAAAATCTGTAAAGCACAGTTAATGCCTAGAGTTAGAACATTCACAATTTAAATTAAAAAAGTATGATTTTTTAAATTTTTATTAAACTCTCTATATGTGGATTTTAAAGTTAGTTATAATGACAGGGAGGTTATGAAGAAGAAATTGTAAAATTATATTTATAAGTCATCTTTGAGGACTCTAATTAACATAGAAATGCATTAATTAACAAGAAGGAACTGACCTCACAGTAGGTGAAAAAGGAGAGTAATATTAAAACTGATCGCAGGATTTTGTGATTTATAACAAACTTGAAAAATTTCATCCATGGCTCAACAGTTTGATTAATTGAAAGCATGACTGTGATATTGCAGGGCATAAGTTGAGTGGCATTATCGTAATCTTAACCTTAGATCTGAAAGAAAAAGTATTTCGCCAACTAAAATTGGTGCACATGAGTTATTAATTAATACATTTAAGCATTTTTAAGCAAAAAATATCTCTTAAGATGAAATAGTTGTCTTTTTCAACTTGAAGAATATTCATGTTGTAAAACTTTTTTTAAGTATAAGATCTAGATCATATAAAGTTACACAACAAAAATGGGAATTTACAACAAAAAAAAACAACAAAACCCCACACAGAAACAATGAAATTAAGTCACTAAATGCCCAGGTGTTGTGCACAGCAAATTTATTTAAATAATAGACAGATGAACTTACACTTCAAAAATGTATGGCTAAAAAAAAACTACGCAAGCTAAACTTAATTTAGTTATCACTTTTTTGTTAAATCTAAAGCAGCAAAATAGCTTTGTTGGTAAATAGCTTTGCATTTCATTCATTTTGCACATATTTAAATAGTTAGGCCCATTATAATTTGAAATGAATTGGTAGATCCACATCATGTTATAGCCTACTCTATTATAGCCTATTATTTAATGCTACACCTATTTCTACAATTTTTGTATGTCCTAACAGCAGTAAGCAGATCCCATCTATACTATACGATCTATATATGGATCTCTAGCTTCCTCAGCCACCGAAGCCAAGCAGTAGTGGTGGGCGGTACAAGCTCCTCCTTTGTCAATGTGAAGTCAGGGGTCCCCCAGGGATCAGTCCTGGGCCCCTGTTTGTTCCTAGCATACATTAATTACCTACCGGACAAACTGACATCACAGGCAAGACTGTTTACGGATGACACAGCAGTGTATAGGACGATCGCCAACAGATCTGACCAGGACCAGCTACAACAGGATCTCAATCTGTTAGCTGAGTGGGAGATAAGCTGGGACATGGAATTTCACCCTGCCAAGTGCCAGACACTATCAATCTCTAGAAGTTGTACTCCTCTACACTACCAATACAAACTGCACGGCCATATTCTTGAGCAAGTTTCCTCCGTAAAGTACCTGGGTGTTACCATTCAAAGAGAGGTCCGCTGGGACGAGCATATTAACAATGTATGTAACCAAGCAAACCAAGCCTTGGGGTTCTTAAGGCGAAATCTAAAGATTGGCAACTCCTGTGTGAAAGAAAGAGCATATAAAGCCTTTATCCGTCCGATTTTAGATTATGCATCTTCAGTCTGGGACCCATTTACCCAGAAGAGCATTGACAGGTTGGAGGCGGTCCAGCGACGAGCAGCACGCTTTGTCCTAAACCGCTACAGGAATACCTCTAGTGTTGGCAGCATGCTAGAAACACTAGGCTGGTCACCATTGGAGAAACGACGACGACAATCCAGGCTCTCCATGATGTACAAGATAAATAATGGGCTGGTCCACTGTTCCAGTATTAAACAGAAACTCGTCCCTCTCCCCCATAGACAGCGACGAGGCCATGACAGGCAATTCAGGCTCATACCAGCAAGAAGCCAGTATAGGAGCTGCTCATTCCTGCCCAAGACAATCAGGGACTGGAACCATCTTTCAAAAGGAACAGTTGAGGCGACAACACTAGACACATTTGTGTCTATTGCCTCAAGCCTTCAAACCCCTAGTGCATAATTTCCTCATCACCACCAGTAACAGAAACATGGCAAATCCCAACTACATGCATAGGAGCCAAAATGATCAATAAATTGATTGTGGGCCCTTAAGATATAGAAGAAGAAGATATGTAACGTTACTTACAGTTACTATTTATCTTACTCTACATAATGGCCAAGCCATAATGATCTTAGGCTATTTTGAGCCCTCCCCTTCCCTCTGTGAAGGAAAGGACTTGTTATACCACCATCATCCAACATCAATACTAGTTTAACATGACACTTGACATGTCTTATGCTGGACACCCTTCCCCATTGTCACAAATTTGCCACTTAAATGTAGACACCCTCATCAACTTCATTAATGCTCATCACCCATGGTAACAATAACTTGAACAACCTCTCCCCCCACCCAAATATGTGATGTCATTTACGGTTGGAAAAACACGAAGTTGCCCCAAAGCATCCCTAGCGTAACTGACAGGACTCACAATATTTAAAAAGTTTTTTGTTAACACAGTTCTCACTTTTTTTAAAAAACAAAATTCCCTTTTTCCTAACTAAAAAAAAATAAATTTCCTGGCTATCGCGACAAGGCGTTTTTGTTGATAATATAAAAACAACCATGAAATTGTCAAAGTAAAGCTACATTGAATGAAATACAACACATTTGAAAAAAAAATTAAGCAATAAAGGTGTATACATATAAATATTTATTAAATTTCCTAGCACTTACAATTTTTCAATTTAATTAGACTTGAAAAATTGTTGATGTTTACTTTTAACGTTCAAGGGAAACTTTTGCAATGTGTTCTCAGGGGCATTTTAGAACATACATATAGCTAAAAACTAGGCTAAAAACGGAAAGCATCTTTTTTATATGGAGCTAATTCAGTTAATGTTCTCTTCTTTGTGATGAAAATGGATTGTTTGAGTCAACACACTTAAGTGTCTATAAAATCTCTCTAATCAGGGTTTCATATTTTGACACATAAATTGGGAGCTTGGCTCAGAAGTTACAGAAGTGGACACCTAAGATAGTGATAAAACTGAAGTCTCATCAGATGATGGACATTTTAAAATATTTTTGCCCTCAGTATTTGATATCAATATTTCGAGCATAGTGAAGCAGTGATGACTTGTTCAATCATTATCACGATAGCTGTCCTGACCATAAGTCTTTAAAAGAACTGTTTGGGTATTATTTTATTGAGCCTAGATCCTGAATAGTGAAACAAAATAAAATATATTATCAAATTATGTTTATAATTTACAGTAAGGCATACGTCATACAGTTTACATTCTCCGCTAGGAATCTTGGTTATATTCTGTCTAGCAACATGTTTCTCGATAATCATATCCCTCACATTTGTCGCTCTGCATACAACGCCATTCGTCAGATAAGCTCCATCTGCCAATATCTTACGGTTGGTGCAACAAAAACCCTAGTCTGTGCTCTTGTTCTCTCTCGTCTTGACTATTGTAATTCTCTTCTATCAGGTTCACCAAAACACTTCTTAGAAAAATTACAAAAGGATCAAAACTCAGCCGCTAGGTTAATTCTAAGGGCAAGAAAATGTGATCACGTCTCACCACTACTTCATTCACTTCATTGGCTCCCTATACAAGCTCGTATTGACAACAAACTCTCCGTTCTCTGTCACAACTTTTTCTCGAATTCCTTCCCTTCCTATCTAATCGGACTTCTCTCTGTCTATTCACCCCTATTTCACTCCTCCGCAGACGCGAGCATTCTTTCTGTCCCAAAGACTCGCACAAAAACATACGGTGAACGATCGTTCTCTTTCTGTGCACCCAAACAATGGAATTCTCTTCCATTACACATCCCCAATATACCGACCATCACAGCCTTCAAAACTGCACTCAAAACACATCTCTTTAAACTCTACTATCCTGACTGATTCCCACCTCTGAAAGCGTCCATGGCTTGACTGAGTGTCGTCCATGGCTTGAGATGTAAATAGTTTTATATATACATTTGTTTTGTTTTATTTAATTAATGTATGTCAATTAATTATTTTAGTTTTTTTTATTGTGTTTGTTAAATTGTATGTGCAGCGTGGTGAGCCCAGCCCTAGGCTGGGGTACGCTATATAAAACCATGTATAATAATAATATACACTATATTATACGCCTACTAAACTACAATAATACTGAGTCAGAAGAGATACTAAGATATGCATATGAAACGGCATAGTCAGGATTTTCCGCAGGGGACTGAAACATTGACCCCCCCCGCCCCCCTCAACTTTTTTTTAGACTTCAAAGGTGCCCCCCCCCCTCCCCGACACATACACAAAAAACATCAAAACACCTTGCCTCTGCCAATAAACTATAGTATAAGCCTACTAAACTACAATAATACTGAGTCAGAAGAGATACTAAGATATGCATATGAAACGGCATAGTCAGGATTTTCCGCAGGGGCCTGAAACATTGACCCCCCCCGCCCCCCTCAACTTTTTTTTAGACTTCAAAGGTGCCCCCCCCCCTCCCCGACACATACACAAAAAACATCAAAACACCTTGCCTCTGCCATTGTGCTTATGAATAATAGGATTATACCATAAAGTACCTCCAGAGCACAGGAGGGAAGAACTATAAATAAAGACTGACTATCTACAGTTATGTTCAGCTCTCTGAATCAATGTATGAGTATGTATCAAGTCCAATCAACTAGTTTTATTAACTTTTAATTTTAAATGAATTTTTTAAACCAGCCGTAACCGTAAACTAGTTAACTAATCTCATGCAAAAAATTCAGCACAAAATAACATAATCATATTAGCCTATTTAAATTTAGAAGGCCTACTCCATAAATAAATGTTTAAAGTCTTTAAAAAAGTTAAAGGCTGCCTAATTTAATTTTACCAAAAAATGACATAATTAATTAACCAATAAAGCTATTGACATAAAATTTTGAATACATACAGATAATGTCCATCTAAAAGTAAGGTAAATTTAAAATAAATAAAATGCAGATCAGAATATCTAATGCAATGTTAAAAAAAATATTTCATGAAAAGCGACCACAGCCGAGACATTTTTACACTTAAATAAACTTTTAAACTAATAAAGCAACTACAACTAAATTTTCAGTACAAATAGTGACAACTCAAATGTGATAGAATATTTAAATATTATAAAAGCAATTTAAATCATGGTAAACACAATTAAAAAATTTAATGTTATCTGTCGACATTGATGTACATTTTTAAACATAACTTTTAAACTAATAATGCTAACCCAATGAAATCTTTATACAAATAAACAGTGACAATCTAAATTAAATAAAGTATTCAAAAGCAAAAAACATAATTCAGAACATTTTATATATAAGTTATTAAATTAAACTCCATCTCTCTTCTCCTTCTGTATATTAAGGGCCTACAATCAATTTATTGATCATTTTGGCTCCTCTGCATGTAGAGGGGATTTGCAATGTTTCTGTGCCTGGTGTCGATGAGGATATTTCACTGATTGCAAGTGCTACTTTGTGAGGGAATCATGCACTGGGGGTTGGAAGGCTTGAGGCAAAAGATGCAAATGTGTCTAGTGTTGTCACCTCAACTGTTCCTTTTGAAAGCTTGTTCCAGTCCCTGATTGTCTTTAGCAGGAATGAGCAGTTCCTATACTGGCTTCTTGCTGGTATGAACCAGAATTGCCTTTCATGGCCTCGTTGCTGTCTATGGAGGAGAAGGGACGAGTTTCTCTTTAAAACTGGAACAGTGGACTAGTCCATTATTTATCTTGTACATTATTGAGAGCCTGGATAGTCGTCATTATTCCTCCAATGGTGACCAGCATAGTGTTTCCAGCATGATGCCAACACTAGAGGTATTCCTGTAGCGGTTCAGAACAAAGCGTGCTGTCGCTGGACCGCCTTCAATATGTCAATGCTGTTCTGGGTAAATAGGTCCCAGACTGAAGATGCATAATCTAAAACTGGACAAAGGCTTTATAGGCTCTTTCTTTCACACAGGAGATTATGCCTTAAGAACCCAGGGTCTTGTTTGCCTGGTTACACACATTGTTAATATGCTTGTCCCAGTGGACCTCTATTTGAATGGTAACACCCAGGTACATAACAGAGGAAACTCGCTCAAGTATATAGTCATGCAGTTCATATTGGTAGTGTAGAGGATTACAACTTCTAGAGTCTGATAGTGTCTGGCACTTGGCAGGGTGAAATTCCATGTCCCAGCTCATCTCCCACTCAGCTACCCGACTGAGATCCTATTGTAGCTGGTCCTGGTCAGATCTGTTTGCAATCATCCAATACACAGCTGAGTCATCTGTGAACAGTCTTTCCTTGGGATGTCATTTTCTCGGGTAGGTCATTAATGTATGCTAGGAACAAACAGGGGCCAAGCACTGATCCCTGGCGGACCCCTGACTTCACACCGACAAAAGAGGAGCTTGTACTGTCCACCAATACTGCTTGGCATTGGTTGCTGAGGAAGCTAGAGATCCATGTTTTAGTGGTGCCTTGGATCCCATATCTCTGAAGTTTGTGTAGAAGCAAACTATGATTGACACAGTCAAATGCCTTTGAGAAGTCCATCGCCAGCACGTCAGTTTGCTTGTGGTTCTCCAGATTGGTCATCAAGTCTTCTACAAATTCAAGAGCTGGGTCTCACATGATCTATTGACTTGGAAGCCATATTGACAGTCATTGTGTATATTTTGGCTTTCACGATGCTTCATGACTGTGCTTATGATTATGTGCTCCAACAGTTTGCAGACCACGCTGGTGAGGGATATCGGAGGATAGTTGGCAGGGTCGGAATGCTCCCCTTTCTTGTAGATTGGAGTGACATGCGACATTATTGTACCAGTACATTTAAATACAAAACATTAAAAGCACCTAACGCAATATAGCTATCCACAGTCCACAGCAACAGATAGTGTCCTTGTCCACCACAACAGACAGTGTCCTTGTCCCCAGCAACAGATAGTGTCCTTGTCCACAGCAACAGCTGAAAGTATACAGAATATTTAAAAATTAGATTTTAAATTAGTGAACTGAAAATTAAAATAATTTCAATCAAAACACAATTTAACAAATTGAAAATATTCCATAAGTACATCAGAAACTAAATTTGACAATGTTATTTCTTCATGATCTATGTCAAATAATACCAACTTACAAAACATTTTTACAGTGGTCTTAACATTCCTATTTTTTTCACGCTCGGTATCATAAATTCTAGACATAGCCAGTAATGTTAACAATAAATGCTTGTAACGTTAAAGTGATCAAGCTTGCCCTACATAACTTTTTTACCTGTCTATAATCTATATGCTATACAAAAGCCAAGGACATGAGTTTTAACTTACCCACCGTTTGCACTCCCAACAGTTCATCTGAGCCTGGTCAGAATGACATAGTTTTTATACCCTCATGACCGGAATTCTTCAGCGAATAGAGTTTAAGACTGAAACTTATTTATTTTTAGAAAATGACGCATATGAACAACAATGTTCAACATATACCGAAACCCGCCATTCACGGCTGGTCACAGAATGGTTTTTTTTTTACCACGCCGTCCGATATTGGGGTACCTAGACAAGACATAACAAAGTACGCTAAGCTTAGTCATTTTAGACAGCACATGGATGAGTAGTTTTTCTATTTATAATGGCTACCTAACAAATGAAAACTATATTCAAATAATTGTTTACTATATTTTACACTTTACTTACCCAAACAGTCAAACATCTCTTGATCAGCGATGTGAACAGAAAATAAATATTTCTGGTCTATCAAAGTAGTACGGTAATAGAATCTTGTAGAGCTCAAAACGCATGCGCAGTTAAGGGTAAATCACTAGCATTTTGGCAAAGTCCTTTTGAATAACAGAAAGGCTAAAAATAAACGAGATTGGTGCTTAACGTCAATTTTCATGGGATCCAAAGCCAAATTTATTTTTTACAAATTAAAGATTCCCTGACTATCTGGAAAATTTCCTTACTAGAAGGCCCATTTTTCAAGTTTTCACAACCAGGAAAATTATTCAATGAATTCCCGACTATTTCCCGTTTTCCCGACTGCGTGGGGACCCAGTGTTAAGAAATCTACCATTGCTGGGGGCGAGAGGGGTTAGTTAGGGCATTTACCAGTAACTGTGCTATTATAAGGTCAGCTATTTACAGATGTCACTGTATTAACAGATACTAATAATTTATTTTATTACATTAAAATATATTTTTAAAATATTACATGTGTTTTAAATTTTATAGTATGTCCACTCTCACTCTGCTATTAAGTATTTTGCCTTTTCGTAAAATTATTTTGAAAAGTGTTCTCAAAAATAGGGTTGTTTTCCAAGCCCATATATTATATATCATATCATATACCAGTATCAGTAATAAAAAAAAAAGTAATTTCTATTCCCCCAAAAAAACTATAACTTTTTAACCAAAAGTTCTACATGAAAAATGATACCATTTTTTAAAAACTTCATTTGTGAACAATGGGTATCTTTTTTTAAAAATTTAAATTTATTTGTAAATGAGTAGACTATCTTATCAATGAGATGACGACTACACTATCTAATACCTTTACCTTATCTATACTTATAGTCTATATAGTATAGAGTCTATACTATCAATGCGTCAATGACTCATGAGTATGAGTGTCAGTATCGCGATCAATTGCAAACAAATTGGCGGCTGCTAAGTTATATTGGAGCAACGATTTTTAGGATAAAGATGTTTAATTAAAGAGATTTCATACAAAGTTACAGATGACATCTGGGTTGATGCCCACTTATAGGTAGTGTAATGCTTACTGAATATTGAGCAGGCCATGTCACACAAATTGTTTATCCATCTTTTACTTGCAAGCGTAATCATTAGCAGTAAAAAATATAAGTGCTTCCGTTTTGGGGGGTGGGGGTCTTAATATTTTTTTTCTACCACTAGCTTCATTTTCAAATACAAAGATGCACTTTTTTTTTTAATGAATAGAAAAAATCCCCCCCCCCCCCCACCAAAAAAAAAAAAA